GTGATGGAGACCCTCTGCTTCTCCTACCTGGCCTCTAAATTGAACCTCCTCCCCGAGCTGGTCTCCTGGCTTGAGGCTGTCTTCCCAGCAAGTTACTATAAGCTCCATTGCCAGATTAAGCTTTTTAAAAATAATACATTTTTTCTTTAACAAGCATTGATTTTCATATGATGTAAAGACCATAAGCTTAGATGTCAGAGAACTGAATTTAGGTCCTGGTTCCAAAATAATTGACTAGCAAATCACTTGACTCTTCTGAGCCTCAATTTCTCATCTACAACACAGAGAGAAAACTCAGATTTGGGGAACTAATATGTACAAAATGTTTTGGGCAGTGTCTGGAATACACTCTGCAAACGATTACATTTAAAGGATTAAATGCAGAATCACAGCTACTTCCAAGTTCCACTGCTATTCCAAGTTGCATTCACACCCTTTGTGCTAAAACAACTCAGCTTTATTTATTGCCCAAGATGTTTCCTGACCTTGCCTCATTTTTCAACTTCTTATTTTGAACCTGGTGCTAGGAAGGCTCAGTTCTAGTCCTTTAAAGTCTCCTCCTCCAGAAATTCTTTAGAGACCATCTTGACACAGTGATTTTTCCCTTCCGTGAACCCCCAAAAGTTCTTACTGCTGACGCATTTCTCCATGGGTCTCTCCTGTGTCTGCGTGTCTTTTGAGCAGAGGCACTGGGAGGGGGACTGCTTTTGTTCCAGATGAGTTCTTCTAGGGCGTTTGTACACTAGCAGCCTTGGAAGAGCAAAGGGCAAGTTTGTTTACTGTCCAGTATAGCAAATATAATGTCTCTTTTCAAGGCAAAAGTCAAGCAGGCTTACTGTCCTTGTAATAGTCTCGGGTTCCCCATCCTCAGATTTGGGTCCTGCAATGCAGTTACTGTGAATGCAAGGTCGCTGGCTCTCTTTGCATCACCCAGGGGGAACTGGAGCTTAGGGAACCTTGTGAAGCACGCTATTCTGGCTACTGCTGTTGCTGTGAGTAATATATTCCTTTGTCTGGTTCCTTGGGTTGTCTGCCAGCACCCATGAAACTGCAACTGGGTAACTTGTTAGCCTGCAAATAAGATAAAACTCCAGACCCTTCACATTTCTTGACAACTACTATTATCATTGTTATTGTTACTTGTAGTATTTGAAAATGTATCCTAAATACTTTTTCATAACAATCCACTCTTTCCTCCCCATTTTTCTTGTCTTTGGTTTGTGAAAAGACTGATTTATAGAGAAATTGGTTTGTGCAAAAAAAATTTTTTTTCTTGTGGAATATTCTGAATCATGGATTGAGCTGATTGTTTCCTGTGATGTCAATTATCTTGTTTCTCTGTACTATGTATTTCCACCCAAACTATTTTTCATATTGGTCTTTTAGCTTCCAGTTACACAGTCTCCAGACCTCTCTTGAAGCATTTGAATCTTGGTTATGTTTCTTTCTAGTCTCTGTTACTACATTAAATTTTTTGTTTTATTTATGGACAAGACTTCTTTTGATTGGTCTTAAAGAAAAAATTCTCCCACCCTTCCTAGTGAACATCATGGCTAGAGCAACAGCAATTGCCGAGTGAAAGCTCACGGTAAAATGATTAAAGGATGAGTCTGATCAGACAGGGCTTCCTGGGTGGCACAGTGGTAAAGAATCTGCCTGCCAATGCAGGAGATGCAGGAGACTTGGGTTTGATCCCTGGGTTGCGACAATCCTCTGGAGAAGGAAATGGAAACCCAGTCCAGTATTCTTGCCTGGAAAATGGACAGAGGCGCCTGGTGGTCTCCAGTCCATGGGGTTGCGAACAGTTGCACAGGTCTCAGGGACTGAGCCCACACTCACTGATCAGACAATAGCCACCTTTCCCCCTCTCTCCACCAGAGGGCGCATTCCACAAGCAGGAGCATCCTAAATCTGAGCTCTTGGCTTTGAATTCCTGGGTGTCTGTGCACCATATGTTTAGCTAAGTGAATTAGTAGGTGTATAAAATGTATTATCAAGTGGAGCCTTGGTCTGGTTACACTTCATTCTACACAGGAGCTCCAACTGAAACTGAAGTTGCTCAGTCGTTTCTGACTCATTGTGACCTCATGGACCATAGCCTACCAGGCTCCTCCGTCCATGGGATTTTCCAGCTAAGAGTACTGGAGTGGGTTGCCATTTCCTTCTCCAGGGAATCTTCCCGATCCAGGGATACCACATTGCAGGCAGACGCTTTACTGTCTGGGCCACCAGGGAAGTGAGGCCAATGAAACCTCTCTTTTGACTGATTTTGTTAGGGGAAGCACACTGATTGAAACCGCCCACCCTGGCCAGGCACCATAGTAACCATTTGCATGAGCTGTTTTAGGACAGGAGGTCCTGGTAAGGAACACGGAACTAATAAGCCACCACCAACCAGGAGAGTTCAGGAATGGTCAAGAGGAGACACCGCATGTCCAACTATCTCCCAGAATCCTCCTCCTTGGCATCCATCCTGGCTGAACAAGTCCTGCCCCACCAGGAAGAACTCTGAGTCAGGATGATTGGCTAAAGACAACTCGTAAACTAATCCCGTCACCATAATACCCGAGATTTCGAGCCACGCGGCAGAGCAGTTCTCCTGGGTTCCCTTACCCTCCTGCTCTCCACCTGGGTGCCTTTTCCCAATAAAATCTCTTGCTTTGTCAGCATGTGTGTCTCCTCTGACAATTCATTTCTGAGTGTTAGATAAGAGCCCACTTTCGGGCCCTGGAAGGGGTCCCCCTTCCTGAAACAGTTCCATTATCACTGCATTTCAGTCTACTGTGTAGTGCATTTGAAGGCCAAGACCAAATCTTGAGCATTGGGTTCCTATGATTTTTCACATTTTTTCACTAATCAGAAAGTATATATCAAGCATACAGTCCTCACTGCTGACACATAGTGCAGTGACCTGGCTAGAAGTTCTGGACCTTCTGTTACTTGGATAGTTGCAAGCTAAACAGATTCCCAGTCCCTTGAGGTCTAAGGATGACTCAAACAGTGTTGAATCTTATGGAAATGAAAAAGGAAGTGGCAGAATGTTGCTTTCTGAACTCTTAAGGAAATGTATTGTCTTCTATCTTTTGCACTTTGCTTAAGGAGTTTAGGGCTAACTGAATAATCCACTTCCAGCAGCACTTGGCTTTCATTAAATCTAAAGGACTCATCCCAAACAGACACTGTATTTGGATACACTGTTTTTGTGGTTTCACAGCTTTCCATGCAAGGGCAACTTTTTGAGGTCATGTGATGACCTCGTGACATTGAATATAATAAATAAGGTGAGTTACTGTTTTCTGCTCCAGAGTTGCTCATACACTGATGGGGGTGGCGGGGCGGGGTGGGGATGGGGGTTCTGTAATGAAAGTGAGAAGCAGCACCAAGCCTGTGGGCACCCCTGAAGTAGTCCTTTGTGAGGAGGCAGAGCCTTTCAGGATGGCAGGAAGACATGGCTTCCCTCTTCCTTCCTTCAGGGATGCCTTTGGTTTCTGATTCTTCAGCTTTCCTACTGCCTGGTGTGGGACTGCCTGCTGCTTCATGCTATTTTTTGTTTTCTTTTGCATACTGTTCACCACATAAGGGAGAGGGATCTGGGTAAGACCCCCAGGCCATTGGGTCTGAGGCCATTACCCGTGGGATCCTCACCCAGATCCAGCGATGGGTGTGTCCCTTTAGTCACTACAAATTTCCATTGTTATGGCCCCGCTGAACGAGTACCTTTAGTAGAGGTAAACTGTCAGTGTGAAACCCAGCTTTGTGTTGAATCCTCAGTCCTGAGAGGGAGTGCTGCCGTTAGGGCTATTTTAGTAGGCCTGTGTTAGACAGCGAACCTCTCCAATCACCGGTGCCTCCTGCCTTTGTCTTCCAAAGCCCCTGCCTGGGGAAGAACAGCTGCTTAATGAAGTGAAAGTTCTCCATGAGATGAACTATCTGAGTAACGCACTCAACTTGTGCCCACAGCTTTAGGCACACAGAGACGCAGTTGATAAACTGCTTTTTTGCAATTTTAATGGTAAAATATTTTGGAGGCAAAAATCTCTTGGGGGATTTGAGGGGGCGGAGTGACCACACAAAGATGTTTGAAGTGCCCCAGGTATTGCCTGACAGAGTTTTGAGGGGGAAGCCTCTGTGTAGCTCTCTTCTATCCACTACTGTGAGCTTGCCTCTATAGACACATGCAAGGTGCTGCATAGTGTGATTCAACTTGCCCAGAGAACCCCAATCTAAGGGAGAGGATTTGGATAGCTTTTTCTGAGAATCCATGCAGGTGCCTCCTCTCTTTACACCCTTGGTGATTGTGGTGGCTTATTCACTAAGTCGTGTCCAACTTTTGTGACCCCATGGACTGCAGCCTGCCAGATTCCTCTGTCTGTGGGATTTTCCAGGCAAGAATACTAGAGTGAGTTGCCATTTTCTTCTCCAGGGGTCTTCTGTACCCAGAGATAGAACCCGTGTCTCCTTCCTTGCAGGCAAATTCATAACAGACAGATCCACCAGGGAAGCCCGTCTCCCAAAGGAATTGCCAGGGCTTTCTTCACAAAGACCCTTAAAAGCTCAGTCTGGGGACAACTCGCGCACAGCCAAGAGCTGGAACATCCGTGCTGACTGAGTCCAGGTTTCTCCTTCCCGCAAAGGAAATCAGCAAGAGTTTATGATGGAAACAACTCTGGAAACAACTCTAGCCTATGGCCAGCAAAGCCGGCTGTGCTGACCTCAAGCAAATCACTGAGGAGGCCGCTTTTGTCCTTTTATAAATTAAGAAGGGCGCTGTAATCTGCACTTCTTACTGAAATTAGCATCTCCTCCTTTGCCTTCCCCTGATCTGACCTCTCAGCAGCTTGGGGGCAAGAATTTCTAGAGGCGACTACTTTATGGGCGCACAGAAAATTTATGTCACCTCCACAGACGTTTCTCCGTCCTGTCGCTTCGCTTCTCAGTCAATCCCAGGAGTCTGATTCATGGATGACACATTTTCCCAAAACATTTTCCAAAACCGCTAGATCGCGCTGTCGGACAAGAAATCTGAAGCTCGGGACCCGCCGGGAACCCAGGAGTCGGAGGGAGAAGAGGTGGGAGCAGTGGATGGGAAGAGGGAGGTGAGGGAGATTCCGGGATGCAGCCTGAGAAGTAAAAGCCAGGAAAAAAAACAAACGATAAATCCAGCCGGCGCTGCCTCAGTCGATAAATATCATTCAGTTCAGTTCAGTTGCTCAGTCGTGTCCGACTCTTTACGACCCCATGAATCGCAGCACGCCAGGCCTCCCCATCCATCACCAGCTCCTGGAGTTTACTCACTCATGTCCATTGAGTCGATGATGCCATCCAACCATCTCATCCATAAATATCATTAGTTTATTGCAAAAAACTGGTTCCGAGGGGGTATTAAGAACTGGACGCACTACTGAAAGGGAAGACAGTTTACAAATTGTTTTTTTTTTTTTTACGTTTGTCTGCTCATCATGCTGGGAGCCCAGCAGAAGGGCACCCTGAGGCCAAACAGTGCAGACCGCCCGCTGGGAGCACCCCTCCCCCTCGCTCTCCTCAAGAGCGCCTTTGAATTGCACTTTGAATTGTACTCGTGTTCCCGGGAGTGCGTGTGCTTGGATTAGTTTGCGGATGAGCATCTGTGCATTTCCCGACCCGGGTGTCCCCAACCTTCTCCTCTCACCCTACTCAGGAAGTTTTGTGTATGATCCTTTTTTCAACGGGAGAGAGGACTTCTGCAGCCGGTGGATAACATTACCTATACTTCTTTGCAGCAACTGTTCTCGAGTGTATTAAATCTAAATTTGGGAACGAGACTGCTTTGAGCCGGAGAGGACGGCCTTGAGGGTCCCCAGCCGCCGCCAGGCGCGTGGTCTTGGGCGGACGCCTCTTCCACCGACTCTGCCGCCTCCAGCCTCCAGAAGGGGAAGCCCGCCTCTGCGCTCCGCTCCCCGGCTCGATTCCCGGGCTGCTAGATGCATCTGCAGTTCTGAATCAAATCAACAGCGAACTCTTTTTTTTAATCCCCAAATATCAACACCTAGGGTTAAGTAGCTCCTAGGCTAAAAAAAGTACATAAAGAAAAAGAGCGCGCTCGCGTGCACACACGCACACACACACATTCCACCCGGGCGAAATGCAAACTCCAGCCAGCCTGGGCTGACTTGACAGAGGTGTGGATTTCCCAGGGGCATCCCCGGCGGTTCCAGGCCACCGGCAGCACCGTTGGGTGCCCGGGGCCGTGGATGCCGGGACTTCTTTGCTTCCCCGCTCAGTCCCAAGGCTGCCACCCGCCTAGGAGTGGAGTGAGACAGAGGGTGAAGGGCTGCTACCCGGGCGATCACCGCGCACTAGGGTGTTCACGTTGGGTTATTCACGCCTGGGGCGCTGGAGGTTTGTGCCAGACACTTGGGCTGTGAGAGTTTGAAGGGGAAAAGGCCTGTGCACTGTGCATGTGTGGGCTCTTTGTGTGAGTTCCCAGCTGGACTTCCAGTGGGCTGTGTGTGCTCGGGGAATGTGCAGAGGTGGCGATTCCCATTTTCCTCCCTCCCCGCCCCCCAACCCCGTCCCCCCTTAATCTTCTCTCTGGCTTCCTCTAGAGCAGCCTGTGCGTGGGGCGGAGTACAGGGGACCGCTCGCTCTGCGAGTTCTTGCCATTCTGAAGGCAAGTTCGGAGGCTATCGAGCCCGGTGGGGGGAAGGGCAAATTAACAGATGTCAGATCAAACAGGGAGACGAGGTTATATTGGCCACCCGGCCTCCTCCTCCACTGCGGGCGGTAAATTCCAGCGCCGGAGCCGCGGCGTTCCCCTCCGCGCCCTCGTCTCCATCCCCGGTAGCTTCATTGAGGCAGACTAACCCCTGGGCTCCAAGAGGCCAAAAGGCGCAAGGCTTGCGCTGAGCGCACTGACTTGTGTAACCCGAACGTTTCCTGAAGCGCTTTTCCGACGCCGCAGGGTAGGTGCGCCTCACCTCCTCCCGGGCATCTAATACGGTTTGGCAGCCCTCGGTGCCAGGCGCCCCGCTCGGGGCCAAGAGGTGGCGCAGAGCAGGGAGCGGGGCGGCCAAACCTGGAGAAGGCGCTGGCAGAACGCGAGCCCCCATCTGGCCACCAGCGCCCAGCAGTGAGGGTCGCGGGGAAACTCACTTCCCTCCGTCGCCTTGACCCCGCGGCGTTTGAAGGGCAGAGCTTTCTTTCCGAAGCCTCGACTCGGAACCAAGTTTTGTTCTGGCTCAAGTGAGACATTTCGACGGTGGATGGAACTTGTTCCCGAGCGGGCTTCTAGTTCGGAGGATCCCTAGGTTTCATAGCATTCCTTCATTTTGGCTCAAATGAGGCCTCCCAGTTCCATGCCGGAGCACCGCGGGGAGAGAGAGACAGGACTGGGAAAGCCATCCCGCCGCTGAGCCCCGCGCCGGCGGCCATCCGGGTTTCCAATCGCCCGAGATTGAAAAAGACAGAAGGCGCGCCGCGTGCACAGACAGTTAGTTAATGGAAACGCCGTAAATCGGTTTTAAGTGCACCCCAGGACGGATGGGGAGAAAGGTGTAGGTGGCGATGATGGGGGATGGGGCTAACGATGGGGTGGGGTCGGTCACATTCTTGCAGTTCTATACAGGCGAATCGCTACTTCCTTCCCCCCTCCTTCTTAATTTAGAAAAATAAATTTAATTTAAAGAAAATCGCCCGGAGAGGGAAACCCGAGCTCCCCAGCCCGCCCCAAGCGGAGGAGTGAGCGGATTCCCTTGGCAGTGAACCCGGCCGCGGCTGTCGTTCCCCCCACCCGCCCCTCCCCGCTTCCTCTGCATCGCCCCTGCCCCCTCCCCTTCTCCCCTCCCCGCCGGGGCACTGCTACTACGGCGATCGCCACCTCACGCCGAAGGAATGCTCGAAGTATGCACACGTTCCCAAAAGTAGACCTCCTTCACCGCCGGAGGAGCATACATCACCCCGTGGCAGCCGTCCACCTTCTCAGGCGTTTCGTAACCGAGTAAACTTGAGAGCTGGGAACAGCCCTCTATTAAGGAGCCCGCGGCGCGGAGCCTCTTCCCATTCGACCAAGGCAAGCCGACCCAGACGCGTCCGCGCGCCGGCAGCTGCGGTCTCGGGCCGTCTCCACCAGTCCGGCCGCGCCCGCCGCTCCGCCCGGGCTCCACCGCCTCCGGCTCGCTGGTGGCCCTGCGGCCTCTCCACCTCTCCGCGGCCGCCAGGTGCGCCCGGAGCGCAGCGCCGACCGCCGGGCGTGCGCGGGGGGTCACACCGAGCGCCGGCTTCCGCGACGCCGGGAAGCCTCTGTCGCCGCCGCTACCTCGGTCACCACCGCCTCAGGTCGGTCTGTCTGCTAGCCGCCCCCCACCCTCGCCTCGTCCCTTCCAAAGATGACTGGGGAAACTCACTTCGAGCCTCTTCCTCGTTCGGCTCTGAGCCATTCTGGAGCCCGAGCGGGGGCCGTTTGAACGTGCGCCTGGGCTACCCGGAGGTTTTTTTTGGGTTCATTAGTAACATGAAGGGGGAAAGAAATGCAGTTTTTTTCTCAAGAGAGGATGCCGGGCGGCTGTGCGTGCGTAAAGCACCGCTTCACTGTTCCAGCTGGAGGAGGCATTTCGTCTATAGACGCTTGTTTGAAATTGACGAGGGGTGCGCGGGGTCCTGGAGCCGCCGGTCTCCCCCCGGCCTCGCGGTGCCGGAGCGCAAAGGTGACGCCCGGGGCGGAATTCTTTGGGCCCGCCGACCCCTCGTCGAGGCTGCGCTGGTTCGTGTGGCATCTGGAGGTAGATTCCCGGGTTGGTGTTCTGGCTCCTTCCTCCGCTTTTCAAAGCATCCCAGAGCGGGGGTTAGTTCAGCTCTGGGGGGCTCCCCTTTGGCCTGACATTACCCAGCTTCTCCCCAGGGCAGAAGGGGTGGCCCTCCTCAGGGTCGTGGAAACTTTGCGCGGGTTTCCATCCTCTATCCTAGAGAGTGGAGGGATCGCAGAGGGTTTTAAGGAGCGGGGAGTGTAGTCAGGGCGCAGAAGAAGTACACCGCATCGGGCACCCTTAGGGGCCGCAGGTGGTCCTTGCGGGGCTTGCCGGGGACCCCATTCCCTTCCCCTCAACCCGGATTCTGTGGCCTTCTAAAGCGTGCTGACACGCTGGGGAGGGATGGGGCAAGAAAGGAAATGAGCGCTAAACTTGGTGGTCCTTGGGTAACTAATGGAAGGGACTCAGTGGGTTAGGACGGCGGTAGGTGACGCGCAGGAAATCTGGAGGGACCCCGCGGGGGTGGGGGGTGCAATTGCCTTTTTTAACTTGGCAAGAATTGGCCTCTTCCAGCGGAGTTGGGGGAGGGGACGAGTTGGCCCAAGGAGCTGAATCCAAGTTTCCAACCCCCCATCTACGCCCCCCACCCCCGCCCCCACTGACTCGTTTTCATTCATGAGTGTGTGAAATGGCCCTGCTGCCACGTAGGGGCGGCCGATTTCAGACTTTCTGTGTCTGAGAATGCTCAATGAAGTGTTGCTAATCATTCAGATAAATGTTTTGGCTAAAAGGAGAGGGAACTTTTCTTTTCTTTGTTTCTTCGTCTTCTTTTTAAATATGGGTGTAATGCCTGGCTGGCTGGCAGAACTGAGTTTATGTTCAGATACCGCGACGAGACAGGATCCATTGTGCCGCTGAGTTAAGACAGCCGATAAGTGGCGCTCTAGACCCGCCACAAATTTTACAGCGAGTTCAGCGGTTAAAAAAGGAAAAAAAAAATCTGCATACAGTTTTTCGGTGGGTCGATTGTCACCCTTTAACTTTTCGCGAGCACAACTGCCAACTGAGTTGGAAATTATTATAGCGAAGTTAGGGCCAGATGATGGGAACAATGGACTGGTCTCACCTCTTGCCTTTTACTGATGTAGAAGAGGGTTAGACATGTCAGTTAGTTGTTAAGTAGGAAGAAAGAAATTGCTAGAGTCCTTGGATCTCCAGAGCAGCGGGAAAATTTTAATCTTGGCTTATAAAAAGGAGTTCCCGGCAATTTGGCAAGCCTGTTCATCAGACATTTAAAATGCAATTTACGCTCGGGCCCAGGAAAGCTGCCCTGATACATCATGCCAATAATTTGGAAAGACATGGTTGGAGCTTGTCAATTTCTTTTCTCAAAGAGGGCTCAACCTTTGGCTCCTTTTTGGATTCCCAAGCATGACTTCGTTTTTCAAGGGGCCTGGTCTGTTGCCTTACAATAATTTAAGTATCTCAGAATCAAATCTCTTTTTCTGTTTGCCTCCGGCAGTCTTCCACTTTTAAGTTCATCGCTAGTAGCTTTTGTTCCTGAGTTGGACCTTAGAATAGTTTAGATTTCCTTCTACCAACATGGATTAGGCACCTACCTACTATGTGTTACTTGCCACAAAAGGTGAATACGTTTCCTTGTCTCGAAGGAATTAATAGCCTAGTTACAGAATCAGGGAAAATCAGAGTAGAATTTATTCTCCTCTGGAGCATGTAAACCTGTAATCTTCTGGAATAAATGAACAGTTAATTGAGAAGAGTAATTATTACTGAGAATTTTATTTAAAAAACCTTGGAAAAACAGACAAGAGTGCTTTGTCTCTTCTATTGTATTTTCCTTTTTATTATGTATTTCAGAGTTGTTTTTTTCCTCATCTTGAGTGAAAGATTTATCAGATGTGAAGACAACACAGCTAGCAGGAGGGTCAAGTTTCTCTTGGGCTTTACATGTTTCTGTATAATCCATTTCAGACCTTCAAGGGCTGGATATTTGTAGGCAGAACAAAATGAAGAAAAAAAGAGAGTAAAAGAGGCTTATACTTTTCCAAATTACCCTGAGACTACTAAAGTACAGTTACCTAAAGAGTTCCACAGCTAGGGAAAAAAAAAAAAAAGGCTGGCCAAATAAAAACCCCAGCTGGAAGAGACATTTAGTTGACCCAGGGATAAGATGATCTCTGAATTAGCCATCACCCAGGCAGGATGAAGTCATGTGGGGCCTGATAAGCCCCTTCACCCGGGATGCTAAGCAGGTCCGGCCTCCAGGCAAACAGGACCCTCTTTATTTTATTTTTTTTCATTTATGTTTATTAGTTGGAGGCTAATTAGTTTACAATATTGTAGTGGTTTTTGTCATACATTGACATGAATCAGCCATGGATTTACATGTATTCCCCATCCCGATCCTCCCTCCCACCTCCCTCTCTACCCAATCCAGGACCCTCTTTAAACTTCAGCTCGCTCTCAGGGCCCTGGTTGAACTGCTGCAGACAAACTTGACTTCTCCCACTGCTCTACAATAGGACCCATTCTCTGCCCGGCTGGGCCCTGTGGTTATTAAGGCAGAGCGGGTAGGGTCCTGGCCCGGGTCCAGGCTCCAGTTCTAACCTGGTTCCAGGCTCGCCCGGACCCGGTTCTGATGCGGTCACTGTTTCCTCCGGCAGATCCCTTCATGTGGCTGTGAGCCCCGAGGCGGAGCATGCGGACCAGGCTTCCCCCAGCGCTCGCCGCCCTGGGCGCGGCCCTGCTCCTGTCTTCCATCGAGGCAGAAGGTAAAAGGCTCTTCCCTCCTTCTCCCCCGTGACAAGGTAGAAGTCTAGAAAGGAAAGAAAAAAAAAAAAAGCAAACCTTCCTTGCTACTGTTGCTCGATCTGTTTCCCCTGCACTTCGTGTGTTTCCTCCCGGGGTTTCTCTGCTTCGGAGAAACGCCCCCTTCTCTGAGGTTCGTCCACCTCCCAGCTCTCGGGTCCGGCTTTCTCGTCTTCCGCTTGCTCCGTTCCGTACAGTGCTGTGTGCTGTCCCTGCGCTTGTCTCTGCGGTGTGCTGTCCACACCGCCACCGCCGCTGCCGCCTTCCGAGCGAGGACCAGCCGCCCGGGAGGGGGCGACGGCTGCACCGGCGCTACGGACCGGACGCCGGAGGGTAGTACCCAGGAGCCCCGGAGCGCGCGGCGCGCTGGCTCGTGCGCGTGGCTGGGGAGACCCTGGCTCGGGGCCGCGACCTCGGTGACAGCACCAAATAAAAGACTCCAACAGCGCCGGCTCTGCGCCTCTGTGTGTTTTGTGGGGGTCCGGTCGGCGAGGCGGGCGGTGCGGGCACGTGAGCAGCCGGATCGCCCCCGGGAGTGGGTGGTCGGTAGCGATCCGGGACCCGGGGTGTGTTGGCAGTGGCCAGGGGTGGAGGTGGGGGGTCGCTGCGTCCCTGTTTGGTTCGCTGCCCTCCGGGACGCCTGGCCCAAGCCCAGACCCAGCCCCTCGCGCACAGGTTGGGTCTGGGCCAAGGTTCTTAACCCAGGGAGCAGGTGGGAGCCTGGCAAGCCGGCATCACCTCCTCCAACCCTCCTTCCCCCAGTATCAGCCATGGGCGCTGAGTCTTCTCAGCTTCAGAGATGGGCTCAGGGCCCAAGGGTCTGGAAGGGCTCTATAGGCTCCACCCCTTAGAAAATGAAGGACTTTTGCTAGATTTTCAACCTTATTTCATTCTTACTTTTGTGTGCATTTGATGGCTTCATTTATCAGTATTGGTGGAACAAGCCCTTTCTGGGTATTAACCCAGTAGGCGCTTCTGTGTTTCCTCAGTTATGGGAGATCTGACACTAGATTTATTGTTCTGCAAGGTAAATGGGGTACTACCTTAAAAGACAACTTAAAAATATACTTTTTTTTCCCTTCAATAAAGTAATGCTCCCGATGGAGCTAAGGGAGAAAAGCAATACTTCTGGGTGGGGAAGTGTGGAAATTGGGGGTGGGGTTCAGAAGGTGAAGCTTATTTAGAGGTTGTGGGGAAGTAGAAGGTTTCAAGACAGCACTGAGATTTTCCAAAAACTCTGTCGTGTTCAATTCTCTGGTTCAAGACCGAAAGTACAAAAAAATTAAGATTAGGAAAAGTAGAGTCTTCAAAATGTACAGCATGTTCAGAAAAGAGGGGAACTTGCTGGCTCTGCTTATCTGATGAATACTTCATGAATGTAGAGCTTTTCAGAGTGGCCTCTGTGAAGTAATATTCAGATGAGAGTGCTTTTAATGTTCCTTTCTATGTCGTTGTTAGGAAGGAATTTCACTGGAGGAACTTCTGGAAGCCCCACTCAAGATATTTTTAGATAATTCACTTAAGTGGCCTATTTATTGCTCATTAAGAAAATAGTTATTTGAAAATCAGAAAGAGTTGTGAATTCTTAGGACAAGAATTGGATTGGAAATGATGTAAGTGGAAAAAAATCAGTTCTCGATTGGATAATAGATAGTTAGCAAAGTGCAGTTAAAAAGAACATTTTGCTATCTACATTACTGATTATTTCCATATTTCTCATAGTTTATCTTTTAAGTTTGTATTTATTTCCACAGTATAGCTCTTTCTTTTGCTTTCTTAAGCTGTTTCTCTTCTTGTCTCTCACCTGCTTAGGTCAGCATTTAATAATGATATTTTAATAAGATTTTTAATTTGAAGGGGACCTCATTCTCCGGTTTGACACTGTCAAATAGAAATATATTGTGAGCCGCAAATGCAAGCCACACATGCAACTTAAAATATGCTGATTGTGACATTAAAAAGGGAAAAAGAAACAGGAGAAATTAGTCTTTGTAACATATTTCACTTAACCTAATATATCCACTGTATTGCCATTTTAACAGGTAATCAATATAAAAGTTATTAGTGAGATATTTTGCATTTTTTGTACTGAGTCTTTGAAACTGGGTGTGTATTTTACACTTGCAGTGCATTTCGTCCAGACTGGCCACATTTCAAGTGCTTGATAGCCACATGTGGCTTGTGGCTCCAGTATTGGACAGGACTCCTCCAGTGTTAATCACCAACTAAGTGGCCCCAGGAGGCTGGGAAGGGCTAACAAAATTTGTAGCCAAGGCGTTTCTGGGGACAATGGGCTGCAAACAGAAGTTCTCTGAATCATTTCTGTTGATACATTTCAAAACTTCCAACTGGCAGCCCTGCTTCTTGAGATGTCATTTTGACCTTAATTCTGGAGTAGCCATTGTAACTTTTCTTTCCCTTTTGCAACTTGTACTCTTGTCTTCATACTATTTTCCAGTCAATTTCTACTTAATTTTTTTGCATGTGTGGAAAGTTCCATACCTTGAATTACAAGATTTTGGCATTCACTTTTTGCATTTATCTTTTTTTTAAATATAGGGAGTACCACCTTTATCATGTTATTTTATTCTACCTACTTGTACAAGGAACTTTATTTTTCATTATTAGTATTTTGTCCCATAAAATAAGAGTGAAAGTGAATTTTTCTTTTAATAATTTTTAGGTGCAGCATAGACTTTATTAAGCTTATAACTTGGCCAGCTTTCTGTAAGATCTAGAATGTGTGAGTTATTTTTGGTTCCTGTATCATACGATACATTAATTGCCATTTAGAAAATTTAACACTTAACATTTAAAGGTCAATGGCCAGTGTTCCCTAAGAATTAGACACCTTTCTAATTAATCTAAATTTGGGGTGATCCTATGATCTATGAAAAACAGTTGTAATTTTAGAAGCTCTGATTTGTAGTTCATAATATACAATGAAATGTTGGATATTTTTAATTCATAACAGAGCAGAGGCCATAAGCTTTAATTTTCTTGTGTCTAGGTTAAGAGGCAAGTTAATGCCTATTTCTATAATCCTGTGTCTAACTTGCAACAGAAATTTCAAACTAGATGGGAACATATAGTCATCTATTCTAATTTTCTCATTCTCCAAATGAGAAAATGAGGACCAGAGAGGCTGAATAGCTCAGTTAACAATCGTGATGCCTACACGGCGCAGGCAAGACCCAGGTTTTCTAGTCCAGTGCTTTGCGAGTTTGCTCCCATTGCGCTGCTTTCTTGCTTGACAGTGGGTCAATCCAGTCAGTTTAATGAAAGAATGCATTTTGTAATCTGTACAGAATAATTTATTACTTGTCTGAAACATGAACTTTTCAACTGCTTATTTCTGGTATCTTTTAAACACAAATGAAATAAATATCTGTTTCATGGCAAAGGTCATTTAAGTTATACTAGCTTTGGACAGAAAATAAAAATTAGTGCCTACTGAATATAGTAAAACTATACTTTGCTCGCTTCTCCAAGTTTCTACCATTAAAGTAGTACCCTTCTCAGTATTGCTATCACAAAAATTAGACTAAAGTTCTTACTGGTTCATCAAGATGATATTTTAGCAGTTTGTTCTTAGTTTTCCTTATCTTTAATACACTTCATACATTTACCAAATCTTATTAAGCTAATCTCCTCTCACCTGTCCATCCATCCTTGCACTGTTGTTAAACTCTTGGACGTATCTTCCTTTTGAGTGCCATAATGAATAACAATGTTTTGTAAAAACTATATATCAAGATAGACAGTTTGGTTTTAAAATTGCTTAAATAAGTTGTAAAGTTAATATACCAAATTTTATCTGTGTCTGAATTGGAGATGTCAGAATAGCACATATTTATTGTTGATGAGGAATCAAATAAAGATTTTTCGTAGAGTAAGTAAAATACTTATGTATAGTTTGATAGCCAAATTCATATCAATATTGGTTTCTAAAGTTAATCTTTCATGCAAGTATTTCTTATTTAATAAGCCAGTATGGTAGAAAACTGTATGCTCTGGAGTCAGACTATGGGGGTCAAAGTTTTGCTGCTTATTTTTTGCTGTGTTAACCCTTCTGAATTTCACTGATTCGCCTGTGAATCAGATAATAAGGCCACTCTGCTGGGTGGTCATGAGAGGAGAGAGAGACAATATATAAAGTGTCCAACTCTCTGCCTGTCATAGAAAAGACACTCAGCAAACGCTAGCTATTATTATCATTGCTAAAAAGTCCTAAATCCTGCCAATTTATGTAAAAAGATATATCAGAATGTAGCTTTGATAGCATAGCCTTTTGATAACAAAAAGCATTATTCATAAATATGAACTTAAACTGCTAGTGTTATGAATACTTAAAACTTTAGTTTCTTCACTATCAGTATTCAGTTTTATGACTATATTAATATACCCGATTGCTACCTTATTCATTTATAATTACACTTCTATTTATCTTCATTCCCGTCATATTCTACACAACGATGACTGTTTGCAATCACAATCCCTATGTAGATGGTTTTATTAGAAATATTCTGGCATCTGCATTCACTGTTTATAACGATGCAAGGGCAGTTGTGAATTACTTTGATATAAAATGAAAGACTTTTGAAGTTAATGAAAATATATTTTGCATTGATTCACGTCAACAAGGGTCCACACTCAAACCTGCTTTATTATGTTTTTTTCATGAAAAAACAAACAAACAAACAAAATACATAGAATGGCAAGCCTGAAAGATTTTACAGGTGATAAAAGTGGCAAGAAGAAAAGTGCAAAGGGCTGTCTGTTGTACACGTGCTGGTCAACCATCCTTTCTTACTTTTGATCCCTAAGTACCACATCTGAGTTTCTATGAACACCTTAAAATCCAATTGTTAAAGACTTTTCCCAACAGTCAATTTTTCAGTTTTTCTGGAATCCTGGTCATTTGGAAATCAACAAGGTGGGCTGCTGCTGCCCTTCAGCAGTTTTAACCTAGTGTCTGCTGCTTCAGGTCAATTTCCTTGCAAGGTTGGTGGTACTGTTTTTCCATGTACTGATTTTTCAAAAGCATGCTCAGGCCAGTTGCGTCTGCCTTTGCATTAAATTTGTCCTGAGCCATTGCTACTGGAACAATATTTTATAATGATATTCTTAATACCTATTGTCCTATTAACATCTGTTGCATGCTTGTTATACTAAGTGATGGCTACCGGGAAACCTCGCAATATGGTTACAGACAGCAGAATGTTGAATAATTAAACTATGCATGTAGATTAATAGTCTAATCTCACTGCCTGTGTATGGATAGTAGGAAAATAACATCCATTCCATTACTAGTGTATACAGTAAAAATAAAAAGCCATCTCCTACAGTTGGAAACAACAGTTCCTTAAAGCAAATGTTTGCTTAATTTGTATCATTTCCATTAAAATGTGCTATTAATATTATATAAATCCCTAACCCCAGTTAAATTCTATGACTCATGTCTCCAAGCTACTACTGCAGTTCAATTGACCTTTAGGAAAACCTAAAAGGAGAGTGTGATCTCTCAAAACAGATGCAAAAATTCTGACTCACAAGGAATACTTTCAGTCTTAAAACAAAGAAGAGTATGGCAGAAAGTCATTTTACTGTGTTGACCTGCTTCAAGAGTAATCATTTTGAATGCATCGACCATGCACTGTCAGTGAGTCAGTACAATGCTGCATGATGAGGCATGAACATTGCAGGGAGAATATCATTATAAAATATTTCTGGAACGTCTTTGTGTAATGACTACTGTACATGGAGGCTTTCATTCATTGTGGGAAACTAAAAACCCAGTCAACATTTCATTGACACGTGCATGATGCTGAACAGTTTTGTATGTAAACTATTGCTTTCTGTACGTTTCAATTATTCCTGTCATTGACTTCTCCAAGATTTATGCGGTCATGTCTTCAGATTGCTTCACTAGTTTCTTTAAGTTCTGTAAATAAATGTCCATAAATATACACTGATGTTGTCTTTTCATAATTAACCATTGTTTTTGTAAAAGGACCATACTGGCATTTTAACTTAAAATGCCACTTCTAGTATGGAATATACCTGCTGCAAAGGAAAATAAGTGTTGGTTTACACCTTGCAAACATAGAGCAAATTGGTGTAAACAGGCAGAATATTACTTTTATAAACACCTGTATATCATTCTTTATATATTTATAAATGATTGACATCCCTTATGACTATTTTTGAGTATTGGTCTATTTGAGTACAAATATACATTTAAATGTATATTTCCTTGTGAAACGCAACAGTGCTAAATTTCCCAACAGTGTTTCTTCCTTTTTATTAAAATACATTTTTCATCTCTGCCACAGACTGAGAATTATCAAACAAAAATTAATAACAAGGCAATGATGCAGAGAATGAACCAAAATATCATTGATTTTTTTTTCCATATTATGAAAAAAAATAGTATTATGTCAGTGTTCTAACTTAACTTCTGTGGTTGTAAGCAGGTTGTGATTTGGCATGCTTATTCAAAATGCACTCAGCATGTATTGAAATTTCCTTAATTGTTATGTGAATTGTTTGCATATGTGGTTATTATATGTGATTTCATTGTACCTGTATGTACTGTATCCAAATTTGTTTCTATTATGCTTGATTTTGCTGGCCATTCTTGGATGACCTAGCAACTCAAGAATCCAAAGCGTTTTGTGCTGTCTTCTGTAATATGTAATCTCTCTGATGTTTTGTCATACCGTGTCAGCTTTTAATTTTATTCTCGTCCAACAAGATATCTTTTATATTTGTTGGAAACAAATTTATGCAAAGACAATTTTAGTAAGCTTTGCTCAACACAATTCTTTATTAATTAAATTGACCATTTTGTGACATTGGAAAATGTAACATACCAACTCTCTCTTTTTGCAGTTGAACCACCTTCAGACTTGAATTTTAAAATTATAGATGAAAATACTGTTCATATGTCATGGGCAATACCACCTGATCCAATTGTGGGTTTCAAAATAACAGTGGACCCTACAACGGGTAAGTTTTGGGATGTTGGGGTTTTCGGACAGAGACATCCAAGATGATATACTCTGATCATTCCTCTACCTTCCACTTCATTATGAGGAAGCCAAGATTTAGAAAACACGAGGGGTTTACCTAATGTCACAAGACATTTGGTGGACTCAGGCCTCCAGATTTCCAGCTCAGGACCCACTATTATATTTTTGTAGTGTAACTAGGTTTGCTGTGTAAAGCTGTTAGACTTTATCCCCTGATCAGAATATTGCTGGTAATCTTTGATTTTATAAAATAGAACGATCACTGCTTGACATTCTTCTTGAATCACTTAATCTGTCCAACACTTCAAGTGACAAGTGATGAAGTGAGGTGTTACACTTTACCCAGTGTCCTGCTCACTTCAGTGCTCAGGACACAGTGTTCTGGGATCGTGGTGAGCTGCCATGATGGAAGACAGGATTTACTGGGTAAAGTCTGTAGATCTAAGACTAAGAGTCAGTATCCATGATGTTGTTTGAGTAGGGAGAACCAATCTCTCTTCATTAACTTTTATTTCTAACATGGAATGGGAATAAAACCATTTTTATGAGCACTGGCCAAGTGGTAGGAAGGGGTCTTGATGGAGTGATAGAAGAGATAGATGATGTCAACATACCTTATCACCAGAGCTGTGTTTGCATACTTATGGCCTTTAAAAATGCCCATGATTTTAAATGCTGATTTATCAGGGGATTGAGAAACTGTTACCTGTTTTCAATATGATCCAAGAGCTTAAAAAGGGATCAGGCATTTACTTTTTCTTCCTTGAATCTTTTCTTCCCAAATATATTTGCAGTTAACTATTTCATTGATTCCAAAGCTGAAAAGCAGTTGAAAAATTCATCTGGTTTCCAGATGTTGGAAATGACTGACTGTAAAAATGCACACTGGGACCATCCATACCCACAGAGTCCTGGGTCTTATTTTCCCATGGTGGGCCCTGGTTGGTTCGGGAATGCTCCACATATTAACCTGGAGCATTTCTCAGGGTTCTGTCATACTTGTTGCCTTTTTTGGTTATTAATGTTTTGATGAAAATTAATATGGTTAAGAATTTTAAAAGTCATTTTGTCTCTAACAACTACTGTTTCCTGTTGAACTGAACATTAACATAATCTAAAAGGAAATACATAATTGTCAACATGTAAGGAAATGCTCAGTACACCATACTTTGAAATGTTTGATAGTTAAGTCAGTTCAGAGGACCATGGTTACCCATTAGAGTATGCCCCACCCCTCACTGGCATATGGAGGATACACCTCTCTTATAGAAGTGAATGCTGTTTCCCAGTAGACATTCATTTTAGCCAATGGGGTTTGTTGTCTTTGAGTTGATTTTCAGCCCTTCATTTTCTTTTGGTACTCTCCGATACATAATTTAAAATTAAATTATTTTCGGCTTTATATCTCATTTATAAAAATTTTGTTATCTACCATTAGTATTCAAAAACAGTGAGAGATTTTTTTTTTTAAATATTCTGGTATATCTTTAATCTAGAGGCATACTTGAGTCCTCAAACAAATATGGAATATAATTGTAACAGGTAAAGGCAATGCCAGTTCATTTATTGAATTTCTAGAATTCAAAGTGTTAGTTTTGGAGGACAGTAAAAAATAATGCTTGGGCATTCTGAAAAAAATGTGTATTTTGAATTTTCAGGTTTTTAGTATATCTGGGAATTACATTATATCGTATTACGTTATGTGTAAAAAAGTTTTGTTGCATTGATATTTTCCTTTCTATATTTCCAGATGGGCCCACTAAAGAATTTACCCTTTCAGCTAGTACCACTGAAACTTTATTAACAGAGCTTATACCTGAAATAGAGTATGTGGTGACAATCACTTCATATGATGAAGTAGAAGAAAGTGTACCAGTTATAGGCCAATTAACAAGTAAGCACACATATAAAGTACTTTTATACTTTATATTTTGCAGAAGGTTTCTCCAACTTTCAAATTTAGTTTGTTGTTATGCAGAGTTAATTTACATCAGTATTAACTATTCTTGCTCTGATCCTAGATATTAGTAGATGTGAATAATTTACTCCTGATTTATAAGCTTGGTTTCTGGTAGCAGCAGGAATGTTATGAATGAAAACTATTAAAAAGCATTAGACTTTGCCAAGCTGCAGAGTTAATATCTTTTTTTGAAATATATCTAAAGCCTCACTGAAAATAACTTATTTGCAAGGGAATGCTTATTTGGCTGTATTCTCTGACCAGCTGGGAATACACCATACACTTGAAAGACAATGGTGAAAGACAATATACTTATTTTCTTCTTAGGAAGTATTTGTATGGGTTCATTTCCCTTTGTAATAATCAAGTTTTGACTCAGTTCAAACAGGTGGCCCGACAAAGCCAGGGGAGAAGAAACCTGGAAAAACAGAGATACAAAGTAAGCATTTTCCTTAATATTTGTACATGGTTTTGCAGAAATAAGTTATAAATATAATATATAAAGGAGATGTTCCAACTGGATCCACAGTTTGATCTCACTCCTATATTAATTTCTATAAGGTTTACCTAAAAGTATAGGCAGTGTAATAGTAATGTATGACCAAGTGGTTATAACACCTATGTTCTTACTTTCTAACCATTCTAGGTACTAAATATTCTTTTTACTGGGGGTGTTTTAAGTGTGTGTATGTTTAAGTTTCCCTGCAGTATTTTGGCAGTAGGTGAAAAACAAAGTTTATCACTGGACTTAACTCATTTCTCAAAGACAAATTGTAGAAACAGATGGTAGTTTAGGGACACATGGGAAATAGAAGGTTGGACCACAAGGGAGATGCCCTCATGGTGTCTTTAGCAATTCCATTGCCGTGAAAATCGCTGTATATATTCTGGTCATCTCTAGGGTGTTTATGTGGGCTTGCTTGGTGTGACTGTAACCATTTCCAGAGTCTCTGTAGGATGTCTCTGATAAATTGATGCATTTGTAATCAAATGAAAGCAATTTTATGGTCTGGTTTTGTGGTTTCTAGGCCTTTTTTGTCCTACACTGCTCTGACTTACTGGGATGAAGCCTTAAGTGGTTGGACTTCTAATTTTGCCACCTTATAAATGGGATTTATGACTCAGGATAACAATAAAAATATTGTGAACACAAAGTTCCCTTTATCTGGAATTTTCCCCTCCAGATCACTGTTTATAATTCTTTCTAATGTCTAATAAGCTGAAGCGAAGTTTATAGCATGCAGTTACAATGCAAATATTTTCCCTGAATCATCAATATTTATTCTAAAGCAAAGTATTATTCCAGACATTGACTTTCAATAGACTTATGTTGGCCCATTATATAGTATGCAAAAATTATTTAGGCAGGCAAATTGTATTGGCTTGCAAATTTTTCCAGGACCCTTTCCTTCTTTTCTGAGCCAAATACTTCTCTTATTATCCATCAACTGACTGCAGGGACAAAAATATCTTCAGAAAGTTTACTCAACTTTGCCTTATAAATACAGATTTTCATGAAAACCAACCTGTTTCCCACTCACCAACTGACCACAGAGAGAAGAAAAAATATGTTTGATTACAAACACCAATTGTTGCATTTTTGGGGATTTAGAGATACCACATGTGTTTTTACTTTTGAATTAAAATATTTTCCCTGCATTTTCTTTAGTGAAAGTAGATTTAGTTGTGAAATTTAAATACATTGATGATTAGGACAAGATATTATGGGTGTTTTGCATTACATTTATGATAGTTGTTACTTCTGTTAAGATTTCATTAACCCTCTGAACTAACCGGCTGCCAACTTTAGACCATTACCTTGTAAAGTGCAGGAGAATGTTAAAAGATTTGCTTTTTTCTTCAGCTTTATTGCATTTGCTTAAATGGCACAGCAATTGTTCTGTAATTTTAAGAAAATATTTATTTGACTGCACCAGATCTTAATTGTGGCATGTGGGATCTGGTCCCCTGATCAGAGATGGAACCCAGGCCCCCTGCATCGGTAATGTAGGGTCTTAGCCACTGGACCATCTGGGAAGTTCCTGTTTTGTGTGTATTGATCTAAAAGTACCAAGAATGAAAACACTTTGCTTATATTTCTTTTGTATGCCTCCTAGATATTTTATGTAATTTTTACTTGCAAAAAAGAGTGAGGATATAGTTACAAAAATAGATAAGTCAACAACACAAATGCTTGGGTCACAGACTCTTGGAGAATCAGTCATATATCTTTTCATCTTGTCTTGCACAATGTCTTCTATGACAGTTTAAAGACATAGTTGTAGAAATGCATCTTCATGAAGGTACTGAAAATGCTTCTGTGTGTGTGTGTGTGTTAAGTTGCTTCAGTCATGTCTGACTCTCTGTGACTCTATAGACTGTAGCCCGCCAGACCAGGCAAGAATACTGGAGTTGGTTGCCATGCCCTCCTCCAGGGGATCTTCCCCGCCCAGGGATCGAACCCTTGTCTCATTGTCTCTTGCCTTGGGAGGTGGGTTCTTTAGCACTAGCGCCATCTGGGAACCTGCCCAAAAATGTGTGCCAATAAAATTTTGTGTTCTTTTGTGCTTGTCAGTTGTGGGGAAGAATGATATGAAATGTCCTAATGAACAAAATAATTTTAGGAGCCAACATTTTTGCAATGTTAGTTTGTATTCCTTAATGCTAGATAGATTTAATGGCGTGTCATTTAAAAAAACGTATCACATATATTTCAGAATGTTCTGTCAGTGCCTGGACCGATTTAGTTTTCCTTGTGGATGGCTCATGGAGTGTGGGAAGAAACAATTTCAAGTACATCTTAGACTTCATTGCTGCTCTCGTGTCTGCTTTTGACATTGGGGAAGAGAAGACAAGGGTTGGAGTTGTTCAGTATAGCTCTGACACGAGGACGGAATTTAACTTAAATCAGTACTACCAACAGGAAGACCTGCTCGCCGCAATTAAAAAAATCCCATACAAAGGTGGCAACACAATGACAGGTATTTTTTTTACAAATTTAGTTTTGTGTACAGTACGTGAAGTGTCTGTTTGGGAAAGGAATGATGGGCTGCACAAATGATCATATGTTAAATAATTTTGAAAGCAATCTCACAGTTTTTGATTTTAGTAAAATTGTATCGTGCGGAGTGACTGAACGTATCTCTTTTTCATTTCAGGGGAAGCCATTGATTACTTAATTAAAAATACGTTCAAGGAATCTGCTGGGGCAAGAGTTGGCTTTCCCAAAGTGGCGATTATCATTACAGATGGCAAATCCCAGGACGAAGTGGAAATTCCAGCAAGAGAGCTTCGAAATATTGGGGTTGAAGTGTTCTCTTTGGGTAGGTCAAGTTTGGTGAAGTGTTTTCCTTTTAGAACTACTTTACTACTTCAAGCTCAGAAGATGAAGGCTTGATTCCTCAAAAAGGATCCTTCCTCAAGGAAGGACAGCAAGGTTTACTGCATCTTATAGTGTAGTGTTAATCCAAATCAGTTTTGAGTAAAATTCTGCTTGTCTATTTCTTTCATGTAACACATCCCTTTTTTTAAAAAAAAACTTTTTAATTTTGCATTGGTGTATAGCTGATGAACGATGTGATAGTTTCAGGTGAATAGTAAAGGGATTCAGTCATACATGTACATGTATCCATTCTCCCCCAAACTCCCCTTCCAGTCTGCCATATAACATTGAGCAGAGTTCCATGTGCTACACAGTAGGTCCCCATTGGTTATCCATGTCCCTTCTTTTTAAAAAAGGCATTAGAGCTGCATATGTATTAAATAAGGCGATATTCACATTCCTTGTCAACCCTCTGCTTTTCAAAGAATTCTGGGCCAGTGGTTCTCATAAAGGTCCTCCTTGTATTATCATTAAGTGTTTTATATGTGTTTCCTCTATTATGTAACGCTTGAAGAATTCAGAGGGCTCCAGCTCATTCAGGACTCTGGAAGAAAAAAGCATTATCTTCACAGATGGCAGCAGGGACAAATGATGGCGTGGTTGGCATGAGAGCCCACTCTGTCTTACCGACCACTCATTTGCCTCTGTGGCCACATTATGTGAAATGAGAAAATGTCATTCAACCATTTTTGTCCTTTCAACAGTTGCACACTCGTTGGGAAACAAAGCAATTCCCGTTTATGACTGAATAAGGATTTGAAAATGTCTTCACTTGGGAAAGACTAAGAAAGCAAAGAACTTCCTTGATTTGACCCACTTCCCTTTTCAAAGATCCTGTATGTGTGTGTATGTGTTAGTTGCTCAGTCGGGTCCTACTCTTTGTGACCCAATGGACTGTAGCCCACCAGGCTCCTCTGACCATGGGATTCTCTGAGCAAGAATACTGGAGTGGGTTGTCATTCCCTTCTCCAGGGAACCTTCCTGACCCAGGATCGAATCCGGGTTTCCTGCGTTGCAGGTGGATTCTTTTGTTTGAGCCACTTTTGAAAGAAAGCCCCTTCAAATATCCTACTCCCTTTTTTTAAAAAACTTTATTTTGTATTGGGGTATTGCTGATTAACAATGTTGTGATAGTTTCAGGTGAATAGTAAAGGGATTCAACCATACATATACATGTATCCATTCTCCCCCCAAACTCCCCTTCCATCCAGACTGCCATATAACATTGAGCAGAGTTCCATGTACCATACAGGAGGTCCCCATTGGTTATCCATGTCTCTTCTTTTTCAAAGGCATCAAAGCTGCAGATGCAAAAGAACTCAAACAAATTGCCTCCACACCTTCTCTCAATCATGTTTTCAATGTGGCCAACTTCGATGCCATTGTGGATATTCAGAATGAGATCATCTCCCAGGTGTGCTCAGGTGTGGATGAACAGCTCGGTGAACTGGTCAGCGGAGAAGAAGGTGAGTGAATTGTTGGGTGTTCCCATGTGTTCACCTTTTCCATTATTCGAGAGCATTTGTGGTTTTACAAGCAGGGGGACATTTAGCTTAGCACTCTACAACTTAAACTCGTCACAGCGCTGTTTCAATTCAGTGGCAAAGAGTTTTCTATCACTATAAATTGCGTAGTGTTTTCAAAGCTCTTAAGAATATTTCAAAGAGCAGTCAGTTTGATCCTCCCACTTTTGCAAAATGTCCCCATTTATCAGTCATTGCTTTTAAATACATGGGAGAGAGAGAAAAACATTTCATAAACATCCTTTGGGGCATTAAAAAATCACAGTTTCCATGATTGTTCTCCTCTCAGCCTGAGAATTGACAACTGATTCAAGATAAGTTCTAAATAACTCCATCTTCAATCATGTAGAATCTTTCATCTCCAAACCCCAAGCATTTTGGCAGTGTTCATGGGCTGTAATTCAGTTTCAGAACTCCTTTTTATTACCTCATGGGCTCTGAATCTCTTTCTTTGTTTTACTGCCTAATGTCTGTGATTTTTTGCCCTGTATTGTTACAAAATCCACCCCCGCCTGACTTTCCCCTGGTCATCTTCTCTTCCTCAGTCTTTTAAAACATTTGAGTTTTCATCCTCACTAGGGTGCATGTGTGAGGTTAGGCCAACTTTGGTTCTGCCCCTGTTCACACCCTCCCTGGCAGGGGACGTGGGCTTCATCCCAGGTGTCCACAGTCTTTACTTTGGGGTCTCCTCTCTGTTGCTGGCGATTCCCTGTGACTTCTGTCCCCTCACTGTCTCTGCATCAGTCCAGGGATTTGCCCAGGCTTCCAGTTGGCGTGTCTATTCCTGTCCTCCCATTATTTCTCATTTCTTTAGACGTCATTTTTATGGACAATGTCTGATTGCCTTTCAGAGAAGACAGTGAGTAACCTTGTGCATGTTTTATCACCCAGTGTCTCAGGCTGACTTATAAAAACAGAACCATATCTTCTGGGAAATAGATTCCACTGACAGATCTAAAACTTCGAAGATTTGGTCTGAAATAGCTTAAGATACTTTGTTTTTAGCTAAGTACATGACTATGTTCTACATCGACTGAGGATAGAACATTTTTAGATGATCAGTATTTGCTTATCAATCTGCATGTTGTACACCGTGGTTTCACCTCTGTTTGGTGGCATTCTGAACATAGCTGAACTTTTTCTTCTAAACCTTGAATGAAGTGGAAATACAATTATTTAAAATTATAAGAACCTGTCATTTAAGAACGGCCAACTTCTTATCTTTCTTGGCATGTTATAAAGTAACTTTAAAGTATTACATTATTATGCTTAATGTTTTATGAAAAGGGAAAAAATTTCTAAAGTATTGAGTAAGCCATTGATTTAACAAATATTTATCAAGTTCCTCCTTTGGTACCTGAATAAAGGCCTTGACATGGGTGTGTGCTAAGTCGCTTCAGTTATGTCCAACTCTTTGTGACCCCATGACTGTAGCCTTCCAGGCTCCTCAGTCCAGGGGATTCTCCAGGCAAGAATACTGGAGTGGGTTGCCCTGCCCTCCTCCAGGATAAAGGCCCATGAATGTAATACCAAAACCAAAATGGGAGGTCTTGGTCCCAGAAATGAATTAGGCATCTGATGTTCTATTATTAATTTTTTCAAGGATTTCTTTGCCCTAAACTTCTCATCTCCTGGGTTAAAATTAAGGTACTGAATCTCTGGTTTGATGGGTACAAGTGCAAGTGGGGGCCTGGGACTGGAAACTTTTCCTGATACGTGCACGTGATGCATATGTGCATGCTAAGTTGCTCAGTCATGTCCGACTCTTTGCAACCCTATGGACTGTAGCCTGCCAGGCTCCTCTGTCCATGTGATTCTCCAGCCAAGAATACTGGAGTGGGTTGTGATGCCCTCCTCCAGGGGATCTTCCCAACCTAGGGATCCAACCTACGTCTCTTAGGTCTTCTGCATTGGCAGGCAGGTTCTTTACCACTAGCACCACCTGGGAAGCCCTTTTCCTGATGCGATCATGATTAATTTAAATAGGGAAAATTAAGGTGTAAACGTAAAGACCTCATTAATGGGGTTGCATCTCACTGTTTTTAATCACTGTTCTGCTTATTGTTTTGTAGTTGTTGAACCTCCTTCAAATTTGATTGCCACGGAAGTCTCGTCAAAATACGTTAAGCTAAGCTGGAGTCCATCTCCTAGCGCAGTGACTGGCTATAAAGTTCTCCTCATACCCATGACCACGGGAAGCCGGCAGCATGCTCTGAGTGTGGGGCCTCAGACAACCACGCTCAGCGTCCGTGACCTCTCAGCAGACACAGAGTACCAGATCAGTGTTTCTGCCATGAAGGGGCTGACATCCAGTGAACCTGTTTCAATAATGGAGAAGACTCAACCAATGAAAGTTCAAGTGGGTGAGTTAATAGGGTTTGAAATGTGTGGTGGTCCATTTGATAGTATACCTTTCTGGTTCAGACTTACTTTTAAACAAAACAGTTGCAATAAGTTTCTTTTAAAGAAGCCTGCTTACTAAGAAAGCCAGATGTCTTTGGCCCTCTATATCCATGGGTTCCATATCCACAGATTCAACCACCTGTGTTGTCTGACATTGTTTGAACCCACAGATGTAGAAATCTGTGACTCTGGAGGGCCAACCTACCGTGCCGTTTTATAGAGTGGACTTGAGCATCCACAGAGTTTGGAATGGGAAAGGAGGTTCTGGAGCCACTCCCACCCCCAAGATGCAGAGAAACTGCTGTATTTATGTTTTTATGATTAATTCATATTTGTTTATAAATTTGTTTATTTCAAATGATTAATTGATATTCAAACTTTAATGGGCTTTCTTTCTTTTTTACAGAATGTTCACGTGGTGTGGATATAAAAGCCGATATTGTGTTTTTGGTTGATGGTTCCTATAGCATTGGGATTGCAAACTTTGTTAAAGTTAGGGCCTTTTTGGAAGTTCTCGTAAAAAGTTTTGAGATTTCACCAAATAGGGTACAGATAAGTCTTGTCCAGTACAGCCGGGATCCTCATACCGAATTCACACTGAAAAAATTCACCAAAGTTGAAGATATAATTGAAGCAATAAACACTTTCCCCTACCGAGGAGGGTCTACCAACACTGGGAAAGCAATGACTTATGTAAGAGAGAAAATATTTGTGCCGAGCAAGGGTTCAAGAAGCAATGTCCCAAAGGTCATGATTCTTATCACAGATGGAAAATCTTCAGATGCTTTCAGAGACCCGGCTATAAAACTGAGGAATTCAGATGTTGAAATCTTTGCTGTTGGTGTGAAGGATGCTGTTCGCTCAGAACTAGAAGCCATTGCCTCTCCTCCTGCTGAGACCCATGTGTTCACAGTGGAAGATTTTGATGCTTTTCAGAGGATATCTTTTGAACTCACACAGTCTATCTGCCTTAGAATTGAGCAAGAATTGGCAGCCATAAAGAAAAAAGGTTAGTAGACTCTGTAAAGTAAAAGTTATTCCTTCATGAACAAAGCATTTTGGGTTCTAAAATAGTGGATAATCTGCTTTGTCAATTCTATCTGTAGGAAAAAGTAACTTTCCTGTATTATTGAAAACTACTGAACTTAGCTCATTTACCTCTGAGACATGGCTTTATCCTGACTATGGGTCAGATGTTTATTGGTGAAAAGGCTGTTTACCTTAAGAGTCATGTAGGACCGGGAACCAGCTTTGTCACGCCCATTTGTCATGTCCAATTAAATAACTGTGAATTGAGTGGAGGGCTGAGCTAGTTCCTTTGAATCAAAGGTGACTGCAGTATAGTCCTGGATCTTTGAATTCTTTTTCCTGGACCATTTTTGGGCATCATTCCTCACAAATGAATTCCCTATTCTCTTCTCTTCATTTGGTCAATTTCTGTTTTTCAACATTTGATTAAAAGTCCCATCTCTTGCATCAAGCTTCGTAACTGTTCTAGAGCTATAACGCTTATCACTTGTGGTCATTTGGCATTCAAATAGACCACGTTTTTGTTAATAACCTTGCACTCTCTTCTCGCTTCGGTTTCATTGTATGTCCCCTAAGGACAGTGAGTTTGCCTTCAACATTGTGTCTTCCTATGATTTGGTTTAATAAATATTCTTTTGTTAGGAAAGCATTTTAACTTATTACTTTGAAATATCTATTTATGGTATGACAGAAATATCTGTCAAACCATTTGCTTGATGATTCATCTTAGGTCTGATACTGTTTAAATATTCTAGTTGTGGGTAGGACCATTCTGTTACTGCTTTGCCTTATGAAGCTCAAAACTCTAATGTAGTTTTTTTAAAGTAGTTGTTTTTATTAAACAACATAACTTAGTGTTATGAATGATCAAGACAAATGATCAAGACCTCTTTGCAGGGCTGTGAGTGAGAGTGAGAGGCTGCTTCTCACTGGTCTTGTGGACTACTCATTCAGTGCGTTGGCCTCAGCGACCACTCTCCCAACAGAACGGAAGGCATTTCAGAAAATGCGTAGCTGTTGGGTCCGTGTTTGCTTTGTAGATCGAAAAAATTTAACTATGCCCTTCTTTTTCTCTTAACAGCTTATGTGCCTCCAAAGGATATTAATTTTTCTGAGGTGACTTCCAACAGTTTGAAAACCAGCTGGTCTCCTGCTGGAGAAAACGTTTTTTCGTACCACATCACCTACAAAGAAGCTACTGGGGATGATGAAGTGACGTTGGTGGAGCCGGCTTCGAGCACCAGTGTGGTCCTCAGCAACTTGAAACCAGAGACCCTGTACCTTGTCAATGTGACCGCAGAGTATGAGGATGGCTTCAGTATCCCCTTAGCTGGAGAGGAGACCACCGCAGAAGGTGTGAGGAGGGTTCCCCTCTGTTTCCCCCAAACTAATAGTTTATCACAGAACAGAGTCACCATGGGAAATGACCATCTGCTTTATAGTTCAGCACTGTGAATGCCCTTGTAAGATTCAGTTCCTTTAAAATACAGCTACTCATAAATCTTTTTCAAAAGGGAAAGAGCTTTTAAGTAAAAGACCCTATGTTTATTTTGATGAATTTGAGGTTGAGACAGAGAACCGTTAATGATTGCGGAATTAGCTCTTGAAATACTGCTTATCTAGCATTTTCTATCCCATGTTTCAAATACTTCTGAGCTACCAAACCTCTGATGACAGATATATATTACCAACTTTTTAAAATTGTGGTAAAATGTACCTATAAGTAAAATTATAGTGACCGTTTTAACCCTTTTAAAGTATGCATTTCAGAGGCAATTAGTACATTCATATTGTTGTGCTAACATCACCACATTGTCTCCAGAACTTTATCTTGCAAAACTGGAACTCTCTACCTGTTAAACAACAACTCTTCATTCCCACTGCTACTCCTAAACAACTCCCCCTTCCTCCCCCGCAACAGTCATTTTACTTTCTGTTTCTGTGAATTTGACGGCCCTAGATTCCCATATGACTAGAATCATACAGTATTTGTCATTTTGTGACTGGCTTAGGGTTCATCTGTGCTTGAAGCATGTGTCAGAATGTCCTTTCTTCTATGACTGAATGATATTCCAATGTATGTATAGACCAACTTTTCTTTATCCATTCACCCATCAGTAAATACTTGGATTGCTTCATCCTTTAGCTACTGTAGATAAACCTGCTAAGAACCTGGGTGTACAAAGTTTACCAGATGTTTTAAGTGATATTTGTTTAGATGTGTCCGCTTTACTGGAAAGAGTTGAATACTTTCTGATACATTTTTCTACATTTGATATTTAAAGTATTCTGAAGAAACTTGTCAGAAGACTAGCACCAGATATTTACTCTTTAAGATAAATACAGTGAATATTATAAGAGATATCAATTGTTCTCCATTTTTATTGGGTATAGAAAAGGCTGAAACAGCAGCATGAGGAACTTAAAATAGTTACAAACAAAGAAGTATTTGCTGACAGGGAAGGCATGTGCAGGTCTAGAGAATCTTTGAGTTTTTCAAATATGATTGGTTTTCTTTTGTGCATGGTTTAGGTATATTCCTTTCTGAAGGTTAGTAGATAGACTAAATGGCCTAAGGTATCTTCTTGTCTTATGAATTTTGTGATGGTATAACCTAGCAGTCCACACTTAGCTTTTTCTGACTTTCTGCTGATTTCTCTGTAATGTCAAATTGTGGTTTGATGAGCCTGGCCCTTTTTCTTCAGCACTTTGGGGGTGGAGATGGAACTTTGTCTCAAGAAGAAATCGAAACCTAGAGGGTTTTTTTAGTACAGTCAACTATGTTTGGATACACTCTAATTTTTCCTCAGTGGGCTACTACAATAGAATTTGGTAACGCCTTTCCAGTTCTGTTGTTTGTAGTGAAATCTGAGATTTAAACTTTCTTCTGTCAATAAGGAAGTGTCTGATTCAATATCTTTATTAAACTAGCAGTTATTAAGCTTCTGCTATGTGTCAGGTACTATGATAATTGTTTCCAAGGATTATCTCATTTCACCACCTCAATAACCCTACAATTAGTCATGTTTTTGCTGTTGGCTAAGCTGAGACTCAAAATTACACGTTAATTAAATTTCAGAGCCAGTATTCAGATCCATCAGTTTTGTTTGCTTGGACTAATATAGCCTTTTTCCTTGCCATATTAAATGAATCATGGATATAGGTCTGCTAAATTGCAAATTAATTTTCAGTTTGCTTTCTTTTCTTGAGATGTGCAATTCCTTTTCCTCCCTGGAGTGGTCTATTGGATATCTTGGACATTTAGATAAACTTTTAATTGCATGAGAGGTACATGCAAATATAGTGCACTGCGGTTTTACCCTAGTGGATTTAGTTCATCTTTCCTGACCATGTTGTCCATATGAACAATTCGCTTCTTAAACAAAAAGGTCATTAAACCACAAAACCAAATGATGTTCTCATTTGGACTTAATGAAAATTTCATTTAAGACTTAATGAAAATTTCATTTCATTTAAATTACATTGCAATTTAACTTCAAGATTTAGATTCAGCTAGTATTCATTAAGTACCTACAAATATATTTGGTTTAATGCATGTGTGGTCTAATTATTCTCAAGTCAAATGACTGTGCAGATAAAAAAGTTAACGGTGTGACTGATTGGATAAGACAGTTTGTTCAAGTGGGTGAATATGGTAGACCTCAGTGTTAGGTATTAGTTTCCTGCTTTTTTGAGAAAAATCTAGTAAGAGTGAAAGCCTTGTTACTTGTACTTGAAGAAACAGATTGTTTTTATTTTTGATTTTGTGTCAATATTAATTTGCAATTTTAAAGAGTATGATTTTAAAAGTTTACTGTTATATACCTTTTTATTTGATTAAACAGTTGACAGTGCTCAGTTTCTTTCTGGGTGTTGTAGTGTGTTTGCCATTTCAGAATGTAGTTAATATCTGGCCAAATGAGTTCAGGAGCCAGGATGTTTGTCAAAAAATGCTCATGGATTTGCTTAGAGAAATGCTGTTAACTTAGTGATCAAAAACTAACTTTTTATTTTTCACATATAATCAATCAACTTATTATTTTTTAAATTTTAGTGAAAGGAGCACCTCGAAACCTAAAGGTGACAGATGAGACTACGGATAGCTTTAAAATTACCTGGACTCAAGCTCCAGGGAGAGTCTTAAGGTACCGAATTATTTATAGACCTGTTGCTGGTGGAGAAAGCAAAGAAGTTACCACTCCAGCCAATCAGAGGAGGAGAACGCTGGAGAACCTGACTCCAGACACAAAATATGAAGTATCTGTAATTCCTGAATATTTCTCAGGACCCGGGTCTCCGTTGACTGGAAATGCAGCCACTGAAGAAGGTAGATGAAATATGCTCATTATTTGATAACAACTGAAATATTAGACTAGGAGACACTTTGGACAACTATTCAGACACTACAAGCCATGAGATACTTTGTCTTAATTACTGGAGTATCTAAGATGCTAGTCCTATTAGATTTGATTTACTCAGATATTTGACTTACTTGTGACCCTCATTTATTGGGCTTTCCTGATAGCTCAGATGGTAAAGAATCTGCCTGCAACACAGGAGACCTGGGTTTGATCCCTGGCTTGGGAAGATCCCCTGGAGGAGGGCATGGCAACCCACTCCAGTATTCTTGCCTGAAGAATCCCCATGGACAGAGGAGCCTGGCAGGCAGGCTACAGTCCATGGGGTTGCAAAGAGTCAGACATCACTGAGCGACTAAGCACAGCACAGACCTCATTTGTTGCTGTCAGCAGAAACCTGAGTTGTATGATACAGTCTAAATATTCTTTTAATATAATATTATTAAATATTAATTTATAAATTGAATGATGACTAGGGATTAAAAATTACATTATGCACCATTGAGAGATTACCTGTTATTTCTTCAGGAAGATTTAAAAATACTCACCTGTTTTTATTTAAATGGAATGATTAGGCTTCCAGGATAGATTCTGATATTAGTTGCAAGTTATTAATATTTAATGTATCATTTCATGAATAAAAATTAAGGCATATGTATTTTTCATTTTATTCCTTGTCTTTAAAGTTTTAAAAACATAATAATAATTCCATGTCAGCAGTAATGAGCAGTTATTAAGTACCTGGAGTAGGAAATGGGAACCCACTCCAATATTCTTGCCTGGGAAATCCCATGGACAGAGGATCCTACTGGACTATAGTCCATGGGTCACAAGAGTCAGACTCAACTGAGAGACTAAACCACCACCACCATTAAGCGCCTATTCACATCAGCTTCTGTGCAGAGCTCTTCATGTATTCTCTCACTTAATCCCTGCATAGGACCTATGAAGTTGTTACTTTTATTATCTTAGTGTTGCAAAAATATTGAGGCTAAGGAAACTGAATGTTGTTAATAAGCAGTGAATGTGAGTTTGTTGCCCTCCTGCAGACGCTGACTGCTTCATGACTCCTGTCCTGGTGCAGCCTAGCTAATTAGTCTGTCCTGCAAAGACCCTCTCCACCTGCCCGCTTCTTCATTGGAGAAGTTACTACCCTTATTCTTTCCAGTTGGGGATCTAGGGCTCTTTGTATTGGGCATCAAAAAAAAAAAAAAAAAGACCCAGTGATGCTTCATCCTTATATTTTTTTGAGTTAAAGCAGCTGGGGGATGTGTACCTGGAGAGTTGGGAGCCTTGAGACCCTTCAGAGACTACATGGCCCCATTACCAAGAAAGTCATGAAAAGCCAAACATCACAGTTGCAAAGGGATGGGCAACCCCTGACTGGAACCGAGGCTCGTTTCCTCTCATATTTTTCTAGAGGCAGCACTATTTATCATTTTTATCAATTAACATATTTCATGGGCATCACATTTAGATGTTCCTAGCTTTCCTCCAACAAAGTCTTTCTATTGACTATTTCTTAGAGGAGTTAAAAGTCTTCATTGTGTTACTAATCATCATATATACATTTTGTAGTGCTTTGTTCCAGTTTTAGAGAAAATGTTGTAGTTTTTTCACATGAAAGATTCTAGCATGGAAGACTTTAACCTGTGTGACTTCTGTTCAGAAGAGAAATTGGATGGCTTTTGCTTTGTTTCTGCTAACACATAGGGCCCAATTTAGAGACGCTTGAACTCTGTTGACTAGTCAGCCGTTACAATAGTCATAATCTCACCCAGGATGTAAATTTGATTACATATCTATCAACAGATAGATAGATAGATAGATATGGGTTTCCCAGGTGGCACTACTGTAAAGAACCTGCGTGTCAATGCAGGAGATGTGAGAGATGCGGGTTTGATCTCTGGGTGGGGAAGATCTCCTGGAGGAGGGCATGGCAATTGATTGTATATATATATGTATATATATATATATATAGCAGCAAAATGTTTTTAAGTCGTTTTATTAAATAATGAGTTTTGATGTTGTTGTTTCTTTAATGAAGTTAGAGGGAAGCCGAGGGATTTACGAGTTTCTGACCCTACGACATCAACGATGAAACTGGCTTGGACGGGGGCACCAGGAAAGGTGAAACAGTATCTCATCACATACACTCCAGTGGCAGGAGGTGACACTCAGGAGGTCACTGTGAAGGGAGACTCAGCAAGTACCGTCCTGAGAGGGTTAAACGAAGGGACGCCGTATGCCTTGTCTGTGACAGCCTTGTATGCCTCTGGAGCTGGAGATGCCCTTTTTGGAGAAGGAACAACACTTGAAGGTGATTACTGTCATATTTAATAGAAATCTCTGAGCTTGCTTGTGACTGTGCTTAGGAAGCTTAAAATGTTTTCAGAGAATGAAATCTGAGTGTGTGCCATCTTTTCTCTTAAAAGGAATTTGTATTGAAACATAAGTAGTCATAAAACTGCTTCTTATTCAGAGATGTAGGCTGCCAGAAAAATTAAATTTGATTGGGAAGCAGTGTACTGGGGAGCTGAGTGTGTAGTAAGGCTGTAGAAATGTGTCTGTTATGCCATAGGTTGGAGAATGGGTGTGTGACTCTCAGAGTGGACAGGGGGAAACATTAATGGAGCAAGAGGGTTTGGCTTGCCTGAGATAACGTGGTTGGTTTATCACCCAGGAGCAGGCAGGAGCCCTTTTCTGACTAATAACATCTTCTCCTGCACCGTGCCTATCAATATCAGTATCAGTTCAGTTGCTCAGTTGTGTCTGACTCTTTGTGACCCCGTGGACTGCAGTATACCAGGCCTCCCTGTCCATCACCAACTCCCAGAACCTACTCAAACTCATGTCCATTGAGTTGGTGATGCCATCCAACCATCTCATCCTCTGTCGTACCCTTTTCCTCCCACCTTCAATCTTTCCTAGCATCAGGGTGTTTTCCAATGAGTCAGTTCTTCACATCAGGTGGCCAAAGTATTGGAGTTTCAGCTTTAGCATCAGTCCTTCCAATAAATATTCAGGATTGATTTCCTTTAGGATGGACTGGTTGGATCTCCTTGCAGTCCAAGGGACCCTCAAGAGTCTCCTCTGACTGTGCCTATAAGCATTTATAAAAGCTTGAGAACTATGAGAATCCAAGTTACTGTTTGTTTTCTGAATGACTTCTAAAATTCAGTTCTGTGTTAGAAGTTCAAAGTTAATGCAGTACTTAGTAAGAACCATCAACAAGACTGGATCTGTTTCCTTGGTTCTCTAGAGTTCATTGTCGGAGGGCTTCATATTTCTTAGGCTCTTTTGAACTGTAATGGCAGCTTAGATTTGACTCACCATAACCAGAAAGTAAGTCATATGAGAGAGAGAAAGCACAAATTTAATTTAACTACAATGAAATGGATTGTAGTGTTGAAAAGCAGTATCAGTGGATGGTTAAAATGATGATGCAGTTCTGTAGCTGGGGCCTAAATGGGAGGTTGGGTTTCCTTTTGTTATCACCACCTTTTCTATGCCTTATTTAAAATAATTGTAGGAAGAAAATGAAATATCTTTTGTCATGTGAGATCACAGTGATATTAGGCAAATATCCATATCAGATTTAGTGGATCCAAGAGCTTGGGGGACGATAGATGTTGTAATTCACAAGGGTGAGATCTACAAGAGGCAGTGTTGATTAAAACTTTAAGACTTAGGTAAGAAATAAAAGCTAATTGACAAAAACAGTCTAATCAAAGTTTTGTCTCTATTAGTGATCAAGGGTTTAATCCAATACTTTGTGAAATTTGTTATTAGAAGAGGGTTTAAATGAAAGATTAAATCCCAGTGTGCAAAGTACTGATTATTCGACAAGTCCTGGTTTGGCTACCATGTGACTTTGAAATAACCTCTTAACCCCTCTGAACCTGAGTTTATCCATCTATAAAGAGGGGCTGACCATTTTCTCCCCTTTCTCCCAGACTCATTGTGGAGATCACATGGTAGGGTGTTAAGTAAAATGCTTTGGGATCTGGAAAATACTCCACATATATGAAATTCATCAAGGGGAAACAACATTCAGTTTAGAACTGATATCTAAAGATACAGCTTTTGTTAAGTATATCAAAGATGTTGACTGGTTACTCTAAAATTTTGAAAATAATAAGAGATGGAAATGGAAATTGCCTTAATTAGGGGGACACAGTCCAAACAATGAAAGCATGTGATCTTTATACCTGGAGCAACATTCAGAATTTCTGAGAAATTTGTCCTTTTTTTTTTTGACCTTTAAGTTTTCTTTCTCATGCGCTTTCTATAGGCTTTCAACATAGATTGCTCTTCTCGGAGTTTTAAAGGATCGGCTTTGGAGCTTTTGCTTTTTTATAGAATAGTTGTAGATTGTTTATATTTGCGAACATTTCTCCCTTATAAGGGATATCTTGAAAATAATTTAATAGTTTTACTTCTGCTTATACTTTTTAAACTTCTGATATTCTTTTGCATTTCTTACTTTATAAATGTACTTACACGTTGTCAAAATGTTGCCTCTAAAGATTAATGCATTTTTACTATGAATAATATATTATAAAATTTTAGAAAATAAAATGCACATTTTAACATCACAGCAAACATTCTATTGGGTAATGACTTTTCTAGGCCAAGTGTGTAGCTAAATTCTTTATAATTTTATGGCTTTGCACAGGTGGTATATAAAATCCACAAATTTGAATGTGTGTGTTAGTGTGCACACCTATATATCTGGTCAGAAATAATCTCCAAGGGAGATATACAGGTAGTAAAATAAATTAAAAAAATTACTATTTTCCATTCCCTGAGATGGAGGAAAGCTAGATGATTTGTAACTTCACTTAAAAAATATAGTTAATTCATAACTAGATTGTAATAGTAGATTTTTTTCCATTGACACCAAAGCTTTTCACTTTAGTGAAGGATTACAGAAAATGCTGCCAGCCTGATTTTGTTAACATATTTATCTCATTGCATGATGTGTGGTAAACTTATCAAATATGTGAAAGCATAGTTGTGACTAAGTTAAAATAATAGATTTTTTTTTTGCTCATGGTTATTCCATTTCATTTTATTATATTAACTCAGCCAAATCCACATACCATATACAGGAATAGGATATGATGGTAAATGCAGAGAATGGAAAGCCCAGAAACACAGCCAGCCAACTGCTCTTGAGGGTTGCTGTTTTTCTAATCTGTTTTTCTCTTGGGAGAGGAGGTGGTTAGAGCAGACCTTGAAGGAATGTTTCTTCCATCCAGAGGCATGGCTCAGCCAGCGAGGGCATTCTGTGGCTTGAAAATTTTATAGATTGACTGAAGTGCATTCTATTCAATTAAAAAAGAATTAAAAAAATATTTAGCATGGGCTATAACCATCCCTAACTTGAATCTGTTTCCTAGTGTTTTCTTGAAATGCAGCCAATGATCAGAAAATTCCCCTGTCCCTGGAAGAGAGATTTATTAGCATTGGCGTTGGGGAGGGTTCATGGTTGGCTCTAGTACTGTATGAAATAGAATCACAAAGGCAAAGTTTATTACTATTTCAGATCCAAACTTCAGAGGAATCTGAGCACAAGCTATTAGGTTTGATTTACATTGTTTTTTTCTCCTGTTGTTGTTAAAGTAGATTTAATGTAATTACTAAAACACTGCTGTACATGTAAATGAACTTCAGATCTTGAAAGAATTCTTAGTTGTCACTGCTAGTGTTTACAGAGGGAAACCTGCTCTTTTAAACCTAGAAATGAATAATTCCCACTTTAATTCAGAGATTTGCTGCAAATGAATGCAAATGTCAACGTTGGAATAATACAGTTCTTTTACTTTTGAATGTGTTTGATGGCTGTGGAAAAGATGATTTTTCAGAATTTCTTTTGTTTCAGTTGCCATAGCAACCCTCTGGTGTCCTAAACATGAAAGGCTTCCTATACATCAAACCGAGCTAACTCAGCTGACATTTGGTTACCATGAGGTTTTTAGCACATCACAGGAATTCTTCTGCAAGATGTTGAGTAACATGGGGTGCCTCCAAGATGGAATAAATAAGGCCTCTGTGTTTTCCTAGATTTACTGCTGTCTCATAATTAGAAAAATCATTCATTCTGTGTATAACAATTCTGATGTTTCCAGGGAACTTTAGTCCAATCACCAAACAGTAACATCTTTCCCACACATTGATGGCTTATCAGAGAAAATCTAAACTATGTTGGAGAGGTGACAGTTATGGAAGAAATCTCATCCATGCTTTGAGGTTGAAGGGCAATTTGTTTAGAGCTTTTTAAGAACTATGTGTTACTTAAAGTAAGTTAACTGATCAATAGTGAACTTTGTCCTTTGGAATGGTGATTACAAGTCGTTGCTTGTAAATCAAGTATGTTTCCACATGAACATTATCCAGAGCAGGTCTTCCTTATTCTGCCGTGGAAAGTTGGATGACTTTGAGTTGAGCTCTATCGGAAAAGACAAATTGATTTAGAAGTGGGTTACATTACATTTTCAATTTAATTTCTATTTTTGAAAGTGGTATGTGAAACTCAATGAAAGCTGGCTGGAACAATCTATAAGATGAAAATAGTTTCATTTCATAATGATTAATTTTTCAGTTATCACTGGCTAATTTGTGTTATAATTATATTTGAATTGGATGATGATCTGCTTTTCAGAAAGCAAATGGAAAAGGGCTAAGGAAATGTAGGAAACTTACTTAAATGAGGCCTCAGTTCTTTGGCCTCGTATGTGGAAAAAGTAGAATCAACCCCATGTGGATCTTCAGATCATGAGAAGTGCACCTGTCTAATTATTTGCCTCAGCAGCAGGGATGCATGCATGCAGGCACCAGCAATGCTGCCTTTTGATATATGTGACTATGGTTTGTAATCTGGTCAGAAATACTGAGTATCAAAATTTCAAAAACTGGTGAATTTTGTTTGTTTAAATTTATGACAGAAAAGCTATGTTATTTCTTATACTTCCCCTAGTACTATACTGGAGAGAGCAGAGTAGAAGGGAAAACTATTGAGAGGGAATCAAAGGAATAGAGATGAAGGCATACCAATATTACAGAAGATGATGGTATGACTTTTTTGAAATGATTGCCAGCAATTCCATTCCCAGAGGTAAAAGTAACATGCAAAGTACAGGCATGTGGTTCAGAATGGCAGGAAACAAGTACAGTGAGATTATATACTATTGAAAACCATGTCACTCAGGTGAAAAACGTGAACAAACCCAAACATCATAAAACATGCATTTGTGAGTCTTGCGGGCAGACAGAGAGGAGGAGTTCAAGATGGGGGAGCCTTTCCTAGAGCAGAAGTGGGTTCATATTTAGGGACAGGTGAGACAAAGTGGCAAAAGTGTGCTGGATTCGTTTCCGCTCATGCCACTGTTTCTATGGTTCCTCTTTTGAAGAACTGCAAATGGTGATTCGAGCCATGAAATTAAAAGACGCTTACTCCTTGGAAGGAAAGTTATGACCAACCTAGATAGCATATTAAAGAACAGAGACATTACTTGGCCAACAAAGGTCCATTTAGTCAAGGCTATGGTTTTTCCAGTGGTCATGTATGGATGTGAGAGTTGGACTGTGAAGAAGGCTGAGTGCTGAAAAATTGATGCTTTTGAACTGTGGTGTTGGAGAAGACTCTTGAGAGTCCCTTGGACTGCAAGGAGATCCAACCAGTCCATCCTAAAGGAGATCAGTCCTAGGTGTTCATTGGAAGGACTGATGCTGAAGCTGAAACTCCAGTACTTTGGCCACCTCATGAGAAGAGTTGACTCATTGGAAAAGACCCTGATGCTGGGAGGGACTGGGGGCAAGAGGAGACGGGGATGACAGAGGATGAGATGGTTGAATGGCATCACCAACTCAATGGACATGAGTTTGGGTAAATTCCGGGAGTTGGTGATGGACAGGGAGGCCTGGCGTGCTGCGATTCATGGGGTCGCAAAGAGTCGGACATGACTGAGTGATTGAACTGAACTGAAATGATCCTTTGTGGTCTTTCCTGTTAGCTCAAACAGTAAAGAATGCTTCTACATGCAGGAGACCCAGGTCTGATCCCTGAGTCTGGAAGATCTTCTGGAGATGGGAATGGTAACCCAGTCCAGTATTCTTGGCTGGAGAATCCATGGACAGAGGAGCCTGGTGGGCTATAGTCCATGGGGTCACGAAGAGTCAGACACGACTGAGTGACTAATACTAACCCTTGCTGGATAGAGGCTCTATACTAGTCTTATATTTCTTTCTTGTTCCTCTCTCTTTCCTCTTCCTTCCCAGGTATATTAGAAATAGACTCTCTCCCCAGACCAGTCCAAATAATCTCTTTCAGTAGCTGCTGATGTCTGAACTTCTGTAGTTTGAGAAAACCTACAATTCAATATAAACTAAAGCAAATGGCTCGCTGGGTAACACTTGAGTGGAATCTCATTCACAGGAAAATGTGATCAATGCTTGACGAAGAAGCATTGAAAAGCCATTTCCTTTTGACACAGGATGGATGGAAGGGATTCTCTGAGGGTCGGCCTTGGGCTCACGCCACTACTACTGAAAGGCTGACTTGTGTGTGGCCATAGACCCATGTGATATAGAGAAACCATCACACCGTGCTACACAGCGTCCCCATTTCCTCCAGTTTTGACCAATTTTGCTTTCACCCCACGGTGTTTTATTTTATTCCCACACTGATCAAACACAGCTTCCAAATAAATGTCCCCTAAGTGAGAAAAGAGGCCAGAATTGTGAAGGAATTAGGATCACTGAGGAGTCTGAAACGATTTTTAGAAAGCATCAGCTCAGGCATGTCTTCAGACACTCTAGTTTAATTGGTCTGGGATGGCCGGGTCTTAGCCCTCCAAGTGATTCCTGTATCTGACCAGGTCCAGTCCAGGTTTTACTCCTGAGGGTCCCAGGGCTCCAGGAGGTAGCAGCATGCTCATCCCATTGCACACGTAGTTCCCAGGCCAGTGTGGCCCCTTGGCAGACTGCCAGTTATATCACAGGGTGCAATTCAGCTGCTTTTTTGGTAACTTAACATTTGGCCAAGTCAAGATTCCATTTTTAAAAACTTCAAGGGTTCTAGGTCTGATAAAATATACTTATCACCAGAATATCATAGTCTCATGATTCTTGGATGTAATGCAACAGTTTGAAAATCCAGCCTTCCTACTTTTTGGAGAAAAAAGGTGTTTCAATGTGTTTGACAACAGTGTACACTTAATATTTCAGTTCAGTTCAGTTCAGTCGCTCAGTCGTGTCTGACTCTTTGCAACCCCATGGACTGCAGCACACCAGGCCTCCCTGTTCATCACCATCTCCCAGAGTTACTCAAACTCATGTCCATCGAGTCGGTGATGCCATCCAGCCATCTCATCCTCTGTCGTACCCTTCTCCTCCCGCCTTCAATCTTTCCCAGCATCAGGGTCTTTTCCAATGAGTCAGTTCTTCGCATCAGGTGGCCAAAGTATTGGAGTTTCAGCTTCAGCATCAGTCTTTCCAATGAATATTCAGGACTGATTTCATTTAGGATAGGTTGGTTGGACCTCCTTATATTTAGGATTATTCTTATCAAACTGACTGACTGACATACAAGAAACCCACTGAAGCAGTTTATATTTTCAGTCTTGGCTTCTGGTTTGAGGTGTCTCTTTTCTTTGGATTTCACATTTCTTTGTCACAAACATGGAATGTTGCAGCACCAGTACCTACAAATAATGCCTTTCTGTGCCAGGCAGAAACTATCATTTTTTTGAGGACATTTTATTTCTGTAATTGAGAATATAATTAGTGTTCACTGGAATTAGTGCTGTCATGCCATTAATGGGAACTCAGGAATATTTTTTAGTTAATATTGTATTTGGATCTCAAAAAGTGTCTTTACAGATTATTTCCAGGACATTGACCAGTCTTGCAAAGGTCTTCATTGCAATTTTATTAATATTTTGTCTTAGCTTTCCAGGTCTTACGAGTGTTAATGTAGTTGACTAAAATCCATGGGAATACATATCTAGAGCTCCTTTTGTTTGTAGCTCAGAAATATCTTTGTGAATGTATTTTTGCTTCAACCACAAATTCCCTTCCTATTATTTTCTCACAGTGAAATCATTAGCCTGTGTTTGTGAGATGGATGTCTGTTGCCATGGAAATAAACAATGTCACAAATTCAGAACTATAGAAAGTGAGCAGCAAAATAGGCTGAGAAGCGCAATCTTTGGGAAAACTAGAAACTGAAATTATTATTTGTAAATCACTTCAGTGTTAATTTGGAAGATTACCCCCATGTTGTAGCTAACTTTGTCTTATACTTTTGGGGAATGTTCTTAATGTAGCTTTTTAGCTTATTTAAATTCTGAATCCCTTTCAATTATTTTCAAGTATTATTTCACAAAAGCTGTTGCTAACTGCATCCTGGGAAATTTAAGAGAAGAGGTACACATGAAAAAAGGGTGTAATATATATTAAGCAAATGAAACATGCTGCGTATTTAAAACTTAGAGACCAGTAGTTGGAATATCAGCCATAAAAACAAAATATAAAGTGAAAAAATAACAGCCAAGTCAAACCCAACCAACTCAGCCCAACCCAACCAAAGAAACAAGTAGAGAAGATATAAAGATGTGTGACCTTAGTAGAAATACAATTAAAGAAGACCTTCAAATGAAGATGAGCCTCAGGAACTGAGGGAAAGAAGTCAGTATGTTCTTGAAAATAAATATTCTTGGTTGCAGTGAAATATGTAATTAATTTCCCTTCAGAGATGAGATGTCCTGTCAGCAGTTAAACTTATTTATAATAGAGTTAGAATTTTCCATTTGGTCTTGGGGTCTGGTAGTATGCCCAGCTTCCATTTTATTTATTTTTTCCTCTGTAATCTAACATATATGATAGGGTTTTGTCCACCAAGATTTCTTTGTCATTTATTGTTATCTTTATGTACTTGAAATTTAAATAATTATGGGTATTTTTAAGATATTCATTTTTACTCTTTGATTCAAGTAGAATAACAGCCTTCAGCATTCTTGTAGCAGCACTATATATCATTTTCTTGAATACACAACAATTACGGGTAAAATGTATGCTGTAGAAGCAGATAGTTTTATATTTATGTCATACTGTGGCATAAACCCTAGTAAAGGTAGCCAGTATAAAATGACTTGTATATTTATCTTACATTTAAATTATGGAAAGTTAGGGTTTTATTGGTAGACATCTGTGCCTCCTATTAAGTCGGGGTTTCCATATTTTTTCCACTTGAGTTGTATTTTTATTTTGAATGAGAAAGCCGAAATATAGTAGCAGGCATTTTCAATCAGTTAGAGCAAGTGGTGTGTTTTATTTTGATGACTAATCATTTTTAGGTTTTCCAGAAGAACTGTTGGTTTTTATTTTCCTTAGCATTAAGCTATAATTGAAAATTTGCATTTCTGGTTTTTTAGCTTTGTGAACGAAATAGACCTTTGAAAATAGATTGTGAAAAAAAGACTGTTGAAATTAAGATTTGCAAGTGATATAAGATTGTTGAAGTAACTGGAAGTGGTACAATGAAACTGAGCTTATTTAAAGAAGATAGGAAAAGATGGCAAAGAAATAAAGATCTTTGTGAAAAATGGATGAAGAGGACTTAGTTATAAAATTGGGGGATTTAGATGCTTTTTTTTCTCTTTGAAATTTTCTTTAGGCACTTACTTCTTCGTATTTGAATGTCATTCTTGTCCTGAAGGACATTTCAATCTGACTGGACATATGGGGGCAAGGGTGATAGGCAGGAATCAGGCATAGTTATTAAGTTTAATCCCATCTTCTGTTCCCCTGACAGAATAGGACAGACAGCTCAGAAAGAAGAAATGGGTAAGTTAGACAAATTGAGTCCAACAAGTCAGGGTGTCTGCCAGGATGAGGGAGTATTTACATATCTAATAGACATTAAAAAATGATCCCCCTTTCATTTCTTTTCTAGAGCGTGGTTCACCTGGAGATTTGATTACTAAAGATATCACGGACACATCGATTGGGGCTTATTGGACGTCAGCTCCAGGAATGGTTCGCGGTTACAGGGTCTCTTGGCAATCACTTTATGATGATATAGAGGCTGGAGAAAAGAGTCTTCCTGCAGATGTAATTCATACTGTGATAGAAAACCTGCAGCCAGAGACCAAATACAGAGTTTCCGTATTTGCAACTTACAGCAGTGGAGAAGGGGAACCCTTGAGTGGAGAAGCCATAACTGAATGTAGGTACCATTCTGAGGGGGCTTGGCAAGTGTGTTGGTGCTACCTAATAGCTATCAGCTCACGATAACCTCTTGCATTTTTTTTCTTTATGTGACAGATGAGGACTAAAAACTTATGACCTTTCATGAATGTGCTTTAAAATCAAGTTCATTGTGTATCTAAACTTGTATCAAATTTTGAAATATTGAATCCCTGCCAACTACCTACACAGTTTACCCTTGAAAATGTGGGGGTTAATCTGAGTAAAATTTATAGGCAACTGTTCTTATCTGAGGTTCCTCTGCATCCCAGGATAAAACCAACCTCGGATCATGTAGTCCTGCAGCATTTGATAGTGAAAAAAAAATCCATGTGTAAGTGGACCTTCAAAGTTCAAACCATTGTTGTTCAAGGATGAAATGTGTTTCTCTCTGTGTTTCTCTTGCTTCTTTTTTTCTGGTGGAAAGATCAACTAGATAAGAGACTCAACTAGTAAAGAGACAAGAAGCTATGGAAACAAAGAGAATTCAGGCACATTTATAACTAAATGGCCTCGGGCAAGTTCTTGAAACTTCTTTGAGCTTCAGTTTCCTAATATGTAGAATGCAGCATCAGACTGTGTTGAGCATTAAATAAAATAACAGTGGGCAAAGCAACAAGCATAGTGCCTAGCCACTTGGAGGAGACTGATGTGTAATGCGGCTATTGAGCCAACGTTTGTTATACAACCAGGACTAATCCTAAATTATTTTTACTATGTTTGGGGAGGCTAATTCAAGTCTACTCAGTTTTCTGGTGGCTAAAATTTACCTTAATCTCATATTCCTTCCTGTGAAAAATTTTGAGTTGACCTCTCATCCTTTGTCATCAGGTGGCTAGTGAGAAATGGGTCTGTATTTCATAATTGTCTTTCCTTAAAAACAATTTATTAAAAATGGGCATTTCTAAGAATTTATAGGAAAGTTCATTCCTTTTGTTTGGGAGGATTTTAGGAAAAGGGGAAAGAGTGGGGGTATTCTTGCATTTCTTTTGTTAAGAAGAGGTGGAGGAATTGGGTGAAATTTAGGCCACATATTAGGTGATTTTTCTGCCAAAGGAGGAGAGAGGAAAATGCCAAGGGCAATTTCAGTGAAGTCCTGTATCCTGATTTGAAGTTGTCCTTAAATTAAAATCTTTTGGTCTGAGTTCTCTGTAGAAGTCATCTTTTTTTTTTTTTAAATCACTGGCAAACTCAGTTGGATATGTCTAAGCGAGGCCACATATGATACATCTAGCTAAATTTATTTGTAGGCATAAAGATACAATTCACATGGCTGAGAAACTCTCAAAAAATACATATTTAGAGGGAAACTTTTTCAAAAATTCTCCTCCATCCTTTCTCCTGAAAAAATTGAATCCTCAGATATTTATTTGGGATTTAAAATCTCCACAAGGGATATGTTTTAGCTCAAAGCAAGTATGTTAGTAGAAATTCTAAATAAGCTTTCTAAAAGCTGAGCATCTAAGACATTTTCAGTATTTCTTGGCTAATTGATTGATTTAAAGCTTAGTAAATAGAAAGGCCTCTTTTGAACCATGAGCAGAGTAGGTAGGAATGAAAGGCACATTTTCTAGAGGGTATAAGTCAACTGCTCAAACTGCTAAGCAAATTAGATGAAAGACAAGAATCTTTCTTTGTTCTGCTACTATTTTTAAAAATTTTTGTTTGGAGGACAATTGCTTTACAATGTTGTATCAGCCACAAGTGTATATACATCGCCTCCCTCTTGAGCCTCCCTCCCCATCCCCTATCTGCTACCATTTTTAGTTGTTGGCGTGTTTTAGTTTGCTTTTTTTGTGGAAGGTAAGGTAGTTTTGACGATACTTTGAGAAATCCGAGCCACATGTAGTGTCTTTGGCTGGTGGACAAGTCCAAAATGGTGTGTCTAACTGGGCCATGCTCTTAGAGGACCTTATAAACTTCCAAGGGGGACGTTTTGGAAATATTTTCTGCTTTCGCCTGACATTCAGATACATGGAATGCAGACTGTCGATACAATGACAATGACAAATTGTGGCTAGAAAGCCAGCAGGTGGGAAACTACCAGCCCTCCAATTATGGGAGCTAGTTTAGCCAAGGTACAGTGAGTTTTGGAGAGCATCTTGTGAAAAGCACTAAAACTTGAAAAGAACTTAGAGAGTGGGAGTGTTACAGCATTTTATAGCATGTGGCATACCAATGAATGGAGTGACAAATCTTGCCTTTTACTTATGGGAAGCCAACAAGGATTTTTTTTCCCTCCTTAAAATTCAGAGTTTCCTGTTAAAGCTAGGATGAGATATGTTGTACTTTTTTTAACTTCAGTTCCTTTATTTTAAAGAGTTGATTAAAAAGCTGGAAAACAATTGAGATCCTGAAGCATTTCAAGCATTCATTTCAGTATGAAGTACAGTATTTGACAGTTATTAACATACTTAAATTTGGGAATATTTTCAACTTTGTGATCCCACTTTTTGGGGACATAGGCTTCTTTTTAGACCAATACTCATAAGATGTAAATATCCATTTTTCTCAGTTTTAAATGTTATGAAATGGGCTTGAGAATTTTGTGTAAGGAAGAAATGTCTTGTTTTAGTGAACAAGAGTTGAAGACATGGAAACAAGAAGTCAGTAAACATATTTAGCAGAACTCTTTCTAGGAAAGTGTTAGGCACACATGGATTTACTCAACTCTTCTGATTGTTCTGTGTACTATTCTTTCTCATATTCTTTCAAAAATCCTATGTAAGGTCTTTACTTTTTTTTTGTTGAAAATATATATATATTTTTTCTTTTAATAGTTCACTTACCTAGAGAATAGTAATGGAGGATGGGAGATTAACTAAATACATTTTAATATTCCAGGAAGTAATGGAATTGGCTGAGAATTCTCTTACTTTCTTTTTAACCCTAAAATTAAAAAAGTTGCAACTAATATACTCTTAGTTGAATTATTAGCATCTTTCTTATTAGCATAATTCTTAACCATATGTTGATTTTCTTTACCTATTTTGTCATTCTCACCTTTGTCTTCTATACAAAATGTATCTTTTGCTTATATGGCTGCTGTCAAGATTTTCTTTTTATACTGATTTTAAGTAGTTTGCTAATAATGTGCCTGGTGTAGTTTTTTCATGTTTCTTGTGCTTAGGGTTATTGAGATTGCTGGATCTGTGGGTTTATAGTTTTATAAAGTTTGAAAATATTTAGGCCATTATTTCTTAAAATATTTTATTTATTACTCTTCACTTTCTTCAGGTGTTCTGGTTCCACATGTGTTAGACTATTTGAAGTTGTCACATAGCTCACTCCTGTGCTTTTCAGTTTTTCAGTCTTTTTTCTTTTATTATGTTTCAATTTGGGTAGATTTCATTCTCATGTCATCAAGTTCAGTAGTTTTTTTTTTTGCAGTTTCTGATTTGATGTTAAAACCACCCTGTGAATTTCTCATGTTAGGCATTGTATTTTTCACTTCTAGAGGTTTGGTTTGAGTCTTTCTTATATATTCTATGTGTTTACCTAACATGCTTAATATTTCTTGTACCATCATTAACATATGGAATATGGTACATATTATAATATTAATAATAGCAGTTTTGATGTCCCCTTTGAATAGTTCTGTCATATGTGTTATTTGCAGTTCTATTTCTGCTTGCAGGACTTGGTTTCTGGTGAGAGCTCTCCTCCTGGTTTGCTGATGGTCGTGTTATTTCCATGTCCTCACATAGCCTTTCCTCAGTCTGTACATGTTGAGGGTGGGGAGGGGAGAGAGAGGAAATGTCTGTGTCTCCTCATCCTCTTATAAGGATTCCAGTTTCATCAGATTAGGGCTTTATCTGTAGAATCTCATTTAATCCTAATTACCTCCCTGCATGCTAAGTCACTTCAGTCATGTCCAACTCTTTGCGACCGCACGACTGTAGTGCTCCAGGCTCCTCTGTCCATGGGATTCTCCAGGCAAGAAATAATTGAGTGGGTTTGCCATTGCCTTCTCCAATTCGCTCCCTAAAGTTCCAAATACTATCACATTGGAGATTAAGGCATTAGCATATGAATATGGGGAGGCACAATCATTCAGTCCATGATACAGGTTATAATTTTTTTCTTTATTTTCATTTCTGGTCATTTTTATTAGAAGCCAGACTTTATGAATTTTACCTTTTTGGATGTAAGATATTTTTATGTTCTTACAAATATCCTTAAGGTTTGTTCTGGGATGTAGTAAACTCGCTTGGAAACAGTTTGATATTTTTGAAGCTTTCATTAACATTGTGTTAAAGCTAGACCAGAGAAACCTTTAGTTGAGGGCTTCTTTAACTTCACTCCTGGGGCAGTAACTCCCTCTTTGTACTCTATATGATGTTCAGAGAATTTTGAGATTTTGTACTGTGAAGAGGGGGAATATTTCTGGCCCCACATGAACTCTAGGAACTTTTTCTCCCTACACCTTCCAGGTGGTTCTTTCTCTGGTTTTGAGTAGTTTCCTTATTCATATGCACTGAGTAGTACTGGGTTGAAGACTCAAGTAGGACCTCTTGCAGATTATTGGAGCTTTTTCTCCGTCACACTATCTTTAGGACGTTCTCTTCAAGTTCTAAGTGCCTTGGACTCCCTGAGCTGACAAAACTACCTCCTCAATTAAGGGAGACCACCAGTCTCCATCTGGGTTCCCCTTTCTCATACTGGTGCTGGAAACTCTCCAAGCAATTAGTCAGGGCAGTGATCAAGCTCCTTCTCATTTGTTTCTCTCGGGAATCGTGGTCCTATGCTGCCTGATGTCCAGTGTCTGAAAAATGCTGCTACATCTCTGTGTGTGTGTGTATATTTTTTAAAGCTTTCCCAGGTTTTTTTTTTTTTTTTTAGTTCTTTCAAGTGGTCCTTACCTTTTTGAACATGAAGATTTCTTTTAGAATCAAAAAAGATTGTCTGCAGTGTTTCCTTCAGCTTTGTCTCTCTTTTTAGAAGATGCTTATTATTTTTGAATGCTAAGATTACTGAACTGAATGAAATGATCCTACTTATAAATTCTAATTATATATAAGAAGAGGACTGTATTGGCTATTTGTGGATGTTGGGTGACCTGTTTCTGATATAGTTATTAATAAGATATAATTTAATAAAGTTTATTGTATATTAATCAAACCCTTCTTACATAACGTTTTTTCTAAAATCACCCAGTGTATACTGGTTTATCTCCAGAGCCCCTGAGATATTTTTATGTCAGAGTTTCCTGTTCCTTTGTGTTGATCGTGTTATGTGTTCACGGCAATCACAAAGGATGGTGTTAACTACAGTCACTCTGGCTAGTCATTTATGCATTGTAGTTTTTTCTGAAAAGACTCAAGGAATATTTCTGACCCTGTATTTATGATTTTTCATATTCTGCACACTGTGATTTCTACAAGAATTCTTTACAGATGGAAATATAATAAAAATTCTAAAAACTCATCTCCGGAAATGGATGTTTTCTTTACTAAAGTCTCTGGAATGCAAATAGGAAATCCTTGCAATATGAACTTCCATTTTTTAGTTACTAGCCAGATAAAGAGAAAACATCTCACTGTAACCTCACTGAGATTAAGTTCACACGCCATCCTGAATTTAAGCGAGATCACAATGCTAAGTAAAGGAAGGGTGTATGTATTTAAGAAACTACACCTAGTGTCTTTTGATATAAATGCGGTGGTGGACATAAGCATTTTCTTTCAGTATGATATACACTATAGTCTTCTTTTCATCTCACAGTGTCTGAAGACTCGAAAACCTTGAAAGTGGATGAAGAAACGGAAAACACAATGAGAGTTACCTGGAAACCGGCCCCTGGGAAGGTTGTCAACTACCGTGTTGTGTATCGCCCCCGCGGGGGTGGGAGACAGATGGTTGCTAAAGTGTCACCCACAGTCACCTCAACGGTGCTAAAGCGACTTCAGCCCCAGACCACGTATGACATCACCGTTCTCCCAGTTTACAAGACAGGAGAAGGAAAGCTAAGGCAAGGATCAGGAACAACAGGTATGGAATCATAAGAATTTGGGGGGGAAAGTGTGTAATATTTTAATGGGGGATTTTAATATATCTGCTTCATTTGTGAATATCTAAAATGAATTCTGTAATAAATTACATTATAACAAATAGTTGGATAAGATGCCTTGTTAGCATATGGTTTTTATCAATCTAGTTCCTTGTAAAATGATTCGACATATTAATGTTACTCTAATCTGAATTGTGAGTGCTATTTACACTCTCACTTGGCTCACGTTCTAATATTCTAACTTTATTGGGCACTATAGTTTGTGCTTTCTGACTTAACCCTTTATGTAAATATTTATTTTGAAGTGTTTTGCTTGTAATGATTGATATGTGTGTCACTTAGATATTTAGAATTCAACTTATTATTGTAGGGGTTAATAAAAAACTCCAGAGCCTAGGCTTTTGGGTAATATTTTAATTATCTATTATCTCTACAGCTTCTCGATTTAAATCACCCAGAAACCTCAAAACATCTGATCCAACCATGTCAAGCTTCCGGGTGACTTGGGAGCCCGCACCTGGTGAAGTCAAGGGTTACAAGGTCACGTTTCACCCCACGGGAGATGACAGAAGGCTGGGGGAGTTAGTGGTTGGACCGTATGACAACACAGTTGTTCTAGAGGAACTTAGGTAGGAGTGAACTCTTTTCATTTTTGTTAACAAATGGCATAATCGATGTAAATTTGTAGGCTTTCCACACAAGATCACTTATGTGTCTGTTGCCGGCAGAGTATTTAAAATCAGTCCAAGTCGCTTTCTCACTCTTGTTGAGGCTGAAGTTGAGGTTAGGGTTCAGACATTCGAATTTAGCCCTGAACAAGGGTACTATTTTAATGATGTTGGTTATTAAGAGATCAGGAATGGTGATTTTTTTCACATCCCACTTGCTCAATTTCACCAAGAGCAGCTTGTCCCCAGCCAGCCCTGTGGAAACGTGGGTGTTTCTGTGCTTCAGGAAAGGCCCAGGGGCGAGGGAGGGAGTGGGCCTTCATGCTTGGGGTCAGCTGAGAGGCTTGGGGAAGTGGGGGCTGATGGAAGGTCTTGCTGTAGGCTGCGCAGTGGAAAAGAAGGAGGTTTGAGTTTGAACAGCAGCCTACATCATTTATAGTGAAATAAAGAGTGCTCTGCATTCATTGCCTAGTGGAAAGTTGACTTGTTTTGACTGTTCATTCAGCAACACTGAAATCTGTTTGAATGCACAATACTTACTTTTATCAGAATAGGGAGGATAAAATTGATTGAGTCTACTGTGTGCCAGGGGGCATCCCTGGTGGCTGAAACGGTAAAGTATATACATGCAATGCAGAAGACCCAGATTCGATCCCTGGGTGGGGAAGATCCCCTGCAGAACGGAATGGCTACCCACTCCATTGTTCTTGCCTGGAGAACCCCATGCACAGAGGAGCCTGGTGGGCTGCCCTCCATGGGGTCACAAAGAGTCGGACACGACTGAGCAACTTTCACACGCTATGTGCCGGGCACTGTGCCAGGGCTTTTTGTTTCCTTGCAAGTACAACATTTTCAACTGTTTTCTTAAAGCCCATTACTTAGCAGTAGTGAAAGTGAGAGCTTGATCCTTCCCTGACTTGCTCAGTGGGAAGGCGGGAATTCTACATTTGATGGAAAGGCAAGGTGGAAACTGGTGCCCTGAACCCCCAGTGTTCTCTAGAATGCTAGTTTCCCTCGATACCTCACAGTTTGAGCTTCAACTGGAATGTGATGGAAATTATTTTTCTTCTCTTGCAGTGTTATGTATTATAACTTTCTCTGAGTGAAAGTTTGTAAATCAAGGTGAATATTTATAACAAAACAAAACAAAAAATGCTACCACTTGAGCTTATTATACATACAGACTGTATATTTTAACATTTCAGGGCAGGTACCACCTATAAAGTAAATGTTTTTGGAATGTTTGATGGAGGAGAAAGTTCACCACTTGTTGGACAAGAAATGACAACTCTCTCTGACACAACTGTTATGCCAATTTTATCCTCTGGTAAGAAATTGAATTGCATTCCCCTAAGAAAAGTCAGTACCGTGCAACTCTTTCAAATGTAAATTGTTGGATTAATCATACCATGAAAATCAACCATTAAATTTTACACTAAAATTTATTTCAGTAATATATATTTAAAAAATTCTTCAGACATCCAGCTAAGCACACTTTGCCAACATTTTTTAAGGCTTTCTTGTTAGCATTAGTTACATAGTACTATTATTTAAAACTGAGTTTTTCAATGGGTAGATGATGTACATTTTCTCTCTTTTTAATGATTAAAATGCAATTTTGTTTCACTAAAGTAATTGTAGAAAGGATTTATTTGGGCTGAGCAAGTGGTGTTTGGTTATTGATGTGTTAATAGGTGGGCAGCTAAGACTTGGGAAGCAAAATGGTAACATAAACCCCTTAGACTTTTGCTCCTGCCAAGACTACAGCTTTGATACACATGAAGCTAGATTTGAACATTCTTAGCAGTGAGGGTGGTGGGTAGAGTTTACTTCTAAATATTTTCATCATTTGCTTATAAAAAGTAGGTCTTGGCAGAGCGGGAGCAGACTTGTAAAGGCGCAGGTGCTTGGATAGCGTTAGAGAATCCTCACTCTGATGGACCATCCAATATACCAGTGAAGGCTTTGTAGTATAACAAGCATCATTGAGTTTTTCTCATTTTTTTTTTTTTAAATAATATAAAGTTCAGATGCTAACATGGCAAGTAGTTGGAAAATTCATAGCTGGTAACATAAGCTCTTGGAAAAGAAAGCATTTGAAAATATGGATGTGGATAGAATAAAGTCTGAACTCTTGCTGTTTTGCATTGATGTTCTGTTGTTTCTCTTATGATGATATTAACTGACTTATATTTTTATTTTGTAGCTTGTGCACTGAGGATTTGGGATAATTCTCTTTCCAAAGCTCCCTAGCTTTATATCAGTGTGTGCTTGTGGTCTCTGTAGCTCTCAATTTCTATACTTGTTCGCATCTTTTTTTCTAGATTGTCTTCCTTCTCTCTTGATTTTTTTAATGTGCAGATTTCACCATCTGTACTTACCTGATTGTTATATGTAGTAGATTGATTAAGTTATTTAAAACTAAATAATAGCCATCAGATTTTTAAGCAATATATCTTTACTTCAGAAGGGTTGAGAGTTCTGTGCCTAATCCTTAATAATATATGTATTACTGAGAGTTTTCATTAATTCAAAAGATAATTTTGGTTCACTGAACCTTTTTCCGGCTTGCACATTTTAAAGTTCATCTCATACTTGTCTGCCAATGACCACTGAAAATTGAGAAAAATGCAAAGTTTTATTAAAATTATTATTTCCTTGTAGTCAGAAGGCTGTACATTCCCTCTCATATATTTCAGTGTTTGGGTTTGTGAGCCCATTCAAATTTATAATGACAGTTTAAGTCTCCATGTTCTATGATTGTGGCCATAAATATAGTCAAAGATGAAGGACAGATTTTCCACTGAAATGATTATTAGAGGGCTGGATAGTTCCTGTGATTCTTATTTGAGGCTCTAAGTCACATGGACATGTTTTCAAAGTCTTGAACTCCTAATCGCCTCGCTGAGCCACAGGACTGAGACTGTTAGGTGAGCCCGGCCCCCGGGGTGGCAGAGGCGTGGTAGGCAGCGACCCGGCAAGTAATGCGCCCTGACCCTGTGCTGTCTCGTGATTGCCGCGTCAGGGATGGAGTGTCTCACCCGGGCGGAGGCAGACATCGTGCTGCTGGTGGACGGATCCTGGAGCATCGGCCGGGCCAACTTCAGAACCGTCAGGAGCTTCATTTCCCGCATCGTGGAAGTCTTTGAGATTGGCCCCAAAAGAGTACAGATTGGTAGGTCTGACAACATTGACGGCATCTAGATGTCTTCGTCGGGTCCGTTTACATATGCTAATGCCACTGGTGTCCTTTCAGCCCTCGCTCAGTACAGTGGGGACCCCAGGACAGAGTGGCAGTTAAATGCTCACAAAGACAAGAAGAGCCTGCTGCAGGCCGTGGCGAACCTGCCTTACAAGGGAGGCAACACCCTCACAGGTGAGCGTATGGTCCAGGGCGCTGCCCCCTCTCGCTTTTGTCCGAGCTCGTGGCTGAACAATGATGTGGCTGATTCTCTTTTAACAATCCCACTAGGGATGGCCTTGAATTTCATTCGCCAGCAGAGCTTCAAGGCCCAAGCTGGCATGAGACCTCGAGCTCGAAAAATCGGTGTTCTTATCACTGATGGAAAATCCCAGGATGATGTTGAGGCACCTTCCAAAAAACTCAAGGATGAAGGCGTGGAACTGTTCGCTGTTGGTAAGTATGGATGAGGATAGCCACGCCCCCACGGGTGACAAATATTTTTGCCAAGGATTTTGTAGTTAAAAATATTTTCTGAAGCATGAAAAATACAAAGACACACTTTCCCTATCACACAATTTATCAAAATAATGTGCCAGGAAGTTCATCTATTTTCTTCTTTTCTCCTTGTAATGGGAGGAAACTACATGGCTTCTTGGAAGAGAGTAATAAATCAAGAGGACAATTGTAGTGTTAATAGGATTCAGGAAAATTCTTATTTTGTTTTCCACAGCATCATGTTTGCTTTTGATATCCCCTATTTTATAATACTTTCCAGAAAAAAGCACTAAACAAACTCTTTTTGGTGGGGAATTGGTGCTAGAAGCATTGAGAAGAAGCCAAACAAAATAACCTTCAGTTTGTATTATTTTTTGTTTCTATTTAATTTATGTAATCATTTTATTATTGGGGAAAATCTCATTTACATTCTAGCTAACACTGAATATATAAGGGTAGCCTATGAAATATTTGCTTTGTTCCATGAATTTTTTTCTGAGACATGCTTTTAATTTGTGTATATCCATTTTCCCCAAGGTATTAAAAATGCTGATGAAGTTGAGTTAAAGATGATTGCAACAGATCCTGATGATATCCACGCATACAACGTGGCGGATTTTGAGTCACTCTCTAGGATTGTGGATGACCTCACCAACAACTTGTGTAACAGTGTCAAAGGTCCAGGTAAGATTAGCCCAGGTTCTCACCCTCAGAACTGTTGGTATTTTGGTCCAGATAATTCTTTGTAGAATGGAGGGATTGGATTACTTTGTGCATTGTGAGATATTTAGCAACATCCCTGAACTCTGCCCACTGGATACCAGTAGTATCCCCTGAGTTAGGACAACTAAAAATACCTTCAGAATGTGCTGAATGTCTGCTGGGGAGAACACTGCCCCCAGTTGAGAATCATTGATTTAGTTCTTGAATTTTCTCTGATGGCATCAAACTGTAAATGACTTCTAGCTTATTTGAGGATACATTTAGTTTATATGTGTCTCTACCAAACACGCGCTTCCTAGTTGGCTCAGTGGTAAAGAATCCTCCTGCCAATGCAGGAGATTCAGTTTTGATCCCTGGGTCGGGGAGATCCCTGGAGAAGGAAGTGGCAACCCACTCTAGTATTCTTGCTGGGATAATCCTATGAACAGAGGAGCCTGGCGGGCTACGGTCCACGTGGTCGCAAAGACTTGGACATGACTGAGCGACTGCACACGTGTGCTGCACACACACAGACACATACACAACTGAGATTAGGGAATAAAGAGGTGCTTTCTTTCCTGGTGTATATCTATTCTCTGGTAAAGCATCTTCAGTCCATATCACTACTAAATTACTATTAAATGCCCCAACCAGAGATGATCACATTTGGTACTTTGTACTTGTAACCTCTAAACATAAAGACAAATTACAATGTTAGAGTGTGGATTTTTAGAAAGGGTATCATCTCTCTTTACCACTGAAGAAATAGATTTAGAGAGATTCAGTTACTTACTGAAAGTCAGATGGGTAAAGATGTTTTGAGAGGTCCTTGAAAAAAGGTAGCTATTGATAAAGAATTAAGATTTAGAAATAAAATTATAGAAGTGAATTTGTAGTGACAAGTGGTATAAAATGATTACTATCTGTGTAAATTGTAGGTCAAATCATGGTAAATACTAAATTGAAGGTATTTGGAAAATTAATGATATAAATGATGGTTTTTATTGTATGAGAAAAATTTCTTTCAAGTAAAAGTAGATTCTGGTAAAGACTGTCTTTCATTAACTTACTCTGGTTTTGGAAAGTTGGAATGAGTTTAACAAAGTGGTAGAAATGGTTCACGTGCTTTGGATACTAAGGATACGTTTATTTGAATGTTCCTTCTTGAATTTCTCTCTTCAAAATTTTGCAGATTTTCTTTTTGGATTTTGAACAACAGACTGACCTTTTCCCAGGAGAAATAGACTAGCCAGGAAGCCAGAATTTGTAGGCGTCTGGCTCTGGATTAGCTGAGAGAGTTGTAGTTTTATTTAGTTGGAGAGAACTTTGAGTGGGGATGAAAACATCTTTTATCTGTTTTACTTTATTTTTTTTTTACATCAGCTATGTAATAGTTGCATTCATTTAGTTTCCCAGACAGTAAAATTGCTTGATAATTTTGTAGGCTTGATTATGACCCAAGTACAATAAGGGTTAGGATACTAAGAATGGAATTGCTTTTTCCCAGCTTTGGCTTACAAAGAAAGTAGGAAGAGTTCCTATGAGAATGATTTGCTATGCTCATGGAGTCGTTGCATTAACTCTCCCATAATTATTATTTGGGACATCTCTCTAATGGTCATATTGAGCCCAATATTTCTGTTTTCATTTATATTGATTCCAAATATTTTTCTATATTAGTCATTTCACCTACACTTATGAACAGAAAAAAACAAAACACAGGCAGTAGGATATTCCTAAATTTTAGACGACTTGGTTGTTTCTCTCTGAGAAAGTAAGTAGGTTCTCTTACCACTGAATTAGATCCTGAAAGAAAAGTAAACATAAATAAGAAATCACTTCTGTCCTCACAGAGCATAACTTAGAGTTAAGAAGATAAGACATGAATGTAAATAATCAACATGATAATGAGGGCAGTGAACTTGGCTGGTACCACCAGTGATAGAAGCAGTAGAGTTGTCAGGACCATATTGTCATTTACTGATACATGTAGAAGGTGGGAGAGCAGAGAGAGTATCTCGGATGAGTCAGAGGTTTTGAATCTAGGTGACCAATAAACTGTGATGCTGTCAGGATGAGGGGAGCAGCTTTTAAAGAATGACAAGAGCTCAGATTTGAATTTCCTGAGGGTGAAGAATCTTAGGCCACCCATTCAGAGAGGACTTATAGGCACTGGGCTGATTTACTGGAGAAGACTCTTGAGAGTCCCTTGGACAGCAAGGAGATCAAACCAGTCAATCCTAAGGGAGATCAAGCTTGAATATTCATTGGAAGGACTGATGTGGAAGTTGAAGCTCCAATACTTTGGCCACCTGATGCAAAGAGCTGACTCATTAGAAAAGACCCCTGATGCTGGAAAAGATTGAGGGAAGGAAGAGAAGGGGGCAGTCGAGGATGAGATGGTTAGATAGCATCACCAACTCAATGGACATGAATTTGAGCGAACTCCAGGAAACAGTGGAGGACAGAGGAGCTGGGCCTGCTGCAGCCCATGGGGTTACAAAGAGTCAGATATGATTTAGCAACTGAACAAGAACAACAACTGTACCTTCTTAGTATATGGAAGAATGTGTGTAAAAGCTTGAAATATGGAGAGGAACACCACTGCAACCTAATTTAAATATCACCATCTTGCTATGATAATGAAAAAGTCTATGTACTTCATTTCCACGTGCAGGTGACTTGGAAGCACCTTCCAACCTGGTTCTTTCTGAGCGGACCCATCGTTCTATGAGAGTGAGCTGGACCCCTCCTTCTGACAGCGTGGACAGGTACAAGGTGGAATACTACCCAGTGTCAGGAGGGAAACGGCAAGAAGTGAGTAGACAGTCCTTACAGCCCACTCCTTCCTGTCCTGAGACTGGGTCTTCCTCCTTAGGGCTCTGGGAGGAAGGCCGGGGGGAAGTAGGGGGTAGAACTGGGTCCATGGTGGTGGTCTCCATTTCTTGCAGGGCAAGCACTTCCATTTGGGTTTAATTAGAGGGAAGAGCTTTTAATTTCTTATGCTTTCCAAAAATTGCACAGTATCAAATAAATTTTTAATTAGGGGTTATGAGGGCATTTAATTTATTCATGAGTTTATACCAGAATCATTGAGTAGGAAGGAAACATTGAGGACGTTCTAATTTTATGCATTCATCTTACAAATAAGGAAACAAGAGCGGGGAGAATAAACTGTATGGATTATCCAAGATCTCACTGTAATCTGATAGTTTTTGAAAACAAAAACAATGGCCTCATTAAAGAATATTTCCTAAACTCATTGAAATTAACTACTTCACAATCAACAGTAGAAAAGAGGGAACTGATCCTAACAGAAGTTGTTATTATTTGTAAATTTTCCTCCCTAGTTTTATGTGAGCCGATTGGAAAGGAGCACGGTCCTGAAAGATCTGAAGCCTGAAACTGAATACGTTGTCAATGTATATTCTGTAGTGGAAGACGAATACAGTGAGCCTCTGAAGGGCACAGAAAAAACATGTAAGTCAGATTAAAAAAAAACTCATTGTTTAATTTATTAAGGTAAAGAGGTGACAGGCCATGTGGGAGTTTTTTTCATTTTCATTTAAAAAGAATTACTGAAATATTGGTGATTTACAGAGTTGTGTTAGTTGCAAAGGTACAGCAAAGTGATTCAGTTACATGTGTGCATTCTTTTTTTTTAGATTTTTTTAGATTCTTATAGATTATTAAAAGATACTGAGTGTAGTTCCCTGTGCTATATAGTAGGTTCTTGTTGATTGTCTATTTCATATATAGTTGTTGTTCAGTCGCTATGTCATGTCCGACTCTTTGTGACCCCATGGACCCAGCTCACCAGGCCTCCCTGACCTTCACCATCTCCTGGAGTTTGCTCAAACTCATGAACATTGAGTCAGTGATGCCATCCAGCCATTTCATCCTCTGTCGCCCTCTTCTCCTCTCGCCCTACATCTTTTTCAGCATCAGGGTTTTTTTTTTTTATATATATCAGTTCAATTCAGTCGCTCAGTCATGTCCGACTCTTGGCGACCCCATGAATCGCAGCACGCCAGGCCTCCCTGTCCATCATCAGCTCCTGGGGTTTACTCAAGCTCATGTACATCAAGTCAGTGATGCCATCCAGCCATCTCATCCTCTGTCGTCCCCTTCTCCTCCTGCCCTCAGTCCCTCCCAGCATCAGGGTCTTTTCCAATGAGTCAGCTCTTTGCATGAGGTGGCCAAAGTATTAGAGTTTCAGCTTCAGCATTAGTCCTTTCAATGAACACCCAGGACTGATCTCCTTTAGGATGGACTGGTTGGATCTCCTTGCAGTCCAAGGGGCTCTCAAGAGCCTTCTCCAACACCACAGTTCAAAAGCATCAATTTTTCAGCACTCAGCTTTCTTCACAGTCCAACTCTCACATCCATACATGACCACTGGAAAAACCATAACCTTGACTACATAGACCTTTGTTGGCCAAGTAATGTCTCTGCTTTTTAATATGCTATCTAGGTTGGTCATAACTTTCCTTCCAAGGAGTAAGTGTCTTTGAATTTCATGGCTGCAATCACCATCTGCAGTGATTTTGGAGCCCCCCCAAAAATAAAGTCTGACACCGCTTCCACTGTTTCCCCAGCTATTTCCCATGAAGTGATATAGTACTGTGTATATTTTAACCCCAGCCTCCTAACTTATCTCTCCCCACCTCTACCACTATCCCCTTTGGTAACTGGTTTGTTTTCTATGTCTGTGAGTCTATCTGTGTTTCGTAAATAAGTTCGTTTGTACCGTGCTGGATTTCTGTAAGCCTTCCGAATCATTCCTTTATTTGATAGCTCTTCAACACACATTTACTGAATGTGTACTTTATGTAGGTACTCGATAAATACTCTGATTTTCTGCTTTTCATGGCTGCTCCTGCCATCTTAGGACCCACTGGGTAGTCATGGCCAGAGTTTACTTTAGAGGGAAGGGTACCTTTCACAGTTGTCCACCTCTTAAGGGAAGGTAGCATGTGGGGAGTGGGACTCAGAGTATCTGGAGGAGCAGCTGTGCAGGAATGATCCAGTTCAGTTCTGCCTGAGGCCAGAGCTCCCCGCTGGCAGTGAGAGCTCCTTTTTTATTGACTTTTGGACTCTGGCCTTTACTAGAGAAGTTCTGATGGCTTTGGCTTTGAGTAGAGCTTTGGGGAAAGGTATTCCTCACTCCTTTTCCTGGTGGGGTTTCTGAGGCCATATGAAAATACTCTTTCCTTCTCCCATCTTCTTGGCTGGCCTCCAGGAAGAAGGGAGGCCTCTAAAAAGAAAGAGGAAGCAATGGGTGTAACTCCAAGGCAAGAATCCACTCCACTGACTGCTCAGTCCCTTAGGTCTTTATCTCTTCTATTTCTCTTCATATTAGACCATTAGGCGGGAAATAATATATTTCATAATGGGCATGATTAATCTGATAATTCTTTAAAACTTTAAAGTCCATCTTTGGACAAAAAAATAGAAAGCTGTGCGTATATTAAGTGAAGAGGAGACTGTAAGCCTGTTAGTGTGCCTCATGGGCTAATCTCCTTGAAGAATCCCCTGAGTTCCACTTATTAATAGACATCACTCTCACTTATTTTTTCTAAAGTAAAAATGAAATGAAATGAAATACTAGGTTGGCTTTTTATGTATGAAATTCTATGATTGAAGAACGAAAATGGTCAACTTACAGATGTTTCAGAAAAAGAGACTGAAACCTCAGGAAATTAGTCTCTGTTTTGGCTTTCGTATAGACATACTAGAATGCCATTTTACATTTAAATGTCTTTTCTTTATGAATTAGTTATCACATGCAGTCCTAGTAGGTGTTGGCGAGAAACAATGAGATTTTTGAGGGGAGAGAAAGGGATTATATTAACTCTCACTGATTTCTCACAACAACCCGTTTTCTATTTACCATATACAAAGGACGCGGTTAACAAATGAGGAGAATGACAAGAGTTAGAATGATGTCTGTTTTTTCATTTCAACAGTGCCAGTGCCTGTGGTCAGCCTGAACATTTACGACATTGGCTCAACCACCATGCACGTGCAGTGGCAGCCAGTCGGGGGCGCTACTGGCTACACCGTGACCTACGAACCCATCAATGCCACAGTTCCGACCAAGCCCAAAGAGGTGGGAGCCCTTTATTTCTTTATCTTGGGTCTTCTTGAGCCGTCACTGTTGTCGAGTCCCCGTTAAGGGGCAGTTTACTCGTTAGCTCATTTATAGCTTTACACGCAAAACCAAAAACAGATTAGATTTGTGGCCTGTGACACATCTTAAAAAAAAAAAATCAGTATGAAAAAGGAAATGCCGTTCAGAGAAATGAAAAATAAAAGTTGTGTTCAAATCTAGTGGTCACAACTTGGTGTGATTGGCTGTCCCTCATTAGCGGAAGTGTTTCATTTGAATGTGTTCTTCCGCCTCGGCTGGTCCATCTGCAGATGCGCGTGGAGCCTACAGTGAATGACGTGCAGCTAAGTGACCTCTTCCCAAACACCGAGTATGCGGTTACAGTCCAGGCGGTCCTGCATGACCTCACCAGCGAGCCCGTCACAGCAAGGGAAGTCACCTGTAAGATGTCGCTAGCTTTCCTTATTCCCTCATTGCTGTGAACGTGACTCATTCGTTAGGCTTTTTCTTTTGCCCAATGATGCTAAAACTGATTTTGATTGTTTGTGTGTAAGTTGTAGGGTTATTCCTTATGGCCAAGGTTGTTTCTGGACTTAGGGCAGCATCTTAAATCGATTGTTAAGATTTGCATTTATTTTTCCATATTTAACATATCAGATTTTCAGATGGTATCGTACAATCAGCGGTGTCTTACAGTTGCTCTTGGTGAGGTGTCAGTCAGGGAACAGAGCATAAAATAATGGTGCATCTTATAGTCCATGTTGTTGTCGATCCATGAATATGGTATACACCATTAGTGAGAAGGGGATGTTGGAGAAAAATACTAGGTTTAAGATCAAGAAGTTCCAAGTTCTTGTTGAAGTAGAAGCTATGGCACATCTGGATCAGTCTGTTTATGTTAAGTAAATTAACTCAATCCCCAAACATATTGATCAACTGTGACTTTGCAGTCTTCTGCCTAGGTATTGGGAATGTGCTGATAAATAACGTAGGGCAGAGTGGAGGACCCCGACTCCTTCATGGTTTGCACCTCTCTTGTGTGTGTTGTTCAGCCTCCTGTGTGTTTCTGGTTTGTTTCACTAGCATTTAGGTGCTTTTTTCTTGAAGAGTGACAGTGATGGCACTTAGGACCCTGGTCTCACCCAGCTGGTAGTTTTGTTTCACGCTTCTTGGGGTGGGCATGCTGGGATTCTAAGCATGTCTTGGCTTACATTTTGTGAGTCTCAGCCTGCATTTCTAAGGAAATTAAGAAGTTGTAAGAAACCTTCAAGGGGGTATGGGGCTGAGACAGAAGCATGAAGAGACAGAGAAGATAAATGCTGCAAGGTGGGGCAGGATACAGTCATGGACATCAAATAACCACCTTTTACATGTCAGACCCTATCTGGAGCTTGTGGTTTGTAGAAATGGGGTGGTGGCAGGTGGAAAGAGTAGGGATCCAGCCAGGCATGGAGACATATTTTGGAGATGCTGAGTGAGGGGACCCAAGTCATAGTGGGATTAAAGACAGACATGGCTATAGATTTGGATATAGGGCTGGACTGCAGCACTGGGGGAGGGGAGGGTACAGAGAGATGCTGAGAGAGGAAAGCGTTGAAGGGATGGAGGTGTAGGAGCATAGAGGTGGAGAGACAGATTCAGGAAGAGACATGTGCAGACTTGAAATGAGAGACAGAAAGTTGGTCAAACAGGCAGCTAGAGTGAGATACATCTCGTGTAGCAAGAGAAATACTCTTCTTCAGTTATCCTCCTCCTTGTCCTTTTTAAGGTAAAGCTTTGTTTGACTTGGGGAAAATTTATTGTTGGATTTGCTCCTAACCATTTGGGCTTCTGTGGGTTTTTTCTTATAAACTTATTGGATGCATAATTTTGAATCATCTTCGTTCTTCACTCTTGTAACCACTTGTTTTGCTATCACATACTTCAGGAAGCATGACACTTTGATTTCAATCTCAACTGATTTAATATTTGATAAAGAAACATAAGCTGTACATTTATGGCGAATTATGATTTATTATAGCTGAGCAACAAGTAAGAGTTTATTTAAATAGAATGGGAGAAAGTTAAATATAAACGAGAAAGAGTTGTTATAAAAATTTAAATTTATCCTATTTTTAAAAAGACTTCTTAAGAATTCAGCTGTACCTCGTAGAAATCAAAGTGCTTTTGTCATCATAACCAATTTGTTTAGTACTTTGCTGCACACCTTTAAGTTCTTGAAAGCTTGTGTGGAAGCTGTAGAGCTTTGTGGTTGAGAGTAAATTCTGGTCCTAATTTATCATGCGTCTCCAGTGCCTCTGCCCAGTCCTCGAGACCTGAAACTCAGAGACGTGACTCATAGCACCATGAACGTCCTATGGGAACCCGCGCCTGGAAAAGTGCGTAAATACATAGTTCGCTACAAAACCCCAGAAGAGGAAGCCAAAGAGGTAGGTTGAGGTTGGAAGCGGTTTAGAAATATTTGTTTTCCTAGTAGGTTTAACGGAAGAATCTAAACAGGTGTAGCATGTTTTGAATACTTGTCACTTTATGAACATAGTGTTGATAACTTGTCATATATTAACAAAGCACTATTTGAATATTGATAATGTATTGGACTGTTTTGCATTTAGTTTAGAAATATTTCGCTGTGTGATATTAATCCTAAAACATCATCCCTTAGTAGATAAAGGGTTACAGAATCTAGATGGTATTTCACTCTCCTCCTGATGCCTGATATGGTGCTCTGCATTCTATGAATGACTAAGAGATTGTCATAATGGTGTTCCTAAAAATGAAAGGTAGCAAGGGGATTCAGGAAAGAAGGGGGGAGTTTGTCTGGGAATGGAGAGGTAGGACAGTTAAATAGGACAGAGAGAAAGTATGAATATAGTGTCAGGAGAGTGTCTCTTTGGCTTTGAACGTTTCTGAGTTGATGCTGGGATGAAAAGCTATTTCCATGACAGCCTGCTTCAGAGTGAGAGCAAATTGAGGGGCTTCACCAGCAAATGGGTTTAAAATGTATGTTCCCCTGAAGGGACATTAATGTAAGCACCTCAGAGGCAGTTTTGGAAGCTGGAAGTAGTTTCTGTGAGCACCCAGTTGCAGACTGCGCTGGTCTTCTGAACTTCATGAAAGCTAATTTAGACCTGTGCACATATTCGTTTCATTTGCACATATTCGTTTCATTCTGGGTTTCAATTTTCGGAAGCAGTACAATGACCAGTGGGTCTTATAAGCTAATGTGCAGGAGAATTTTTCTGCAGGAAACGAGGCAGTGACTCTTAGGGAAGTGGGGAGAAAGAGATCAGGTTGTTTGAATTCCTAGGCTGTCATCATTTACCAAACACAGGGCTCTAGTACATACACCGTTTCCACTTTGGAAACTATAAATGGTCTTCAGTTCCTGGACTCTTAGGCAAATTGGAAAACTTTGCTTTTTTTTTTTTTTGTACTGCCGTTCTCATGCTCTCATGCTGAGAGACACAGCCAACAACAGAAAGATGTCAAAACTAGACTTTGTAAAAATAGTTCCACCACTCTATTGTAGGTAGAGGTGGACAGGTCACGGGCCAGCACGCCGCTTAAAGACCTCTTCTCACAAACCCTGTACACAGTCAGCGTGTCTGCCGTATACGAAGAGGGGGAGTCTCCCCCAGTGACTGCGCAAGAAACCACCCGTGAGTTTTGCTCATGCTTTAATGATAATTGGGAAATAGCACCGCATGCATGTGTCACTGACTAACTGGTTATTTCATTTCTTAAAACTTTTTAAAATTTTTTTAATGGAAGTATAGTTGATTTATCATGTTGTGTTAGTTTCAGCGAAGGGATTCAGATTTATATGTACCTCTGTAATATATACTTTAGATATATGTATATTCCTTTCTGGAATCTTTTCCCTTATAGGTATTACAAGATATTGAGTATAGTTCTCTGCCCATTTCTTAATGTTATTTTTGCCAGAATTTCATAATGTTTGGGATCATAGATTGTTTTTCACTTAGTTACTTCCCATCTTCTATCCTTATGTCTATTCCTTTTGTGGTAATTTCTCTCCTATTATTCTACCAGCCACTGTCACTAACTAATTCATTTTCCAGATACTTAACTGGTGTGTGTGTGTTTGTGTAGGGGGATGGAGAGAAAGCATGCTACTTCCACAGTATTTAACTCAATTATTATTGCCTGTCGGTCTTTTTCTGTCTATACCACTTCCCTCTGGCTCCCTCCTAATGAAGTCTGAGACATGTATTTTGCTCAACTTTGAACCTTCAGTTTCTGGCTCAGTGCTTACCATGCCATTTTCTAGATAAATTGTGTTTAAGATATTGAAGTCTAGAGCCGGCAGAATTCCCAAGAAATGTAATATATTGGGAGCCACATAGGTAATTCAAAATTTTCTAATAGCCACATTAGAAAAGGTAAGGAGAAACATGAAATTAACTATAATAATGTGTTGCATTTAACCCAGTGTATCCAAAATATTAGCATTTCAAAATTTACCAGTATAATAATTATTAGTGAGATATTTCACATTTTTTTGATAATAATTTTTTTTTTTTAATCTGGTGTGTCTTAATTTGGGGCTTCCCTACTGGCTCAGTGGTAAAGAATCTGCCTGCAATGCAGGAGATGCAGGAGATGTGGGTTTGACCCCTGGGTCAGGAAAATCCCCTGGAATGGCAGCCCACTCTAACATTTGTGCCTGGAGAATCCCATGGATAGAGAAGCCTGGTGGGCTACCGTCCATGGAACTGCAGAGTAGGATATGACTGGGTAACTGAGCGTACATGCACACACGTCTTAATTTATGCTTTCAGTGCATCTCAACTCAGATGCCACATTTCAAGTACTCGATAGCTACATGTGACTGTTGGCTCCCATGGTGGGCAACACAGGTCTAGAGAATTCAAACAACTTGCCCAGCCTCGCCCAGGAAGCTAGTGGTGGGATAAGTGCTGTGGTCCAAAACTTTTCCAGCGTCTTTATCACCAGAGGATCAGAAACTTCTTCAGTGCCCTGCTCTCTGTACATGATCAATGCCTCTTGTCAAATATCACAGCCTCCTATGTAACTTCAGACAGTCTCTACCTCTGCTGTTTTCTTACCATGTGAAATCTCTTAGCAGCTTCAGTTGCCTTCTTATCATCAGTTCTTACCTGGGAAGAGTAGTGGCTGGAGATGAAAATTTGCCTATAGGTGCACACTGGCATAAATATAACAGGAATAGTAAAGGGAAGGGAAAGTTCAGGAAGAAAGACTAGTGAAAGCAGGTAATTTAGCATACTAAATTAATGCTTGTTTTTAATCCTTAAGATTTCCTAGGAACTTTTAGACACATCCAAAGTGCATCCTTCATGGTTGGTTTGTTCTGCAGTCATGCTTGTCAAAGTGGGACCAGTCTCTTTGTCTCAATGGGCCTTTTCATTGTCATTATTAGAAACAAATTTTTCATAGCTCTGGCTTTTGTGTAGTTGGCTTTGGTTACCAGGAGATAGAAGAATAATTGACAATGAAAGCTCAGAACGGGTGGCAGACGTTCCAAATTGCTTGCGCTGCAAGCTCGCTGGGGGTGCCTGGTCAGTAGAAGTGTGAGGGATTTCAGCCATCGTCAGCACTGCAGGGCTGTTCCTGTCTCTGAATAGAGCTGATACAGTCAGCTTCACATTGTGTATCAGGGTAGTAATCTGTAAGAAAAGCTTATCTGTGGGTTACTTAGATCATAAGATTTCATGGACCATGGAGGTTCATGCACTCTCTGATACTCCAGGCTAAAGTTTGGCTTCTGTGTTACTGTGGAAAAGAGTCCAGGGTTTTCTTTAGATTCTCAAAAAGTGTGAAGGGCAAAACGACGAAGAACCACTGTGTTAGAACAGTATGACTAAACGGTACTTTTTAAGGAAAAAATCACCATTTTAATAGACTTAAGTAGTCTGTTATATCCATAAAATACTTGCAGTTCTCAGGGCTCTCTCCCACATTTACTTGCAGATGAACTGAATTTGTAAGATACTTGGTTCTCATGTTGTCAGCCAGTTTCCTCATGTCTGTTAAAATAAAACAAGGCAGTTTTATTATACTGAGTTTGTAGATCACATCCAAACATATAGTCCTGCCTTCTCTCACGACAGACACCGTGCCAGCCCCAACAAACTTACAGATTACTGAAGTAACACCAGAGAGTTTCAGAGGGACTTGGGATCATGGAGCTTCTGATGTGTCTCTCTATAGAATCACCTGGGCGCCTTCAGGAAGTGCAGATAAGATGGAGGTAGTGTTAACTCTCTCTCTCTCTCTTTTTTTTAATATATGACCTTTGTTGCCTGAAAAGCATCATTTCCTACTAGTTACATTTGAGCTCATGGCATGCCTCAAAGCAGGAAGAACATCTGGCTAAATGATGTCAACCAGCTGCTGTGATGCATACAGTGACTTAATCTTGTCTGGGCTTTTTTTTTACCCTCTTCCCTGAAGACCATCCTAAATGGAGATGAGAATACTCTGGTGTTTCAAAACCTGAACCCCAACACTCTCTATGAAGTTTCTGTTACCGCCATTTATCCTGATGAGTCAGAAAGCGATGACCTGATTGGCAGTGAGCGTACACGTAGGTGTTTAACCTTCAGTAGGACTTTTTTTTTTTAATTAACAGAATAGAACTATGGCTGAATTAGTAATATTTTGCCACCTTCTTCTTTTTTTTTTAGAGCGTTTGATACCCTTAACAACACAAGGTAAGAATTTAATTTGCTGATTGTATGAGTGACCAAAGAATGAACAAATGAATGAATGAAAAATACCACAAAATCCGTTGCAAATAGGCCTTCTGCTTTTACAATAAGTTGTAAGGTGTTGACTGGGACCTCTTTTAAACAGGTCTCTCTGGAAGAATTTTGCTCTTTGCTACTATCTGTTAGGAGTCCTTTGAGACTCAATGACCATCATTTGTTATGGGGTCAGATTTAGTTCTGAGTCTAGAAGTACACAACTCTGTTCATTTCCTTGGGGATGGTGCATATTTGTGGGGGAGGCATTCTTCAGTTTGTTTACTCTATTTCTCAACAATCTTTCCTCAGCTCCAAAGAGTGGCCCACGAAACCTTCAGGTGTACAATGCAACATCTAACAGCTTGACTGTTAAGTGGGATCCTGCAAGTGGTCGTGTGCAGAAATACAGAATCACCTACCAGCCTTCAACAGGGGAAGGCAATGAACAAACGGTAATCTGTTTGGGAAAAAACATACTTGGTTACGTTCTTTTTCTCCTCAAGCTCTCACTCCCAGTGTTTAGTTAGTCAGACTTACTCTTTTGAGAGTTATGAAATTTACTGTATTAGTTGGAATTATTTGGCTTTATCCCTAATGGAGTCTCATAGCATCAGGCTTATGCCTCAGTGCATTCATGTTTTCTTAAAAACTATTAGGGCTGGGTTATCCATGAAGATATCTAGATTTTTGAGTCTATTTGTATTTTCATTTCTTATATCTCTGACTTGATCAAGTGTTGAGAGAGTTTGCTAATCTTCCATTTTTCTAATTTTTCTGTTTTTTGCATGTCATGATGTATGTCTTAGTTCTGATGTTTCTTGATCTAGGTACCTGTTCAACCTAACTTATACTATTTATCACGTTTGCATTGATCCAAATGGAGGTTCCTGAGGAAGACAGTAGGACTGTAAACTTGGCCTTCATCTTCTTTATCTTCCGAGCCTTCCCTTATTTAACAGAGCCCTTATCTGTTCACTTTGCTTACTTTGAACCTTCTCCAACTTTGTTTTATGAAAGGTGTGGCCCAAACTGCACACATTACCCTGGGTCAGGAAGCAGTGTGATTTTTATTTAGGTAGAGTGATGCTTTCTGATTTATTTCAAATACTTCTTTTGGTGAGGTCTGGCATTTTGTTGACTTTTGCGAGACTATATTCTTTCCTCACAAAGCCTTGGAGAGAGATGACTTATTAACTTTTAATCATCCGACTCTTTGAGCTCCAGCAAATGGTTCATACCTCTTCCCATTTTAGAGGCGTTAGGAGGGGTAGATGCTGGCAGTGGTTAAAGGTCTCTGAACCCGCACAGTAAGTGGATTGAGATGAACTAGTGCTGCTTGTGAGCTGCTCTGTTGAGGTTTCCATAGAACCTGACTTTGGGAGTGTGATACACTTGGATTAAAAATTTCTTAGAGTTCATCATAATAAACTAAATACCAAGTGTCATCAAGTGGCTTTTATATAGAATAAGACATTTAATGGACTGATATTGTAATGGCAGAAACAGAACTTTCACCTGTGCTGGGCCAGATTCAGATAAAATGTGTCCTTAGCATTTCTGTTCTTGGTGATATTGACCATCTAGCTGCTGCCTCAAGTCTCTTTTCCCTATCCCTCACCTGTTTGTTGTAAGTAGAAGGTGTGTCCCAAACTTATCTTCTATAAAGTACTAGCTGACAGTCCCTTAGAGTATGTTATTCTTAGGAGTATTTTACTTTTAATGCTGGCCCATGTAATGACTTACTGATGCTAGCATTATTTGGGAGAATTGGATGTAAGAAGTAGGCACACTCTTCTGTTTCCTCATGGGGCTAATTCTACTAAGTGGATGCTTTCAGATTTGTTAAGTATCAAATACATTGATAGCTTGCTGTCATAATCTCAGATACTAAAATTTGTTAAAATTAGCCACTGTGGGCTTCCCTGGTGGCCCAGGCAGTAAAGAATCTGCCTGTAATGCAGGAGACCTGGGTTCGATCTGAGGGTTGGGAAGATCCCCTGGAGGAGAGCATCGTGACCCACTCCAACATTCTTGCCTGGAGAATCCCCATGGACAGGGGAGCCTGGCGGGCTACAGTCCATCGGGTCGCAGAGAGTCAGACACGACTGAGCGACTGAGCAGCAGTGGTTAGTTTGCCTGTGCTGAGGAGGAGTGCAGTGATGCACTGATGTTTTCCCTGAAACTCAGACCACTTGAGTGGATGGGTGCTAAGCGGGGAACATCTGGACTGGCCGTGGCATGTGCACTCATGGTGGGCAGCATGCCGTTTTCATGCGATTTAAATGAGTCTGGCATAAGCGTCTGAATTCCGTAGACTGTTAACAAATCATACAAATTTCCTTTCAACAAGATAACGAGATGGCCTTAAGCAGTGACTCTTTAATCAGAGGACGTTGAGAAAGCTTCATACCGCAAGGCTGGAGTCCTGGGGTGTGGCCTGGCAGAGGGTCCCGACTCGTAGTTTACACAGCTCATGCTGTGAGAGGGGTAGTTTTTGAGGGGGAAAACCAAAAGCTTTAGATCTTTTGCTGAATCATTTTAATGTGTTTCTAAAGCAAACAAGAAACATCTGTAAAAAAGGTAAGAATAACACTGAATGGTGTGGCGCCTCCACTATTGTGCAGTTCTTTGCTTTCTTGAAGCTCCTTTGCAGCTCGCTTATGATTGATGCCTTTTTTGGGGGAAGAGATCTGTGAAACGTGTTTTGGATGAAATTTCACAGTGCTAGCAGCTAGCACGTTGAAATATCTTTTTAAGGTCACCAGGTTTAAGGCTTAGAATCCTTTTTATGATTGAAGGTGCATCTTTTACATTTAAAGTTATACCTAAGATATATTTCCAACTTTCACTGTGGGACATGTTTCCAGATCTTGGCAAAGGTCTCTCTATAACTACTCTGTAGAAAGAGCTTTTTTCTAACAAGTTAGTGAGATGGAGAGACAAAGCTGACACTTATCCTTGTTTCACTCAAGACCACGATAGGAGGACGGCAGAACAGTGTGCTCCTGCAGAAGCTGAAGCCTGACACTCCTTACACCATCACCGTGTCCTCCCTGTATCCGGATGGCGAAGGTGGTCGCATGACAGGAAGAGGCAAGACCAGTAAGTGAACCCAGAATCCTGTGGCTTTAAAAACAAAAAAATTAATTCATTTATTTACTTTTGGCTTTTTGGGGTCTTTGATGCCTCTTGGGCTTTTCTCTAGGTTTGGTGAGCAGGGGCTACTCTCTATTTGCAGTGCTCAGGCTACTCATTGAGGTGGCTTCTCTTGTTGCAAAGCACCAGGCTCTAGGGCTTGTGGGGTTCAGTAGTTGCAGCTTCCAGGGTCTGGAGCACAGGCTCAATAGTTGTGATGTGTGTGCTGAGTTTCTCCGTGGCATGTAGGATCTTCCCAGATCAAGGATCGAACCCATGTCTCCTGCATTGGCAGGTGGATTCGATACCACTGGGCCACCAGAGACACCCAGTCCTGTGACTTTTTAAATAACCTTTATGGAAATGGAATCATATCTTTCTCTGGAAACCCTGGGGTGACACAGAGCTTTGCTAATCTTTTAAAATGCATGTTGAAAATGATCTCAATTGTTTTTAATATCCTTGCAATTCTCTGTCTCTGTTCAGGGAAAAAGACGTTTATAATCACTCTCTCAGTTCAGTTCAGTTGCTCAGTCGTGTCTGACTCTGCGACCCCATGGACTGCAGCATGCCAGGCCTCCCTGTCTATCACCAACTCCCAGAGCTTGTTCAAACTCATGTTCATTGGGTCGGTATTATTCTCTAGGATAAAGCAAATAAAAACTGCCTTGGAGCCAAAATATCTCTGGAGAGATGAGAGACATTCATCAGACGATCACAGACATTCTTTCATTTATTCACTACTTTGACAAATATTTGTGGGGTGCCTATTACGGGGGACCTGCTGTGTTCTAGGGTTCCTGGGAGACATCAGGGAACCTGTGTTTTGTGTGTGCCTGGTTGTTCGCATCACACCGTGACTGTGTGTGCCTTTCAGAACCTTTGAATACCGTGAGGAACCTCAGAGTGTATGACCCTTCCACCAGCAGTTTGAACGTTCGCTGGGACCACGCCGAGGGCAATCCTCGCCAGTACAAGCTCTTCTATGCACCCACAGCAGGGGGGCCGGAGGAACTGGTAATTATTTCCTGTAGGGAAGAATGTGTGTTTGTTTCAACTGCAGCCAAATGGTTGCAAAGTAGAGCTAAAGAGTTAAACATTTACCTTAGAGTCTAAGAAGTTCATATTCATTTAGTAGAACTTGACAGAGGCTAGTAGGTTGGTGCCTCAGTGCCTGGGTGATTGGGGAGTTTTGGGGACAGAGAATTGGAGCTGAGGGAAGTGATAATTCCAGGGAGTTCTAGGAGAGAGTCTAGGATTAGTGTAAGAAGTCTTCTCAAATGGTTCGTCTGGGGGCACACCATTCTGTCCCAGTATTACAGAACTTGCTTCTTGACTTGGTCTTGAGTGATTATATTGAGTATTGTGTCACTCGAAGCATTATTTCCTTTGCAAGTTTTTCAAATCAAGTACTTTACATTTTATTAAAATCTTTAGGTACCAATCCCTGGGAATACCAATTATGCCATTCTTAGGAATCTGCAGCCAGATACCCAATACACCGTTACAGTGGTGCCTGTTTATTCTGAGGGTGATGGAGGACGCACATCAGATACTGGAAGGACCTGTAAGTAAGAAGGCAGAAAATGTAGCTCTTTCATGATACACTTTGCTTCTCAATGTAAAGGCCATATAGGCACATTAAAAAATATTTGGAAAATTCATGATAGAATAAAAATGTAAAAGTTACTCATAGTTTGTCATTCAAATACCACCAACTGTTAATATTTTAGTGTATAAAACAGAAAAGTTATAATGGCATTCTTCTTTTCAAATGGTAATTTCAGAATTTATACATGTGTATATAATGGTCCGTATTCTGTTTCACTGGCAAAAATTCATGAACTTTGCTTTGTGCTTTATAAATTTATTTGGAGCAGTATTTTGTAACTGGCTTTCACAGTGTCAATTTTTGAAATCTGTTCGTCACATTACTTAATCGCACATTTCTTTGGTTTGCTGATGAAGTGCTCTTTGGCGTTGAAAAGCTGAGTGCTTTCATTTGCCATTAACATCCTGAGAAACCAGTTTATAGTGGTTTTACAATTCTTTGTAGTATTGCTTAAAGGCTTTAGGGCATACCTATAAATATTTCTTTGGCTTTAAAAATACACTTGCTGATGGCTAAAAGAGAGCAAGTTCGGATGACTTCTTTTGGCAAAAGATTAGTGGTCTGGAAAGATGATGATATTGGCTAAACTAGAATTTGGGGTTAATACATGGATTTAATTTGAATGTTTTTCTAAGACCTGGTTGAGGCAGTTAACTGAGAACTGACTGTATCTTTTCTCCTTCCTTTTGCCTTTTATTTTAATCACAGAAGACATTCAGTATCGATTTGCTGAATGAGAAGAAATGAATGGGTGAAGATAGCTATTTGGAATTAGATGGCTTCATCTGTGTTGCCAGGTTTCCCTTAGAAGGCAGAGTTATAAAATCATCTCTCTCTCCAGTACCTGTGTTGGAAAACTGAGGCTTCTTTTCAGTTTCTTGTTCCTTGTCTGTTCTTTTATGGCCATGAGTGCTCAGGCACTTGGTCGTATACTATTCTTTGTGACACCATGGACTGTAGCCCACCAGGCTTCTCTGCACATGGAATTTTCCAGGCAAGAATACTGGAGTGTTTTGCTATTCCTTCTCCAGGGGATCTTCCCGACCCAGGGATTGAACCCATGTCTCTTGCATCTCCTGCATCGGCAGGTGGATTCTTTACCACTGAGCTACCTGGGAAGCCCGTTTTATGGCCAACCCAGTACTATTGCTTTTACTTGCTTGTTTTTATTGGCAACAACTTTGCTTCCATATAGACCAAAGACATAGTTGGCTAACTTGGACTACATTTGGATTTGAAAATTTTTAACCTGCTTTTGTGTGTGGATAATTAGACGTTTAAGGAGGACAATATTTTATCCTATTGGAGAGTGGAAGTTCTGGAGAAGTGATAACAAAAACTCGACATAGATAAACAAACATAAGAAATATGTGTTGGCTTTTCTTTCCTCAGTGGTGAGAGGGCTGGCGAGAAATGTCCAAGTGTACAATCCAACACCAAACAACCTGGACGTTCGTTGGGACTCGGCACCTGGACCAGTTCAGCAGTATCGCATTGTGTATTCACCTCAGGATGGTACAAGACCCTCCGAATCTGTAAGTCATGCTGTTGCCTTAGAACTTGGCCAAAGAATGCTGCGGATTTCACTGTATCTCCAGCTTTAGTAGTTGCTGGCCCTGGGCAATAAGTCAGTTGGTGTGGCACTGGGTCTCCTGGAAACTTCATTTCTTGATAAGCTTAGTCTCATGTTTGTGTCCTGGTTGGTTGCCTGTGAGAACGCAAGCCATAGACAAGCCTGCATGTAATGCTTAAATGATTGCTTTTGATGAATTAAAGTACTACCTATAGGGTTAGTTAGCAAAAATGAATTTTATTGTAAAAATGAGAATTAGCTATATAAGTTAAAAGCCCCAGTAGTTAATGCAAATCATTGCTCAGTTCAGTTCAGTCGCTCAGTCGTGTCCGACTCTTTGCAACCCCTTGAATCGCAGCACGCCAGGCTTCCCTGTCCATCACAAACTCTGGTAGTTTACTCAAACTCCATCCAGCCATCTCATCCTCTGTCGTCCCCTTCTTCTCTGGCCCCCAACCCCTCCCAGCATCAGGGTCTTTTCCAGTGAGTCAACTCTTTGCATGAGGTGGCCAAAGTATTGGAGTTTCAGCCTCAGCATCAGTCCTTCCAATGAACACCCAGCACTGATCAATATGGGCTTTTGTTATAACATACACATGCCTTTGTTAAGAAAATACTTTGTTAAAGTTTGTCTCCATTGGCTCTTAACAGATTGCCCAATCTATCTTCAATTCATAGTACTGTGCTTTTTTTTTTTTAAAGTAGATTAGTAGAGATCAGAAATTACTAATTTGACTACAAATATGGGCTTCCCGGGTGGTGCAGTTGGTAAAGAATCCACCTGCCAATGCAGGAGACACTGAGATGTGGGTTTGATCCCTGGGTCAGGAAAATCATCTGGAGTGGGAAAGAGAAACCCACTCCAGTATTCTTGCCTGGAAAATTCCATGGGCAGAGGAGCCAGGTGGGCTACAGTCCACGGGGCAGCAAAGAGTCAGACATGACTGAGTATGCACGCATTGTCAGATCCTATGGGAAAGTAAACTTATAAGCTAATTTAATTTATAAGTCTTTACAAAATAAACAGTGATGATGAACAAAGATTAAACAAATGAGCAATGGCTGTGTTCTGTAAGAATATTGATTTGCATGTCCCTGTGTGGTGGTGTATATTCAGACAACTTTGCCCTTACCCATTGAATGGAGTTGCTATTTTAATAGAAAACCTCTGCCCTGCCAGAGTGTGTGTGTGTGTGTGTGTGTGTGTGTGTGTGTGTATGTGTTGCTTCTCTTATGTGTACCTAACATTCGGGACACTTTTGGTTAACTGTCATGAGCCCTGGATGTTGTATTTGAGAATCTTTTACCATGAACATAAATAGGAGATAATTGAAGTTAGTAAGGGTCCCGTGTGAACTAACTTTTTTTGGAGAGGAAATTTCTGAGGCTAAATTGCATCGAATGCTATGGCTTGGGCATATCCCATGAGGTAGCACAGAAGTCGACTTCTGCTGTATTGGGCTCCACTTCGTTGTAAACGTTACTATGCTGACTAATGAAAGACTTGGTAAGTGTTTGGGTTGTCATCAGACAGAATCTGGCATGTCCTCCCCTCCAGATTGTGGTGCCAGGAAATACCCACACGGTGCACTTGGAGCAGCTGATTCCGGACACACCCTATTCTGTGAACATCGTGGCGCTCTACTCGGATGCAGAAGGGGATCCCAGCCCTGGCCAGGGCCGCACATGTGAGGCGCAAATCCTTTCTCCACTGGGTTCTCTTGTGACTCAGGCTGGGTGGCCTGGGGGGGGGGTGTGAGTGGTGAGTGAGGGGTGCTGGGAGCTGCCTAAATGAAGCATGGATAACTCTGAATACAGCATTTTCTACTGTTTCTGGTTTCACATGAGAACCATAGATGTCTATTCCATCATAAGGGAGTAAGCAACTCAGAGAGTGGTGAGGTACCTGCCCTGGGGACGTTTCTTTCACACCCACCCCCCACCACGTTCACCATGATGACAGACTGGAAACTAACTGTTGCATTTATTTATTTAGTACCACGAAGTGGACCAAGAAACCTCAGAGTCTTTGGGGAGACCACCAACAGCCTCTCAGTAGCCTGGGATCACGCTGATGGGCCAGTTCAACAATACAGGATCATTTATTCTCCCACTGTTGGTGACCCGATTGATGAATATGTGAGTCTGATTCTCATTCACCTGAGCATTTTATTTTGTAGTCTCTTACCTGTTGAAGGGTGAACTTCAACTTTCCTCTTTAGGAAGTCCTGTGATCACAGTTGCATTCTTGTCTCTTGTGAGACGGTCATATTTTGTATGACTTTCTCTGATGTGATATTGGAGCAGCTGCCTGTGCCTAGCATGGCCTCCCCCACCACAGCCTATCAGTGTCTTTGGGCTCATTTCTTTTCTAAAGACAGGTTGAAAGATTTGTCTTCTCTAATATAAATGCGTATATTTTTATTCTATCATGAATTTTCCAAATATTCAGGTAATGTGACTCTTTAAATCTTAACCTTGCTTTAAATCTAATTTCTCCACAATATCTCCCTTCGATCGTTGCTGTTTAGTCGCTAAGTCATGTGTGACTCTTTACAACACCATGGACTGTAGCCCACCAGACTCCTCTGTCCTTGGGATTCTCCAGGCAAGAATACTGGAGCGGGTTGCCATTTCCTTCTCCAGGGGATCTTCCTGACCCAGGGACCGAATGAATTTCCTACACTGGCAGGCAGGTTCTTTCTCCCTGAGTCAGCAGGCTAATCAAGCAGTCTTTTCTCTGAATTGAACATTTTTGGGTACACTTTAGTTTTTGAGAGTACATACTCTCATTTTAAACTTTTTGAGTGTTGTATTTTGTCACTCTAGAACCCGATTCAAGTTTCTTCAAGCTTCTTCCTAGTTCGCAGTATGTATATCCATCTATGACAGAGGGATGAACTCACTACTTTCTTTAAAGTTTAATGGTTAACTGATGTGATAGGTTAGTAGAATATGACACAGAATGTTGATTGTAAGGCAGTGAAGTCTGTGCTTTGTAGCCATTTTGTAACATGTATCTTCTTTGACTCAATGGACATGAGTTTGAGCAAACTCCGGGAGATGGTGAAGGACAGGGAAGCCTGGCATGCATCAGTCCATGGGGTAGCAAGGAGTTGGACATGACTTAGTGACTGAAAAACAGCAATTGTCTTTGATAGTTCTTCCTTCATAATCCCCATGTTGTATCATTTGTTATCTATTTGAACTTGAAATATTAAACTCGAATTTAAGCCCCTGTTTTTATTAATCAGAAAGTCACATAACTGTCTTTGTTTCTGCTCAAGATGAGATAAACAGTATTACCACACTTAAGTTTGCTAAAGCAGAGAGGCTCATGCTTTAGTGTTTATTCAGCTTTGCCACGGACAAATATGCAATTTCCTGTCTTTTTCTGAAGACACTAAAAATGTAATTTCCCCCCACTTCACCATTTGGATTTAGGGGACACCATGCTGGAATTCACTGGTCTAAGTGATCCCTGTTGTTTGTAGAAGCAGAGCATAGGGTTGGAAGAGAGATTGAGAGCTCTGTCTTCATTTCCTCTTCATGGCGGCAGTTGAATGCATCTTCCATTTCCTCTTTTTCACCTAGCTAATATCAGCCAAACTGATCCTCTTGAGGACAGAACCTGAGTCTCCTTTTGCTCCCTGATGTGCTCCCATGGCGGGTGTCACGCCTGGCCCGTGGTGGGCCCCAGGTGCATGTGTGTGGAGGGAGCACCATAAAACTGCCACAGAGGGGTGGGTGAGAAAGGACAGGGGCACAGCGGTGCATGGTCACGTGTGTGCGAGATGCTGCCTTTCTTTCTCAAGGCTTCCTTCCTTCCGAGAGGCTGAGCCACAGGACAGGGACGTGGCTGATGTAGGATTTGAGCTGAGATGTACCTGACTCTAAAACCATTCCCCTTGCTGTTTGGCGGCAGGGAAGACAGTTTGCCCCACTGTGAACACTGTACAACAAGAAGGAACCAGGAAGAAAACATTGCTGTTTATGGGAATACATATTGATCTGAAAATCCTCTAGCTGGTAATAACCTCATAATTTAACTTCCCCTGCAGACCACTGTCCCAGGCAGAAGAAACAACGTAATTCTCCAGCCCCTGCAGCCAGATACCCCCTATAAAATTACCATTATTCCCGTTTATGAAGATGGAGATGGTTCCCATTTGACAGGAAATGGAAGAACTGGTAAATGTCTTCTACCTTTAATAATCTTTAAACTTGGTGGTCTTTGAGTAGCTGCATCTCAGATACTGCATTAATACTGCATCAACATTTGTACCATATATTGCATTTTGGCAAAATGATACGACAACAGAATGTGTTTTTAAGTTTTTAAAGGTCCACTAGAAGAAGGAAAATGAGACACAAGCCTGCAAATTTTTCTTTCCTTGAGACAGCTTTATCCTTTGGAAAGCCACCGGCTAGTCACTGAATAATGTTTTAGTCTGTGTGGTGTCAGTCATGGCTGTGGCTGTTAATCAATTAAGTGTCAGCAAAAAACACCATGTCACCATTGAATTTGTCATAAAAAGCAAGATGACTAGTAGTCATCTGCCTTTACAAAGTTAGGTTTTTAAAAAAAATTTTTTTTCTATTGTTCAGTTCAGTTCAGTTGCTCAGTCATGTCCGACTCTTTGCGACCCCATGGACTGCAGCATGCCAGGCCTCCCTGTCCGTCACCAGTTCCCGGAGTTTACTAACTCATGTCCATTGAGTCAGTGATGCCATCCAATCATCTCATCCTCTGTCACCCCCTTCTCCCGCCCTCAGTCTTTCCCAGCATCAAGGTCTTTTTCAATGAGTCAGTTCTTCGCATCTGGTGACCAAAGTATTGGAGTTTCAGCTTCAGCATCAGTTCTTCCAATGAATATTCAGAACTGATTTCCTTTAAGATAGATTGGTTGGATCTCCTTGCAGTCCAAGGGACTCTCAAGAGTCTTCTCCAACACCACAGTTCAAAAGCATCAATTCTTTGACGCTCAGCCTTCTTTATAGTCCTAAGTCATTTACAAAGAATTACCAGGATTCAGGTGTCTTTTCTAGCCCACATGGGTGGCAGTTTCTTATGATTTAGACTACAAGTTCTCTAGTTCAGTAGCTGGAATCACCTGAGGACCCTTAGAAAGGCTTATGCCTTGGCACCACCCACAGAGACACTGGCGTAGTCGGTCTAGATGTGGCCTGGACCTGCTGAAGTTGTAGTGCATAGCCAATGCTGAGAGTCTCTGGCTGAGCTTGGAGGCAGGCTGGCTGTCAGTATGCTGGGTTCTGTTAACTGGGTGACATTGCTAAGACTTTTTTTCCACTTCATTCAGCAAAAGTCCCCTAAAGTAACATGATAATTGCTACACTTAATTGCCCAGATTCTTTCTCTGCTTAAACGACCTTGACAACATTACAGGATTTGGGAGAGGAAACATTTGAAAGCTCCCGAGAGAAAAGCGGGACCAGTGTTTCAGCTTAGTCTCTGGAGGCCAGGAATTTGTATTTCTCGACACTTGTTGTCTATAGAACTGAGTCAACAGAGACTCTGTTTGGTGACTCAAGATAATTTTAATTGAACAATTTCCAATTTTCACTCCTGCCTGAGGTTTCAGAATATATTTAGATACTTTTCTAGAGGAAATGCCATATTTCAGAATGTTGTGCTTAATCACAGAACATGAAAAATCTCTCCTAGATCATGAGTTTTCTAGGAAGGACCAAAGCCACTTCTGGTTTCTGTTATTAAAACAGTTTTTTAAGTTGAAGTCCTTTTGTGTGTAATGCTATGAATAATAACTCAGTGGCTGACTATCATGCTATTTCACAGCATTGCTCTTACTGGGAGTGGAGTTAGCCTGAGCTCTGGAAGCCGAGGATTTTCTCTAGGTCTTGCTGGTAGAGGTTATAACGGTGCTGGGCAAGAACCTTGTTTTAGTCATTAGCTATCTGTGTAGTCTTGGACAAACCATAGTTTATTTTTGTGATAAGATGGTTGGGCTAGATAGTCTCAAAATTGGTTTTTTTGGTCTAACAATCTTTGATCTATAACATTCAAAAACTGGTATGAGATGTATTTTAGTCTCTATGATTCTGCATCATATAACATACTGGTTCTGGAAATCACCAGTTCCTGAGTTCATTTGATTTGCTGTTGGAATTTGGAAAATTTCCAAGCTTTCTGTTGAACATTTCAGCGCTTATTAATTTTTTTTTGGATCAGAACCTTATGGGATATATTAATATGCTTTCATGGGGCTACACTGCCAACATTCATAGTCAGTACTCACTGAGTTCTATGTTTAATGTTTGTTAGTCCTTGTTTGTCAATAAAAGGTCAGTAATGTGTGCCAATGTTTGTTTTCAGTGGGATTACTTCCTCCTCAGAACATACACATCTCTGATGAGTGGTATACCAGATTCAGGGTGTCCTGGGATCCTTCACCCTCTCCTGTTCTTGGATATAAAATTGTGTATAAGCCAGCAGGTAAGGAAACACCTTTGTCATCTTAAATATGCATTAGAGGGTTATTTGTGTGAGGGTGTTTTTAATTGCATCCTCCATTAGATTCTCTTGATAGTTCAGTTATCACATCAAGTTCTCTCCTACCAAAGGTAACATTTCTGGAAATAGTATTTAAGCCAGTGGTTTAAAGTATTATTGTTACTATGGGTTTAGATGTTACTCCCATTAATTTGCATGACTAAGATGTCTGATCTGGTTCATAAAATTCCACAAATTGAAATTGTGTTCAGACAACTTATATGTTATTATGCTTGTGAAATAATGGGTGCATAAACAATATAAACTGTACTTCTGTATTTTTCCCATTATGTCAAGGTATTATTCCATTTGGGGCATGTGCATTTTAGTTTATTCACAACAGGCTTGCTTTTCAACTTCCCACTGACACTTTCACCTAAATGGATATCCTCTCTATTAAGTTATTTGCCATCTTTGTTTCCATATTCTATCTATATGTTTAACAAAATGGAAGAAATATACTCTTTGTGCTAAATTTGCTGAGGTATCTTCCATGTGCCCAAGAAGGGTGTGAACTAGAAAAAGGAAAAGGAGAGAAGGCAAGTGTCAGGATATGTGAGCTGTGTAAGAAGCAAAGAGAGAACTTCAAAGTGGAGGAATGGGATGCAAGACAGATGTTCTTAAATCATCTCTACAACAGAAAAAATGTTAACTGAGTACTTAGTTAATGTTAACATAGTACCTAGAGTACTATGCTGGCAAAGTGAGGCTTTAGAGAAGAAACTTGAGAGTCTAGAGTAGTTGACTGTGTGATGATTTATTCATTAAAGGAACATTAATTGCACACATGCTGCATTCACTAGCACACATGCTAGGTGTTGTGCTACACTTTGAGAATAACAAGAAAAGGATTGTTTCTACCTACAGTTTTATATTCACCACATAATGTAGCATGTATTACAGGGAGCAAGTGCATAAGGGCTATGAAATCAATAGTGTTCATACTATCGTTTAAGTCACTTGATTTTAAGAAAAAGCTGAGACTAAGGATCACATATTTCCCTGTATTTTTGTGATTGTAATAAAAGGTTCCAATGAGCCCATGGAAGTCTTTGTTGGAGAAGTGACATCGTACACGTTACACAATCTCAACCCCAGCACCACCTATGACGTGAATGTCTATGCTCAGTATGATTCTGGACTCAGTGTTCCTCTGACCGACCAAGGCACGACATGTGAGTCATGTAGCTTTTTGTGGTTGTAAGAAAAGTGTCATATGAATGATCAGGTCAGTCTGTTTTAATTTTCTTTCTTAACATGCATGTTTCCTCAGCATTGAGTAGGTAATCCTTTTGTGTCCAGCTAAACAAATACTTAGGCCATATAATCAAAATTACAAAATGTGTATGTTGAGCTATGTTTATTTCATATAAAATGCATTTAAAATATTGAAAGATAAAAATTTTGGAAGTACTATTTTATCCATGAATAATATGTAAGATCATAGAATTGAGAACTATGTGGTTTTTCTTGACATTTGATGTTAAACACGGGCTCCACAGGAGGTTCAGTGGTCAAGAAGCCACCTGGCAATGCAGGAGATGTGAGAGACATGGTTCAGCCCCTGGGTTGGGAAGATCCCCTGGAGTAGGAAAAGGCAACCCACTCCAGTATCCTTGCCTGGAAAATTCCATGGACAAAGGAGCCTGGTGGACTATAGTCCATGTGGTCACAGAGTCACAACTGAGTGACTGAGTAAATACATGCACAGTTGAAAGTTTTCATGTAAATGTCATGATTACTAATTCAGCCCACAGATAGGTTTTGTTATCATCAAATGCTTTAATGACTATTTTAAGAATTTAGCAGATAGAATTTCAGAAAAAATTCTCATAATTTTTCATGAGATCTTGGACATTCATTGTGTTGAGAGGGGCTACAGACAGACCTCGTTTTATTGCACTTGGCTTTATGGCACTTTGCAGATGCTGCATTTTCTATAAATTGAAGTTCTGTGGCAACCTGGCATGGAGAAAGTCTACTGGTGCCATTTTTCCGTCAGCATTTGCTCACTTCATGTCTCTGTGTCATATTTGGTGGTTCTTGAAATATTTTAAACTTTTTCATTATTATTATGTTTGATATGGTGATCTGAGATCAGTGGTCTTTGGTGTTGCTATTGCAAAGAGATTACAATTAGCTGAAGGCTCAGATGATGGTTAATGTTTTTAGCAATCAAGTATTTTTAATGAAGGTATGAATATTACTTTTTTTATACAAAAAGCTATTTCACACTTAATATACTATGGTATAGTATATGTCTATAGTATATAACTTTATATGCTCTGGAAAGTCAAAATATTCATGTCACTCATTTACTGAACCAATATTTGCTTTATTCTGGTGGTCTGGAACCGAAACTGCAGTATCTCAGAGATATGCCTGAATGTAGAATTTCCTTCTCTTGAAAATCAGTGATAGAAAGGGAGATCCATTTAGACTGTACCATATTTTCCTGTTTTTTTCATGTATATTTCTTAATAAGGAAACACTGTGAGACTTTAGGCATTATGTTTTTCTGCCACATTGAAAGTTTTAAAATTGTGCTAGGATTAAAAGTATGCTTTTTGCCTTTGTTTAGGAAGTAAGTCTATTTCTTTCTGCCTTTCTTTTGTAGTATATTTGAATGTGACAGATCTGAAAACTTACCAAGTCGGGTGGGATACATTCTGTGTCAGATGGTTGGCTCATCGAGCAGCTACTTCCTACAGACTAAAACTAAGCCCCGCAGATGGTACGTGTACAAAACAAAACAAAACAAAAATACCTGGAGCACATAGTAGTCACATTTTAAACTTTAGTAAAGATGCTATTTTGGTTATAACATGATACATCAAAATGCCTTTAAATATAACTACTGACAATGCTGGCATTGTCCTACCCAGGAACCAGAGGGCAGGAAATCACAGTGCGTGGATCAGAAACCAGTCACTGCTTCACTGACCTGTCACCAGAAACTGATTACAGCGTCACCGTCTTCGTGCAAACACCAAATCTTGAGGGACCAGGTGTCTCGGTCAAAGAACGTACTAGTAAGTGCTTGAGTAATCTGGGGATTCTCCGTAAGGCTTCAGAATAGGATGCTCTGGGTGCAGGAGGCTGAAGTGACTCCTACGTGGACACTTCTTGTGAGCAGCAATAGTGACGTGATGGCAGATCCTTGAGGTGGGGTCTGTGGTCGGCTCAACACCCTTATCTGCAGCAAACCTGTGCTGCCCCTGCTAGGCTTGGTATAATCGTAAGGAAAGACCTCAAGGAGGGAGCTGGCTCTAGCAGACAGTGAGAAGGCGAATATGTGTTGCATTAGTGACCTTTGCCCATTCTCCCTCTGATTCTGGGCTTCAGTTCCTGCTGCAGTCAATACTGAGTGTCTGCCAATGGTACCAAATTTGGATGAAATAGAATTCCCAGTGTCAGTGCCAGGGAGACCTAATTTGTTGTTGAGGGCTTAAATGGCTCTTAAGATTTACTCTCTGTGATGTGAAATATGCACTTGTTGTGGTTTTCTCATTATTCTTTTAAATTCTAGCCTTAAAACCAACAGAAGCCCCTACAGAGCCACCCACACCCCCTCCTCCTCCTACAATTCCACCAGCCCGGGAAGGTAAGTGATGCTGTCAAGTCAATGCATTCAGCTGATGGGGACTGAGATACTTCTTACTTATGCAGCCTGTACGTCATTTACAGTTGCTATAGGACATTTCTGATTTATTATTCCTGCTGAAGCGTTTTTCGATCAAAGGCAGAGATTACCAGTCATTGGCTCTTCCCCTGCTCCAGACACATTTTAGTGTGACTAAAATCAATCATAAACCCCCGCAGCTCTTCAGTGGAACTCTGTTTCCTCAATTTTGCAGATGAAGGTCTAGTGATGCCTTATATAATCCATAGTCACATGGTGGGCATTTCTTTCTTCTGGCTGTTGTCATCAACAAGCACTGGGAACCTTTGGGGCTAAATCTGCAATGTAACTCCTGTGGCCTTTGACTTTGGAATTCCTGGCTTCTGACCTGAGAGGCCCTGGATTACACAAAGCTGAAAAATTTCCATTCACCAAAGTTGGAGACATAATTGTCACTTGCAGAGAACTGGTAAAAAGACATATATTGAGCTATTCCTACTGGTCCCTCTGTAATTTGGAGCAGTGCTCAGCGTTTCATCCAGTTAAGTTTCAGGTGACAGAGGATGAGATGGTTGGATGGGTCATGGACATGAGTTTGAGCAAGCTCTAGGAGGTAGTGAAGGACAGGAAAGCTGGCGTGCTGCAGTCTGTGGGGTTGCAGAGTCGGACACAACTGAGCCACTGAATAGCAAATTGACTACTGGTTTATTCTTTTCCTACATTCTGTTTCCAGCATTTAACTGAAAGCATTTCAGACTTTAAAGGTTTTTTTTTTTTTAAATCCTGGAAGACTTAGAAGGCTATGATATTATCTTAGCCTTTTTGATATGATTTTATCAAGTCTATTAAAAAAGTAAAATTAAAAGTGTATTATTATAGGATAAAATAGTAATGAGTTTCTTTAAGTTAAACTTTTGAAAGGAATTCAATAAGTAATTTTGGCTTAAAGACATGCTAAGGTCTGAATAGACGTTAAATTTTATTTTAGAGCAGTTAAATTTTAGAGCAGTTTTAGGTTCATAGCAAATTTGAGCTGAAAGTACATGTAGGTTCCAGACATGCCCTACCTCCTCCCATCCAAACCTCCCCCAACCCTCAACATCCCCCTGCTGCCAGAGTGGTATGTTTGTTACATCCTGTGAACCTATATTGGCACATCATTATCATCCAAAGTCCATATTTACATTAGGATTCATGCTTGGTGTTAAATATTCTGCACATTGAATTTTTGTCACTAAAACGTTAAATTCTTATTTTCAGAATTTTTTTAATCCTTCAAGTGTAAAGATTTAAAGATGTTTCTTTATTTTATTCCCCCCCACCTTTTCCTCCTTCCATATGATTCTAGTGGCTTAAGTTAAAATTTAAAAGACCTTATCTGCATCAAGTCTTTGATAATTATATATAGAATCTCCAAACCCACTGATGACTCAAGTTCTGTGAATAATTGTTTTTCATTTGATTTCCTCCACATTTATTGTTTGAAGCTCTTGAATTATTCTATATGGAGGGAGTTTGTGTTTGCAGAGTGAATGAGAGCAGTTGGAGTAATTCTAGAGCAGAGATTGAGAGCACTTCTCAAACTTTAGTGTTCACTCGAATCATCTGGCACATTGTCACTGCGAATTCTGATTCAGGAAGTCTGGGGTGGGACCCAGCACTCTACATTTCTATCAAGTTCCCACATGATGCCTTTACTGCTGGAACCACAGGGGAATAGCAGGGTGTTAGATTACATTTCTCAGTTTTGAAACTTCACTTGAATGAAAGAATTTATGAGATTTGGGGCTTCTCTTGTGTTTTCTCCCCCAGTGTGCAAAGGGGCCAAAGCAGATATTGTATTCTTGACCGATGCTTCCTGGAGTATTGGGGATGATAATTTTAACAAAGTTGTAAAATTCATCTTCAATACCGTGGGAGGCTTTGATGAAATCAGTCCTGCTGGAATTCAGGTGGGTGTCGTTTCAAAGGTTATTCATCTGTAATGTCTTGCTGTTTCCTCCAAACTTCTTAAGTTCAAAGACTTTTCAGTATAAACTCTGTTTTGATTTTGGTTTCTATTCTCTTTACACATATACTTTTGGAAAGGGCTTGGGTGTAAATGATAAAATGAATAGAAAAAATAAGCATTCCTCTAGGTATACTCTTGGCTAAATGATGTTCTTGTTGAAGAATTTAGGGAATTCTAACTGTTTTGCAGCCTAAAACTTCTGACAAGGATCCGTTTTCACAAAAGATCATTTTGTATTCTGAAAGTTAAATGCATTGTAACTGTCCTACCCTGTTAACTCAGAAGATCCAGGGATGATTAGTGACTGGTGGGGGTGTGGAACCCTGCTGTCCCCTCTGTCATGACACTCAGGGCCAGTGGCTCTGTTACTTATAATTCAGATTCTGCAACCTTGAAGACCCACTTCAATTCCACCCTTTCTGGAGAAGTTTCCTTGACAGTCTTAGGCATTCCAGACTCCTGAAGGGTTCTGTTTGTATTGCTCTTGTGGCCCATACCATTTTATATTGTTATTATTTGTGTGTTTCTCTGCTGTCTAAATCATTGACCCCTAAAGGCAAGAGACTATTGTTTTATTATTTTTTTGGAATTTTGTTCTTTCCTTCCACATTTCTCTTGGTGAATTTTCTTCTTTATTTTGGCTGTTTGTACCTCTTCATTGTGACATCTTAGAGATGTTATGAAAATAAGAGCTTTTGACATAAACCACAAATAATTCTGCAAACAAATCATGTCTTCTTTTATGGAATAATGTTTTATGGAATATATTAAATTTCAAATCCCCAAATAATCCTGTGGATGTTATTCCAACCCAAGATGAGTAAAATGTCAGGCTAGTTATGTTCTTAATTTAATGTATCAGCAACTAAGCCATTTAAAAAATCCTCTTAGAAATTAAGATTTCTGATAAAATATAAGAGTAAAAAAGCTACCATATTTTATTAGCTTCTATGTGCCAGCTACTTAGTATATATGATTCTTCTTCTTTAAAATGACTGTAGAAAGTAAGTATAATTATTTCCATTTTACTGATTAAAAAAACAAAGACCCAGAGATGCTGGGAACTTGCCCAATGTCACAAAGCTATTAATCGGCAGAGTTTTGATCCCATTGATCCTGTGCATAAAGCCTATAATCTTTCTACTAAATCACACCGCCACCGACTTTGTGATGAGTGATGATTATTATCACACATGTGCCATTTTAATGTTACCATGAAGAGTAGATTTAGTCAGTAGAAGTGAGAAACAATTGCTTAGCCAACATTTGAGCTCATGATGGTATGTTCGCGTTTCTCATCCTGGAACCTCACTGCTTTCTGGCTTCACGTATCCCTTCTTGCATCCTGGACAATAAACACACTGCATGTACTTTATCAGTTATCAATTACACTTTTATGAAGATCAGAAATTCGAGAATTTAGTGAAACAATGGTAGTCAGTGTTATAATATTAGCTATAAAGTGTTTATAATATTTCATCAGGTCTAATCCACTTCTCTTTCCCATTCTACAACTAGAGGAATCATTTGAAAACTGAAACATAAAAAGAGTTGACTTACCCTTACCACCAAACTGCCTTTCCTTTCAGGTCTCATTTGTGCAGTACAGTGATGAGGTCAAATCTGAGTTTAAGCTGAACACATACAACGACAAGGCCCTGGCCCTAGGGGCTCTCCAGAATATTCGGTACAGAGGAGGAAATACAAGAACAGGTACCGCTCATCAGCATGTATTTAGACTTTCACTCTCCAAAGCCTTTGGAGTGATGGGCTGAGTATAACTCTAACATTCAAATTCTTACCAGCTGGGTGTGACTAAGGGCATTTGGATAGTTTTCACTGATATGACACGAACATGTTCCATGCCACATTCTACAGGCAAGGCTCTGACCTTTATCAAGGAGAAGGTGTTGACCTGGGAGAGCGGCATGAGGAAGAATGTCCCCAAAGTGCTGGTTGTGGTCACGGATGGTCGGTCGCAGGATGAGGTCAAGAAGGCAGCTTTGGTCATCCAGCAGTCAGGTAAGCACAGGCATACATTTGACGCCCAGGGATGGCATACATTTGATGCTCAGGGATTGCCCTCATTTATTTTACAGTTTCAAACATTCAGAAATGCTTGCAAAAGACCAAAATTATGGATTTTACTTTATTGTTTCTCTTTGACTCTATCCTCCTCCACACCCTTCTAATGTTAGTTTACATTTAATCATGGAACAGTTGGATAATTGCTCAGCAACGACATGGTGTATTCTTTGTGTAAGACATGCATGCCTCAGGGTCTGTCCCCCATAGTGGTTGGAAGGCTACAGACAGCAGTGATGGGATGATCCTCAAGCAGGCTTCCTGCTGTAGCAGAAGTAAATCTTGATGCTGGTTCAACCCACTCTAAGGAGGGACATAGGTTTAGCATGACCTGGTAGACTCACGCCCCAAACAGGTTGCTGGAAGGTTCACTGCAAAGGAGCAGAGAGGCGTCTGGGGAGACGTCACTGGTATAGATCCTGGCGATCAAACATTTTGAAAGCCTGTAGCAAGGATGTTACATTGCCTTTCAAATTAGTCATGTCAGATGATTAGAGATGAAACTAGATCTTTATAGTACTTGAATTAACAACCTCACTCCTTCAGGCAGGGTCCAAGGTGGACATATTTTAGAGAGAATTCTATGCTATGCATGATTTACTGTGGTCTAAATTGTGAAGTACTTCATTACATGGAGTTTGTCATCTGCACATGTGTGGGTCTTTGGCTAAAATTCTGAGTCATTATTAGTATTAAGTCATACTGTCTTCTTACAATAAAGACCATTCTATGTACTGGTGTTTTTATAAATTATTTCCATTGTGGTTAGGCACTTTGAACAGATTTCTTCGTATGTTGGGCTCCTCGCTGATTTAACTTTGGGGTTATGAATGACTGCTCCTCAAGTTATCTTGTTTCTAGCTAATTATGTAACCAGTTCTTTATATAGCCTATTTTTCCTGCTGTCAAATTAAACTTTTGGAGTGAAAACTTTGTTTATTTGTATTAGCCTAAATAAATGAAAGTTTATTGCCAGTGGCAGTTGTAGATTTCATTTTGAAAGTGTTCAAAGTGCTGACTTTGAGCCTGAGTTTATTGAGTAAATTAGTTTCAGGAATTCAGTTTAAAATGGGCCTATTGTTGGTTTCTGAGTCACATCGGCTTAAAATGCTGATGTTGCCTAAGACATGTGTAGAATTAATGGGTATGTTAGGATGTGTGGAAGGAAATGAGTGCTACATTAAGTAATTTTGTCATTAAAATGTTCACCTTTTAATTGTGAAGATTTTATTTTAGGAAATCCAATTAATTGCATTTTTTATTAATGGGTATGTTAGGATGTGTGGAAGGAAATGAGTGCTACATTAAGTCATTTTGTTATTAAAATATTCACCTTTTAATTGTGAAGATTTTATTTTAGGGAATCCAATTAATTGCATTTTATATTAATGGGTATGTTAGGAGGTGTGGAAGGAAATGAGTGCTACATTAAGTCATTTTGTTATTAAAATGTTCACCTTTTAATTGCTAAGATTTTATTTTAGGAAATCCAATTAATTGAATTTTATAAGCCAGACAATAGGAAAAAGTGTATATTAATTAAGGAGACTTTATGTCAGTTGAAAGAACTTGATGCATAAGCTGAGAAAGTTTGGCATCATTTCTGATAAGATTTTATTTTGAGTTGTTTAGGCCCTAAAGGAGGCACAGAAGTCTGTGTAATTCTATAAACATTGCTCTGCAGGGTTCAGTGTCTTTGTAGTTGGTGTGGCTGATGTTGACTACAATGAACTTGCCAACATAGCCAGCAAACCAAGCGAGCGGCACGTGTTCATTGTGGATGACTTTGAATCTTTTGAGAAGATAGAGGACAACCTCATCACATTTGTGTGTGAAACTGCCACTTCAAGTAAGTCATGGTCCATATGGATCCATAGTGTCCCGTGTTTTGAAAAATAACTACTGAGTAGACCATTCCTTAACCAAGATCAAGTCTGTGCATAAATAGATCCTGAGAAACCACTTGAGAACCTGATGAATCACTGATCCTATTGAGGTCATGTTAACTGTGTGCTTGTCAGAGGTCCATTTTTAGTCTTGAAGATGCAATATTCCTTGTATGGAAATAAAATGTTGGTATATATCCTTTTCCCACCATCTCAATGCCTGTGACATTTGAGAAAATGAATCTTCAACTTAGAAACGCATTTATAGAAGCATTTCTGTGAGATGAAGGTTTTCCCTGTTAGTAATCAATTGGTATTTGTTCTGTCAACATCTGTGCTTCACGAGAGCCATGAAAAAACAGCCTTATGCGAGTGTGCCCTGTAGAAATCCACTTGGTTCTCATTTGTTTCTTTGGGTATATTCATGGTATACTGTAGACCTCCAGTTTAACTTTTAAGATACAGTGAAGAACAAAAGATTTAAAGCCAATTGTCCTCCTCCCCATTCATGAACTCTGATTTTTGGAGTTTTAGATTAAGGAGATAGTTGAGTGGCTCATCTAAACCCCTAATCCCAGGCAGGGCTGTGCTTTTTAAGTGTTGTGTTTTCCCCTATTAAACATTATATTAGACTCTCAGAACTCTGGTTCGAGGCAGCGGAAGTAAACAAATGTCAGTGGCTTACTGTAAAAATTAACGCTGAAGCTCAGAATGGAGCTGCCGTCATGAAAGTGAGCGGGAGCAACAGCTGCTCCGTCCATTCCAGGGGGTCCTGCATGCAACCCTCCCTGTCCCAGCTCCGGGCCCCAGGTTGAGACCCCCTGCACACCTACCCCTGGATGGTTCAGTGACGAGCACGAGCCTCCAGCGTTTGGTTGAGAAGAGGATTGACTGGCAACAAATTCCTCCTGCCCTTGCACAAATTTAAAGTTCCCTGGGCAAGACGTTCTTTAATCCATCGAACAAATATATAAATTTCCCCCTTTAATTCTATCTTACCAATCTTAAGAATGTTGTAAAATTCCAGGTGGACTGGAGACGGTCCAGAAAACATGATTCCACTGCTCAATAGTGTGATTTCCCCTACAAGTTGAAAATCTACACAAAACCACTTAGAAGAGGTTTGATTGTTGTGTTTTATAAATGAATGAACAGTTTTGTTACTTGCAGTATATATGCAGTGCTTTCTGTGCGTGTATAATGTTGTTATTCCTTGGTGAGCTGTACTTAAACAACACTGTATGTTGCAGGTTGTCCTCTCATTTATTTGGACGGCTACACCTCGCCAGGTAAACATTCATACTCTTGGGCTAATTTATTTTAGGATTTAAGCAATAAGATAATTCAGATAACCTCATTGCAATATTTTCTGTTCTGATGTGAAGGTTTTAAGATGCTTGAGGCATACAATCTGACAGAAAAGAATTTTGCTTCTGTGCAAGGGGTCTCCCTGGAATCCGGCTCTTTCCCCAGCCACTCGTCTTACAGGCTCCAGAAGAACGCCTTTGTGAGCCAGCCTACAGTGTGAGTCTGACAGCCGGAGGGTCTCTTTCTTACCACTGGCCAGGGGCTTTTCGGAGGTTCTTAGAGTCTTTGCTAACGTAGCACTCTGGTATTTTAGAATTGTCGGAAAAGTTGCATGGATGACCTGATTTAGTTTCCTTGAGTCCAGTTGGGTTGTGTGTGTGTGTGTGTGTGTGTGTGGGTGTGTGTGTTGTGTGTGTTCAGTTGCTCAGTCATGTCCGACTCTTTGGGACCCCATGGTCTGTAGCCTGCCAGGCTCCTCTGTCCTTGGGATTCTCCTGGCATGACTACTGGCCATTTCTTCCTCCAGAGGATTTTCCCAACCCAGGGACTGAACCCGTGTCTCCTGCATCTCCTGCCTTGCAGACAGATTCTTTACCGCTGAGCTATCAGGGAAGCCCCACAGCTGAGTTAAGGGTCTTTTATCGGGTCACGTGGGAGACTAGTACTCAAGTCTGCTACTCTGAGAATCTCATCCTGTGTCTGCCACGTGATGGATTACTAAATCCTTTTGAATTTAAGGCTAGGATGGTAGTTATGCATCTTCTAAGGGAGATTATTTAAGCAGGGAGGCATCTTCTTCTCTTGAACGCTTCTCCGTGGGTGCAGAGGGGCTGGATGGAATCAGTGCAGAATGGGAACAGGCATTCTTCCTAGAGTTTCTGACTCCAGAAGATGAAAGACTGCAGCAGTCTGTCTGTGATCTGTGATCTGACAGGCGGCAGTTAGTTTTTATTGGCTGGTGCTCCGGGGACCTGTTGGGCAGCTCTAGATGTTATTTAACTTGATGAAAGTTTGTACCTGGTCCTGATAACCAAAATATGTGTTTGGCACCTTCTGGAGGGGAAAGAATACTAAGAAATAAAGTTTTCAGAAACTTAGGACAAGGTCAGATGATGATGCCTGAAATTTGAAATGCTCTTGGAAAGCTGACGGAAAATTCAGACTAAAACCAAGGCTAATTTCTTGTAAGGAAGCACAGATTGTATTGTTGTAGCGTGACCACACTGTGAGTTCCTAACTCTTTTATGGTTAACCACACTAGTTAGCAGTTTTAGGTTTTGCAGTGAACCTAAGTACCCAGTGTTTAACTGTCACCTCAAGCTATGATTCCTACATTTTCACATAAGACAGCCCACTGTCCTCTTAAGATTCAGAACTTGTGGCTGAAAGAGGCATAAAATGCAATTAAATACTTTTTTTCATGACCATTCACTAACTATAAATGGAGAAAAATGGGCTAAGTGACTGATGAATTTATATGGAGAAGATATTATTTTTAATGTGGAATATTATGAAGATTCCATGGACAGAGGAGCCTGGCAGGCTATAGTCCATGGCTTGGCAAAGAGTTAGATACGACTAAGCAACTCTCACTTCACTTCATTATGACGATAGTTGGTTTTTCAACATACAAAAGACATTGTGTCAGCTTGCCCAGAACATATGCTTTAAGAAGGAGGGCATTACAGAGTATTGAGCAGAGTTCCCTCCCTGTACAGATGGGAAAAGAATCTAAAAAAGAGAGGCTCTATGTATTTGTATAACTGATTCACTTTGCTGTACACCAGAAGCAAATACAGCATTGCAAATAAGTATATACCAAATAAAAACTGAAAAAAAATGTAGGACAGCATTATATTCCAGAAGCGCCAGCACCATGGTACACTGAGGCTCAAAGCCCCAAGAGCCGTTCTGTGCCCTTTGTCAAAATCTGTGGAGCAGTTGCTTCTCTTCTGTCCATGAGCCAATTATCAAGGCCCTTTTCCTATCTTTCCGAAGAAAGTATTTTTAAATGGTCTCAGGCAAAAATCCATTAATTCTGTTTCAGAGATTCCCTTAGAACAATGATTGACTCAAGTCTAGAAGGACACATGGGTCCACATTTTATGTTCGTTCAATAGCCTTAGAGCCAAGAAACTTGAATCACATCCGTTTATCAGCACTAAACATTTGCACATGTATGTGGCCATAACATATATTATTGGTTTTGTTTCTGGGAATGTGTGACCTTCTGAAGCTTATTTGATTTATTTGATGTTACGGGAGGACTTTGGAAGTGTATAGGGAGGGAGAAATTGAAACCTTGAGCCATCTTACTTATGATCTCATATCCCTGATGTTGGAAATTGAATATATTTAGTGAGATTTATGCTCTTTAAATTACATCCATAGATAGAATGTTTATCACTCTAAAGTCATTATATAGTTTTATAATCATCTATGTATTGAGAAAAAATGATTTACTAACTGTAGGATGAAAGACCATTTGGCAGTTTCCCAACTTTTTGACTTTATCAGATTATGAATAAACTATTACTGTTTACATAATGGATCTTTAGTGTTTGCTATTTTGAAGTCATTCTTAAATTTTCCCCCTTCTAGTAATGTATTATTAGAAGGATTATTATAATTGGATTATTATCAATGGCTTGTAATACTAGTCATGAAAAGATTCTAGTCCCCAAACTTTAAGTATCATCTATTTCTGATGAGAAATCCTTACTAATTAGCTAATTAATTCATTTTGCTTTATCCAACAGAGAACTACATCCCAATGGACTCCCTCCTTCATATACAATTATATTACTATTCAGACTCCTCCCAGAAACTCCCAGCGACCCTTTTGCAATTTGGCAAATCACAGACAGAGACTATAAACCACAAGTTGGGGTGATTGCAGATCGTAAGGATTTTTATCTTCTTTTAGGGCCCACGCATGCATATTTTTGATTATGTTTTTCCTTTTCTTTAAGAACTTTCTGGATGTGTGTATATATATATATTTCCTTGATTATGCTTTTATATTTAAAGGTTTTAAAAAATATGTCAGTAAATATTTGAATTACATTTTATCTTAACTGAATTATTAATTTTTTAGAGATAGCTTCAACAAGAATTAATTGTTAATACTTTCAATATAGAATCTCCATGCATTTGATTTAATAACAATTATGTGTTGATTACAGCTTCTAGCAAGACATTATCATTCTTTAACAAGGATACAAGAGGTGAGGTGCAGACTGTTACATTTGACACAGATGAAGTGAAGGCATTATTTTATGGAAGTTTCCATAAGGTAAAAACACAAGATTATCTGGTTATTTATAAAAGAAGTATATGGACTTAAAACTTAAACTAATTTATTATTTATTAAAATGTATGTTAGACTGGTGGAAACATAGCTATGTCTTTTGAAAACATCTTATTTCAGAAGATTTGATTAATTTTCAAAGAAGAAAATTTAAAACAATATTTCTACTATGAGATTAACTACTATTAACATTTCAGTATATATTCAATGCTAATGTCTTTTTAGAATATGCATTGTGTAGTATATACAATCTTGTATGCCCATTTTTCTACCTACCATTTTATTTTGAACCTTTATGTAATTTTGTTTCAAAAGCTTAATTTTTGTGGATTGTATTTAGTTGATAATAATATTTATTCTTTTATAGAGCATAGTAAGCTGCTTCAGTTGCTCATTTATTGAAAAGTTACAAACATGTCAGTCCAAAATTTTCACTATCTACCAAAATAATTAAGATAATGTTTATGAGATTAACTTCTGCATGAACACATTTACAACTTCTCTGAAACATTTTATTAAAACTTCTAAGATAAATTCTTAGGGAATTATCTATTCTTGATGATCTTAATTTTTTTATTTTAAGATCCAAGGGTAATATAGACTTGCTCTCAGACAATTAATTGACAGATAAGAGTACTGGCATTGGCAGCATCAGAAATGAACAGTCTTGGTTATGAGTGGACTTTTTAATGGAATTTTTTCATCAGTTGGATCAAACGAACAGGAGGAAGACTACTTGCCGTGCAGTCTTTAAAATTTCCCCAGTATGATGCTCAGAAATTTAGTCCCCATATGTAGAAAATAAATATTTCCAATTCAGTCTGATTTTTCAAGTGAAAATTGAAGAACTTCCCCATAATTAGATAGATTTAGATGAATTTCTTGCTGATTCTTTTCCTAAGAATCTTGGTTTCTTCCCAGAATGTTTTCTTATTCATGAATCAGATTCTTGGTGAAGACAGCAAGGGCCCCTCCTCACGGGACTTGGAGAGGCCTCAAAGTGCACATTATTGTTGTTGTTTAGTCACTCAGTCGTGTCCGACTCTATGGGATCCCATGGACTGTAGCCCGCCAGGCTCTTCTGTCTGTGGAATCTTCCAGGCAAGAATCCTGGAGTGGGTTGCCATTTCCTTCTCCAGGGAAGCTTCCTGATCCATGGACTGAATCCCTGTCTCCTGCATTGGCAGGTGGATTCTTTACCACTGAGCAACCAGGGAAGCCCAATGAGCTCATTAGTGATAAGCCATAAAAAAAAAAAATTATGGAAAAACAGAGATCTCTGAGTATAAAGGCATATTTGCTCAACAGGTTACAGACTTTACTGGTAAAAGTACAGGAAAATAAATGCCTTATTGGGAAAGAAGATTCTGGTTTGACAGATTTTTACTAGCTTCAGTTGCTTCTTGTCCAATAATAGATGCTGAATCTGGCAAAGTTCTTATGAACTTTTTTTGGCTCATTGATACACCTATTAAACTTACATTTGAGTAACTTGCTAAAGAGGACTATTTTATTTTTCTTCCATACCCACTGAAGATATTAGAAACTCAGCCTGCTATGAACCACCTGATAATTTAGGAACTATTGTTATTATCTTTTTAAACTTTTTATTTTGTACTGGGGTATAGCTGATTAACAATGTTGTGATAATTTCAGGTGAATAGCAAACTGACTCAGCCATACGTATACATGTATCCATTCTCCCCCAAACTATTCCCCCCATCTAGGCTAGGAACTATTATTTTTTAATTTCTGACTTTCATTGAACGTTTCATTTTACTTGACTGAAATAAGGTAGTAATTTTGAAGAGATCTATAGGGATAGTTTTTTGACCCTCCCTTCTTAATTTGACTTTATAGAGAGGTATTTATACTCTTAGGTTTTATCTAATGACTCTTCTCCCTTTTCCCATAAACTCTTTTCTTTTCAAATTCTCTACCTTCTTTTTTCATAATGTCTATTTTTTTAGTTCCTCCTCTACTTTTTCATTATGCTTTCTTCCCCCTCCTTCCTTCCTCCACCCCATTCTTATAACCTACGCTCATTTATCGCATCAATTCAAGCACCAAATTCAGTTTCTATTGGCTACTTACATTCTTCTCATCCAAGGACTTGGAACACCCTTCTTTCATTTCCCATGTCATTTGGGAACTGAAGTTCTTCAGTCTTTGAGATAAGAACAAGTAGTTCTCTGAGTGAAGCAGCAAATTAGTGAAAATAACATGCAGGAGGCTCTTGGGAGAGAGGGGATAGATAAAAGAGCTTATGTGGGGAAGGGCAGACAACTGCAGCTTCTGAAGGATTCTCTTGAACAAAGTTTTGTGTCTCTATCTTATTGTATCAGATGACATAGATTCAAGTGAGAAATTTGTAATAAGACAAAAAGGTAGAATAGATGAAAAATAAGGAATGGCAGACCTTGGGAAGGGTGATGAGTTGACAAGAGTGTTCATGTTTCTTTCTTCTGGTCTGTGACCAACATGCTTCCCAGTTGGGAAATAGTCACTAACTACTTGGGACAATGGTGCCCAGATGAAGAGCCAATCTGAAATGTAATTATGCATGTGTTTAAAGTGCAATAAAGCACTGAAGAGATTGTAGCAAAATATATTTTTAGCATGTGTTTCTTTTTGGTTCACATTGAGTGACAAGTGTATTTGGAATAATTTTGTTTCAAAACTTCAAAGCTTTGATTTTGAAATAATTTTTCCAGATACTATGATTTTTCAAATAGCTTTTGAATGTTAGCCTCTGAGATTGTTCATATAAGATCCAATAAATAAGTTTCAGTTCTTACTAGATATTACTAGATAATAAATACCTTGGGAATTTCTGTATGGTATTCATCTTCAATTCAGTATTAGATGATTGTCCTGGGGTATTTAAAATTATTTTTAGTAAGTCATATATCATTTTTAAATAAAAGCAATATGTAATTCATACTACTTATAGAGACACTAAATTAATGTTTTGGTGGTGATTCTATGTGGAAAAAATATCTACTGTTAAAAAAAAATCTCTGGAGACTGTCCTTAGGCTTATTTACTCTAAAACATTTAACAGAATTTCTGTTCCTTAATTTGGAACCAAACTTTTTAAAGCAATCAACATGGGCTTACTTAGGTATTTGGGCTGTGATAAGTGGAAGCCATGGGCATACCTATGAAGCCAAAGATTGCCTGCAGGCATTCTTTACATTATTGAAATATAGATGTTTTATTATTTATCTGTACTAATAGATTTCTTAAGATTCTGAATATCTTCAATATCCAATAACAATAAATCAACATAAGTTTGTTTTCTTATGAGGAAATTGAGTCTTGAATTTGATTTCCAGAGCTGACTCTTTATAAAAGATACAACCTAGTTCTTTCCTGTGTTAAGTATCTACATGGTGTGGAAGGTCTTTTTGGCAAGGACTATTGTTGTTCAGTTGCCCAGTCATGTCAGATTCTTTGCAACTCCATGGATTGCAGCGTGCCAGGCCTCCCTGTCCCTTAATCATCTCCTGAAGCTTGCCAAGTTTATGTCCATTGCGTTGGTGATGCCTTCCAGCCATCTCATCTGATGCCCTCTTCTCCCTCTGCCCTCCATCTTTCTCAGCATCAGGGACTTTTCCAATGAGTTGGCAAGGATTCTGGACTAAGAAACTAAAAACTGAATTTAGCAAAATCAGTGGAAGACATTCAAGGCTCCTTTGTTCTGAGTATAACAATTTATTAATGATTTATTAACTTGCATTTTAATTCACTTTCTAGTTTATTTTTTAATAGTTATTATAAAATATTGACTATGTTCCCCACATTGTATAGTGTATCTTGATAGCTTATTTTATACAAACTGCTGTGTACCTCTTAATCCCCTACCCCGATTTTGCCCCCATCCCCCGCCACAGGTAACCACAAGTTTGTTTTCTGTATCTGTCAGTTTGCTTTTTTTTTTTGTAAAAGCTCTCTATAGTTTAAAGAGTCATCTCATCTACTACATTATCTCTAGCCATCTCAGGAAGAGTACATAGTGGGGAAAATAAGAAATTATAGTGATGTATAATAGCGTAGGAAACTGAGACTCAGAGATGTTAAGTGGTTCATTTAATTTGATGTTGTTAAATTAAATGACATTGACACTGCAACCTGGTTCTTGAATTTTTAGTCCAAGGCTTTTTATTTGGGATGAGAATAGCTTTCAGTTCAGTTGCTCAGTTGTGTCCGACTCTTTGCAACCCCATGGACTGCAGCATGCTAGGCCTCCCTGTCCATCACCAGCTCCCAGAGTTTACTCAAACTTATGTACATCAGTGATGCCATCCAACCATCTCATCCTCTGTTGTCCCCTTCTCCTCCCTCCTTCGATCTTTCCCAGCATCAGGGTCTTTTCAAATGAGTCAGTTTTTCGCATCAGGTGGCCAAAATATTGGAGTTTTAGCTTCAGCATCAGTCCTTCCACTGAATATTCAGGACTGATTTCCTTTAGGATGGACTGGTTGGATCTCCTTGCAGTCCAAGGGACTCGCAAGAGTATTCTCCAACACCACAGTTCAAAAGCATCAATTCTTCGGTGCTCAGCTTTCTTTATTGTCTAGCTCTCACATCCATACATGGCTACTCATTGGAACTCATTCCATGCCAACTTATTGGAAAAACCATAGCCTTGACTAGACGGACCTTTGTTGGCAAAGTAATGTCTCTGCTTTTTAATAAGCTGTCTAGGTTAGTCATAGCTATTCTTCCAAGGAACAAACGTCTTTTAATTTCATGAATAGCTTTAAGTACACATTTTTTTAATGTGTGATCTGATATATGTAGAAGTCAGTCATATTGCTCTGGGTAGAAATTTTGTAATGGAAACAAATGATCTTTTTAGGTTCATATCGTAGTGACCTCGAAAAGTGTTAAGATTTACATCGACTGCTATGAGATTGTAGAGAAGGATATCAAGGAAGCTGGAAATATTACCACTGATGGTTATGAAATTCTTGGAAAACTGCTTAAAGGGGAGAGGAAGTCAGCCACAGTAAGTAACACGTTTTATTTTTCTTGGTACCTTGTACGAAGATAGAAATGACATTTTTCAAAGTAATTGGTACTTTTTCTTTTCCCTCGATGATGTTTTTAATTGTTTTATATCTTGGTTAGATTGAAACACTGGAAGTTACACTGAGGTAGTACGCTACTGACAAAACATGATAATATGCTTTACTGCTAGAAGCAAATTAAGATGTCAGGGCACCAGAGAACATCATGTAGTCGACTTGAAACCGAATCAAACTGGAGAGTACAGCACAAACGGTTGCCAGGAGAATCAGTGAAATGTAAACGAATTCATTTTTTTGCTTTTCAAAAGTAGGAACTGTTGACACAGCTTTGTGCATTTAGGGCGTTTTGCATTTGTGGACTCTGTGACCGTCACAGAGCTACGCTCCCTCACAGAGGGGTCAGGCCTGCCTTGAAGGAAGACGAGTGTAGGGTGGCAGCCGCCTCACAACTGTCATTGAGGCGGGGGCTTGCCAACCCTTTTACAATGTTATTTAGTAATAGACTGTTAAAACCTGAGGTTTTCATTGTCCCAGGCTAAGTTCATAATACATGTTGATTAATAATAACCTTGTTCTGAAAGCAGGACTATTTTTGGCTTCTATTATTTTTTAAGATAATTTTGCTTGTTTATTTCTGGCTGTGCTTGGTCTTCGTTGCTGTTCAGGCTTTTCCCTTGTTGTGACAAATGGGGACTACTCTCTGGCTGTGGCATTTGGCTTCTCATCGCTGTGGCTCCTCTTGTGGTAGAGCATGGGCTCTAGGGCATGAGCTGCTCTAGTTGCATCCCGTGGGCTCAGTAGTTGTGACCCCCAGGCTCTCGAGCACAGGCTCAATAGTTGTGGTGCCTGGGGTTAGTTGCTCCATGAAATGTGGGATCTTCCCAGATCAGGGATTGAACCTTTGTCTCCTGCATTGGCAGATGGATTCTCTACTGCTGAGCCACCAGGGAAACCCTTCTATTATTTTTTCAATTGCTGTTACTGAGCTTAGCTTTCTTCCATGGACAGAATTTTCTTCCCTATTCAGAAATGAAATTTTTAACCCTCAATGGAGAACTTGAGCTGGCAAACACTCCTAGCTTTCACCATGTGAAGTTGAAGTGAAGTTGCTCAGTCGTGTTTGACCCTTTGTGACGTCATGGACTGTAGCCTACCAGGCTCCTCCGTCCATTGAATTTTCCAGGCAAGAGTACTGGAGTGGGTTGCCATTTTCTTCTCCAGGGGAGATTCCCAACCCAAGGATCAAACTCAGATCTCCCACATTGCAGGCAGATTCTACCCTCAGAGCCATGAGGGGAGAACTAGTTAGTGCAAATTTCTTTTTTTTTTTTGCAAATTTCATATAATTGCAATTAAAATCTTTTATTGAATATTGGGTTTAGTATTTAAATAGAACAATTACATTGTTTGTAAAAGAATGAGTATATCTAAGCGACCTTTTCTTTTTTATCCAAAGAACTATGTTTTTTAAGTGTAGAAAGATAGAAAATATATATATATTGAAATAGTTAAGCTGAAGGTAAACATAAAATTATTAGTTAGCCCCTAGGTAAGAATTTGTAAGAAGAAGAGCATCAATTTAAGTGAGGAATTTTTTAAAATGTTACTTTTTTTTTTTAACAGAGGTAGACTCTTAGAAGTTGATTTGAATGTGTGTAGTCTTCAAATTAAAATTCTGAATTAAATGCACCCATAATTTTTAAGGATATAAAGAAATCAATGTTCTCTTAAAAAAAAAAACTCAACGAGACATTTCATTTTAGGTAAGGAAATGAATCAGAAGTGGAACTACCACATATGCATTTTGCTTTACCGTCCCTTTCTCTGAGGCATAGGTTTTTTTGCTCTTAGGAGGTAAGGATCACATTGCGCTCATTGCCTGGACCCTCAAGAGAGTCTGTGTGAGAAGTTAGCAGAAGTTAAAATGTGGAAATGGTAATATGAAATGTTTTTCACGCATCTGTAGCTCATGTTGCTGTTGGTTGTTTACAGTTCCAAATCCAGAATTTTGATATTGTCTGCAGTCCGGTGTGGACCAGTAGAGACAGATGCTGTGATATTCCCTCCAGAGTAAGTGAAACAGAATGGAATTTTGTCATGGTTTGATTAGTCTTCGAGGAATAAGAGATGTGGATGAGGATGACCTGGGAGAGGAAGTAGCCCTCAGCAGCTGCATGTTCAGGACGGAGCCAGGGACACGCATGGTGTGTGTGCTCATCAACGGCCGCAGCTCAGGCTGGGGAGCCCTCCCTCGAAAGTCAAGAATGTTGAGGACCGCATCTGGAAATTCTCCCTAACAGCCAAAATGGTTAGGCATAGTCAGAAAAGTCCTGCTTTAATCAGCATGTCTGATAAACCCATTTACTGCAGAGTCCTCCTAGTGCTTGTAAAATACCAGCATTTTGCAATAAATGCTTATTAAATCCTTTACAGGATCAGCCATCATACCTCTCTGGATGTCTAAGTAGAAATGCTCAGTGATGATGGCCTTCCCCCATATCATCTGTGTAGGTGGTAATGGTTACGAAGTTGAATGCTGATGATGGATTTGAAGTTCTCGGCAAATAGTGAGCTGCACGCACCCACACAATAAGTGTGCATTATTTACTCAGCAAATACTTACTGAACACCTCTTATAAGCCAGGCACAATCCTGTGAGCTGGGGTTATAGCAGTGAAAGGGAACATTCTAGTGAAAGGCAGAGAGAGAGGAGGAGTTAATAAGTAGGTGTATACTGTGTTATCCAGTGAAAAGAAATAGAGAGAAAACCAACCAGGGTACAAGGACAGGTAGCCAGGTGAGTACCCTCAGCCCTCAGGGATAAGGTGAGTTTTAAGCAGAGACCTGAGTGAAGTGAGGGGACAAGCAATGTGGATAATGGAGAAAGAGCATTCCAACCAGAGGTGACTGTAAGCGCAAAGGCCCTAAGGCCACAAGGTGCCCTGAACATCTGAGAAGCAAGAAGTGGATGAGGGGGGCTGGGGCAGAGTGAAGGAGAGGGGAGGTGGTGGGCAGTGGGCGCGGGGCAAGGTGGTGGGGTGCTGTTTTGCAGACCATGTGAGGCCTGTAGGCTCTGGAAGGGACTTTAAATTTTATTCTGAATGAAATGGGCATCTATATCTGGAACACTCAGCATTTCTCTGATACCAGACTAGAGAGAATTGGATTAAATTACCAGGGGTCCTGATGATGGTTTTGTAAACATATCTTATGTGAGATTTCCTAAAACAAAACTTTTAAAGACATAAAGGGACATAGCAAGATTGGGTGTAAGACTTTGTAATCATAATTAAAAATTATCCTTTAAGTTGGGAAATAGATTTCCCTGTGTGTATAAGATAAGTGGGTGTGGAGGATAAGAGACTGTGTTTACTTTCAATTCAGAGATAAATATTCTTTTCCAAATTTCAGAGAGATGAAGCAAAATGCCCAGCTCTTCCGAATGCTTGCACATGTACACAGGACAGTGTTGGACCTCCGGGACCCCCCGGCCCTGCAGTAAGGAAACTGAAATAGTCCTTCTAGTATTTCCAGTTAAACCTTTGGCATAATCATTCTTTGGTCAGTGTGTTGTGGATAAAATGCTTCCAGCCACTGGTGTGTTCTAGGACAGAACAAGATGAATTGCAGACCATTTTCACAGCCACTTGAGATCTGAACTGGAATAAATCCAGAAGAAAATCTTAAAGCACTTGAATACATTTCTCTACTCACATGAGAATGAATGATATGGGCTAGCATTCAAGAGCTTTTCAAGATATGGATTTGGGTTTCTCTCTGTAATTACATGATTTTGAAAATTCCTTACATCTCCTGAAAGCTTCTTGTACCTATGTTATGGAGCCATGATTGAGAGGCTGACCCAAAAAATCTTTAGAGCCTAGGAGATGTGTATGTTATTAACAAGCACATCATAGAATAACATATAGAGGATAATTTATGTATGTGATGATATCGTAAACTCTGGGTGAAAGTGTTGGGGTTAGGAATAACCTGAGTGAGAAGACTGACCAGGTCTTTCTATGGGGGTAGGAGGGGAGACCAATAAAATGCAATGCAAAACATTGAAGAGTACAGTGTTAGATCCTGTTGATCAATTACATGTGACCTGGGCTGGCTTTTCAGAATGGAAGTGGTACCACTAAGCTTTATTGACCTCTTTTAAGAACATGGGTTAATTAACATAGAAACAGCTTAAAGAGCCTTAGAACACCAGATTTTACTATACATGGTTGTTAACAAGTAATGTAAATTGATTTTAGGTTAATTACAAACCAGCTCCTCATATATGGAATCAAAATATATCTGGAATTAACATCATTTATTTTCTTTAATTAATAGTGACTTACCTGACTTATATTTATAATCATAAACTTATACCCTGGATGTGACTTCGATGTTTTTGAGAAGTAGGAATTTTTTTCCTAATTGTAAGATATCATGTCAGTATCATGTTTATTTCCTCTTTGTTCAGTGAACAGGTCTCTGAATTCCTATTACTAAATTACATGTTCTGAGATTCTGAGAGAGTCTTCTTATTACATATAATTTTCCCTAAAGAATATACTCATAATTCTGAAATATATTTTTTTCCTTAGAAATGCTTAAATATTGTATTTAATGCTTTTTTTTTAGTAAACCTCAAATTTTCAAATCAACTTCAAAATTTGCTAACAATTAAGGAAAGATCAGAATATAAAAATGAGATCCTTAAGAATGTTTTTAAATTCTCCTTTCCCACACGTTTGTATGATAGAAAGTATTTACTTCCATATTTCATAAATATCTGTAGTAGTATTGGTTGACTGGAGTATGCGCTGCTTCTTAAAGCAATTTTTATGTATCAGCTTCTTCCTAGTTTCCTATGTTCACCCTAAAATGTGCTCTGTGTATTTTAGGGAGGACCTGGTGCTAAAGGTCCGAGAGGTGAAAGAGGTGTCAGCGGGGCAGTTGTAAGTATATTTTAGAGTGCATTTACATTTTCACCTATATGTTGAAGTCTCGTTATTCAAATTTCTGCTCACAGGGTAATGTGACCTTGAACAAGTTGATTCAACTTTAGTGAGCCTTAGGCAATATAATGATCTCTGTCTTGCCTCTGGATGTCAAAATGGTAGATTAGATTAGTCAGATAAAGGAATGTACAGGGGATGTCACTGAAGTGGGAATTGCCCATGGGAGACCTAGAGAAGCACCTAAGGGCTCTGCTCTCATATGGGCATCCTCTCATATGCTGTCATATGGGCTGATTTCTGGGACTAACATATGTCTACATCAAAAAAGGAAAGAGCAGGTACGTTCACTCAATGTTGGAACTTCTTTGCAGGGTGTCCAGGTAGAAAAGGACAGACCTGGAGTTAGACAGACCTGGGTCAGCACCCCAGCCTCACTTTCCTGAGTTAGCTTAATGACAGTATGGCAAAAACTACACATCACCTTCATGATACATCCTCCCAAGATGCTGGAGTTGTCTTACAGAGACAGTTTTGAACCAGTAGAAGAGGCCAGTGACCCCCAGCGAAGGCAGATGTGGCTGGCTTGGCTCTTTGAGAGAGATGAACCCTCCCCAGCCCCCGCTAGTGGGACTCTGCTCCTTGAAGGGGGTCTTCCAGCTGATGGCCAGGTCTCCCCCTCTGCTTGCCCATATGAGAGCAGAGCCCTTAGGTGCTTCTCTAGGTCTCCCATGGGCAATTCCCACTTCAGTGACATCCCCTGTACATTCCTTTAAGTCTAAGAGGAATCAGGACCAGCTTAAAAGAAATCAAATCTAGTGAATTGTGAGGTTTGATCTCTGAATGAATCTAGGACTATAGATATATGAATATATTTGATGTATTTTAGTTTTTAAGAAACCTATTCCCTTGTTAAAATAGGAGGTTTGGAAATTTAAGTGCTCTTGTGAATTTATTGTACTTTCTAATTCTTTTAGTGAGTAGTCAAAGGAAGAAAGGGATGACATTAATAAATGCTTTTATATTGGGTTGGCCAATAACTTAGTTTGGGTTTTCTGGTCAACCCAATAGATGGGTTGATTTCTAAAACGTTTGCAGAGATTCTGATTGGTATCTTAGAGTTGTGAAGACAGCCCTGGAAGGGCAGTCTATGACTCTGTGCTTGTTTCTCTGTTCTGTATGTAGGGGCCGCCCGGTCCTCGTGGAGATACAGGTCCTCCTGGTCCCCAGGGTCCTCCAGGCCCTCAGGGACCCAACGGCCTCTCTATTCCCGGTGAACAAGTAAGCACAAAGACTTTCTGTATGAAATGAGGATGGTGGATTAATGTTGAATTTAACTGGAACATTTTCTACTCTATTTTGCCAAATTCCAGTGTTTTTTCAGAAAACTCAACAAGTTTAGTCATTGAGATGACTTCCTGTGACTGTAATTTCAGATATGTAAATAGCATATGTAATAATATGTAACTGTAGGAAAAATTGTTGCTACTTCTTTGACCTTTAAAAATTATTTTAATAAGTAATGCAAATATCCTTTAATATCCTGAAAGCTTTGAAATGGCTTTGAGTCTGTGGCAGGCCCTGGGGTTCTGTCTGATATTTATGACTTATTTATCTAGGTCATTACTTCAATAAAAATTTGTTTTATTCCAAATGCCAATCTGAACTTAGGAGAAGTGTCTTACCTTTTGAGGCTGGTGTTTTATTTAACTACTTTTTTCTATACTTTAAAATAAAACAAATACAGCATATGAATAAGAATCCAGATAATTACATAGTTTTAAATTTAGGTCTAAACTCCCTTTAAAGACTTTTTTTTAGCATTTAGAGAAAAAAATAATCTATATCAGATATAGCTAGAAATGAAACATTTGAAAGAACTGGGTTTTTCTTTTCACTCAAAAAGGTTGAATGCAGGACTTCCCTAGGGGTCCAGTGATTAAGACTGAGCTTCCACTGCAGGGGGCACAGGTTCAATCTCTGGTCAGGGAACTCAGGTCCTTCCTACCTCTCAGTGCAGCTATAAAAAAGGAACAGGGTTGAATGCATCTACTTTTAGCTTCGAATATCCACAGGGGAGTTTGGGGGAGTTTTATTTCTATTTATTTTCTTATTACTACTATTAAATTATCAGCTTTAATTCAGATCTGCTTATTAACAAGTGTCTTCTAGCATGTAGTTATAAAGAACAAAATTATGTTACATTTCATTGACTCTCCATTGCAATTAGCACCAAATTAAATATGTTAAATAATGAAAATAGTTTTCCCTTCAACTTGGGTTCTTTTAAAAGAAAGGCATATTATCCCATGATTATATAAAATGATCCCATAACACGATAAATGGAAATTATAACAGCATTTGTAGTTTAAAAAGTGAGCATCAGTCCCCAAAATAATTTATTCATCTCCCTTCACAAATATGCTTCATTGGATTTATGAAGTGATAGAGATTTCAGGAATGACTCACGTCTTCCCTTTTCACTTAATTTCTGTAAAATGCTGAGACCTGTTTTCCCACTGCTTGCTCCAGGGTCGCCAGGGAATGAAGGGCGATGCCGGAGAGCCAGGACTTCCAGGCCGGACTGTGAGTTGTTCTTCACCTCGCCTTTTCTTGACTTGTCAAGTGTTCTTTGCAAAGTTGCCCTCGTAGTGCCTCAGAAGGTGAACCAAGGTTAAGCCGCAGAGCAGAAGCCTGGCCGTTTTCCATTCCGTCGCCTGGCCTGAGGCTTCAGGCTGGGGCTGTGCAGTCAGGTCTGGGCTTGTTGACTGAGCTAGCGTCGCCCTCGCGGGCTGGCTCTGCGCTTGCTACTGAGTTTCTATTCCTTCGCAGAGTCCCTGCACTTTTCTCCCAAACATTTTGGAGAAGGACACAAATTCCTTTCCTCACACAAGTTTATTACCGTGTTTTCTTGTTTGTTTCCTTTTGTGTAGGGAACTCCAGGATTACCTGGCCCACCAGGACCAATGGGCCCTCCAGGAGACAGAGTAAGTGTTCTTGTACGGCCTCTAACGACACTGGACATGATTGTTGCTTATTAATTAACCCCCCCATAGTTCAGTTGGTGTGGCTGAAAATGCAGAATTCACATATCTCATAGGAGGCAGAAAAGCTAATATCAGTGGGCCAGCTGACACCAGGGCAATCTCAAAGTCTATGAAACAAAATGGTGGGACTTTAAATGAGTCGTTAGAATTTTGGAAATTTAAAAAAGTTCAGCATACTCAGAAAACCAATGAATTTTGGTTAATTGGAAAGAGATTCAAGAATCCTAGAAAATTGCGTTAAATCTGAAAATTAAAAATTTTTTATGAGGCATCTTTTATGTAACTCTAAGAATAGTCTTGATTGCCGTGGCACTTCGTATGTGGTCAGGGACATCTTTTCTACACCTTTAGAACTCAGATACCATCCGCAGGCCTCTGTGATGGATAGCAACTGGAACTTAGTAGGAATTTTGCTTATTTATGGCAGATCTCAGGTCTGTTCTTGAGTTATGAGGAGACCAGTGCAGGAGACCCAGTTTTTTCTAGGACAAGTAGATGAGAAGCACAGTGGCTTCTGTGCTCTGTTTAATGTTACAGAAACATTTGGTTTCATAGGAGACCACAGACGCTTTAATAGAAGGTTTTAGAGCTGCTCAGAACCAAGGCACTAATGACTTCAGCACCTTCTAGTTTAGACAGCAGTCTGAGTGTTGTCTGTATTCTGACTAATCAAGTCAAAACATAAGACTAGCAGCAGGCTGTGAGAGGGCCAGAGCTGTAATAGTTGTCACTCATGCATTGATTTGTTAACCTTAACACCTCCAAGACCCCATGGGGCAGAAGAGTTGGGTCAATCGGATGGAGCAAAGTTTTGCCCAGATAATACCAAATGTTGGATGATTTGCCAATGAAATTTATTTGTTCCAATGCCTACTCTTGAGTTTATGGGAAAATGAGGTCAAAGAGAAAACTGTTCTCTGGGAGCCTGGGACCCACTGGTACTTATACATATTCTTCTGACTCTTTTGAGACTGGCACTCTAGTTTTATTTGAATTCTTGTCTCATAATAAAGAACCACAATGATATTGCAAGGGTGATCAGTTGGCCTATGCAATCAGTCAACAAAACCAAAAATATCACATTCAGGAAGTAATGACGGATATTAAATATAGTTCAGTGTCCTATGATAAGCCATGATAAGAAAGAATATGAAAAAGAAAATATATGTATAACTGAGTCATCTTGCTGTATAACAGAAATGAAATACAACATGGTAGATCAATTGTACTCCAATAAAATAAAATAAAAAAAAACAGAAGTAATGATGGGCTGCCTCCCTTGCCACCACTACTGTGGAAGCCATGTTGGCTTGGCACGTGCTTCAGCATGGGTTCCATGCAGACTCGCTGGGTGGTTGGTGCCCACCCCATCAACACGTTCCTTCTGAGGTGGCAGTCAGGCAGCCATCCCTGCCATCACTGCTTCCCTGAAAAGTGAAGGGGTGGGAAGGATGGTGTTTTTCACTCTTGCATTTTAATCTGTGAATCCAGCTTTGTGGTGAGGCAACCCAGGACCCTCATGTTGAGAGTGAGGAAAGTTTTCAGGAAATTATTCATCTTTTTTCCATCACAGCCTTGTACCTACCACTCAATTTCCTGTCACTACAGCTGAGAGTAGGAGTCACGGCTGATGGAACATAAATGGTTTTGGAAAGTTAGACTTTGGGTGCAGGCATCTCAGCCAAACGAGAAAGAAAGGGAGACAGAGAGGAAGGAAGGGATGAAGAAAGAAAGGAAGGAAGGAAGAAACTTGAAATCTGTGGTGGGAGAGAAGAGAATAAAGCTCAGGAGAGCACGCCCAAGACCATGGTGATGAAGGAAGATGTCCTACCTGGATGGAGTTGTCAGAGGCAAGAGGCTTGGGTTGCCTTCAGCTCAGACCGATTTTCAAATGAGCCACAGTTTTGGGGACTGTTAGAAAGTAGCAAGACAAGTACGTGTTCAGGCAAGTCATACATGTGCGTCTGTGAAAGCAACCACAGGTCCTCTTGGCCACCCTCCCATGGAGGGGAGCAGCAATAACTGCTGCAGCTTTGAAAATGGAAAGTAAAAAAAAGAAAAAAAATTTGCAGCACAAAGTTCTGCAGATGGCTCAGTGCTAGCCCTTCTGAGGTCACCAGAATAGAATCCGCCTCATCCCAATTTAGGTATATGTTACTTCTAAGAGAAAATGACTGGTTAGACCTAACTGTCCACCCATGAGTGAGGGATAAAGGTGTGATATTTTAATATATGAATATATGTTTAATGTATATAATGGAATATTATTCTGTCTTAAAAGAAGAGGGAAATGCTATCATTTCCCAAAACATGGATAAACCTTGAACCTGGAGGACATGCCACCTGAAATAAGCAAAAGCGCAGAAAGAAATACTGCATGATCTCACTTATGTATGAAATCTCAAAAAAGCTGAACTTCTGGAAGCAGGTGGCTGCCAGGGGCTGAAAAAGAGAGAAATGGGGAGATATTAGACAAAAGATACAGAGTTTCAGTTATGCCAGATAAGTTCTGGAGATCTAATGTACATTTTGATGACTACAGTTAATACTATATTATGTACTTGAAATTTGCTAATAGAGTGTACCTTAAATAGTCTCACCACATAAAAAATGATAGCTCTGTGAGGTGATGGATGTGTTATCTTGATTGTGGTAATCATTTCACAATGTGTACATGTATCAAAACATCACGTGTACATCATAAATATATACGATTTTGTCAATTATAGCTCAGTAAAGCAAGGAAGACAGAGAAAATGATTGGTCAGGAAGTTCTTAGGATGACTGAAGGAGGATTATTCATAGACATGATACTTACCTTAAAAAATGAAAGAAAAAGAGTGTTTTCTACAGTGGTTGGAGGAAATTTAGATGACATTCAACTGTCCGAATCATACTTGGAGCATTTTTGCTTCTTAAGTGGCTCCCAGGAGTGGTGTTGATGTTACATCAGATGAACTTAGAGTCTGTTTTTTGTTAAGCAGGACTGGATCTTCCAGAAAACAGTCTGAAATGTTTATCTCTATAAGTTTCTGAATTTTTTGGAAAGGACAGACTATTTCTAATGTAATTTTAACGAAATAATTTAAACTTCCTCTTTTGTAAATTCAATGGGAGTCCACTTAATGCAGGCAGTGATCCAAATGATCTTGACTTTTTGCTAGGATCCAAGAATATGCATAAAATTATCACTTATTCTCAAAAGAGGCAAAAATTTCCTTTGACAGAGGAATGCAGCAACCATAAAAAACTGCCTGACTCAGAAATCCTCGGCTGGATTTCAGAGGTCCGCACTTGGGATGAATAGTAGGCTGGCAGTGAGTGACTCATCCCAGGCAGAGGTCGTCTGGCACTGTGCAAGCTGCACAGAGATACCCACTACTCCTGGGTAGATCTCTCCTCTCAACCTGACCCGGTATGGGTCTAGCCTGTCTGTGAGATGAGGAGAGATGGACCACTAAACAATTAAGTGAGGATTGAGGATTTCCTTTCTTTTGAGTGGTGGAGTTAAGGTAGTTTTGCCTCTTTCTTGGAGGGGAGGAGAGGAATCACCTAGGAGTGAAGCAACAGTGGTCCTGTCCTGGCTGCCTGGAAGCAAGGAAGGGGGTTTTCTAACAGGTGGTTGGCCTCTCCTGCATCTTCTATGATGTTACCTGGTTTCCTCAGCAACATTCCCTTCATCCTATTTTGATCCTTCCCAGGCCAGTTCGTGGACGTTGACTTTTCAGTAGAAAGGGCTAGTCTTCCTGTAGATTTCTTTATACTCTTATAAAAGCAAAAGGCAGTATCTTCATAATAGGAAACTGCCTTCTTTAGAGAAGACTAGTTTGATTCTTAAAATGATTTTAATTGTAACCCTATAAATGGCTGAGTTTAGAGCTGAATTATTCAGTAAAAGGCATAACTTAAATGGAAAGCATTTTTTGGGGGGCATATTTGTCTTTATGTTGAAAAGTTACCTGCAATTGGGCTAAATCTTTCACCTGTCACTTTTATCATCCTGTTTTGTTTCTTTCAGTTTTGGCTGGTCATTATTTCACTAATCCACACTTAATTTCATTTTTACAATAGGGCTTTACTGGAAAAGATGGAGCAATGGGACCCAGGGGTCCTCCTGGGCCACCGGTAAGAATGGAATGGGTGACAGTCACCTTCCTGTCCTGACCCCCTACCACCACTTGCTAGGAAAAAGCTCAGAAACCTGACCTCTGAGGCATGTTCCATCTGTGTTGTGGACCGCACTGTTGAGGGACCTGCTTGTTTTTATTCTCCTAAATCAAAATCAGCTAGAGAAAACAGATGTGTTAAAATAATCTTTCTGTTTAATCAAATTATATTTGAAAAACAGAAAAATGTCTCTAACTGGTTAGTGCCCCAGTTCCTTCATTGTGTACATTAAGTGGTGGGCTTTATGATCTTGCTGGTCATTTCCTGTTCTAGAATTTTAAGAGTCTGTAGCTTATGATATTTGAATTTTAAGGATATTAATTACAGAACAGCTTTAAGTTATTCAAAGGATGTAATTCTTACTGAGTAAGTTTTCTAATTAAGATCTTTGGGAAAATTACTGAGGCCATTGACTCTGAAAGAAGTATCTGTATATCTGCATCCAGGTGAGATCGCAATTACATTGTTGGAGGTAATGGATGCTCTTCATGGCTTCTGGCTGGATAGGAATGACTTATGTTTAATATATATGTACTCAAGTAGAGTTGAAAACGTACAGTAAACTTTCATTTAAAGTATTTACTACAGAGATTGACCTTTATATGATTCATGAATGGAGGATTGTTTTATAGAAATCTGATGATTCCATTTTAAGGAAATTTTAGCTTTAGAAGATAATGTATTGACTAGCAATATTATAAATATTTTACTAAAATATGGATGTGTGAAAGTCGCTCAGTCGTGTCAGACTCTTTGCGACCCCACAGACTAAACTATGGCTAAAGTTTCTGAAAGCTGTGCTAAAAGGGAGAAATTCTTATGGTTTTGATGGGGTTGAGGGTGCTGATATGATAGAAGAGAATTATGCTTTATTCGAATGCACCAAACCAGTAAAAGTGAGTTTCTAGGCTGAGCTACGACTTCCTGGAGATAAGGGGAACTCCACCACATGGTGCTCAGATACCTTCTCAATTTCTTCCCCAAACAAAGTTTTCGCTCTTGTCTTTTGATGTGTTTTCTATTTTGATAACAGAAATAAACGAACAGAAATTGCTTTCTGTAAATTCACTTGGTAGCCAGTTTACTAGGATCCCAGTCTGTGAATGGTGAAACTGATTAAAAACAGTATATGTATATATTTTTCAAATGGTTTCAAATGTATTTTTCAACTATACACTCCATAAAGACTGAATAGGAATTTTCAAGATTTTTTTCCTCCATGTCATCTTAAATTTGATTTTATTCTTCCTTAATATGCTGAAACCTTTCAAAACCTTCCGCGCTTTGTTAGTTTACTTTACATGGGATTCCTCTTTCATGGTAACCTTTTGTTTCTCTGCCTGTGTGTTGCAGGGAAGCCCAGGCTCTCCAGGAGTCACAGGACCAAGTGGGAAGCCAGGAAAGCCAGGAGATCACGGCAGACCAGTAAGTGGATGGCTTGCATGCCTAGTCATTCCATTGTGAGTGATGAAGAAACTGCAAGACTGTGGCATATTTATGTTATCTCTGCCGTAATACGTTTGAAGCATTTGTTGAAACTATGCTAAACCCATGGATTTAACTTGGTACTAGTTCTAAAATTTTTCTCTCCAAGTTATAACATTCTGGGATGAAAACTGTGGTCATAGGGTTTCTTTAAAAGGAGAATGGGATTATGAGCCAAGACACATATTTCTGCACTGTATAAACACTCAGAGCTGGGTCAGCAGAATCATTCTTTTTATTTAGGAGCGGTATGCAGCTTAAGATAGAAAAACACATGATGGTGCATGGCGCCTCCATGGATGCTCTGCAGAAGTTAACCCTTTGTGAGCGTCCTGTAGCCCTGCCACTTTCTCTTTCCCCTTCTGTTGAGGATGTTAGAGCATTAGCCCCAGAATTAAAAGAATTTATCTAATCCATTATCTTACTTTTTTACACTGCCCTGCTCCAACTCATATCCAGTTTACCTTTCTGATTATCAAATGTTTTGGTTAAAATAATAGTTGAGCTGGTATAATGCCTATCTTCTATTTTCAAATTTGTATCTCCAAAACTGAATGCTTCCCAGGTGGCGCTAGTGGTAAAGAATCTGCCTGCCAGTGCAAGAGACAGGAGTTTGATCCCTGGATCGGGAAGATCCCCTGGAGTAGGAAATGGCAGTCCCCTCCATTTTTCTTTCCTGGAAAATTTCATGGACAGAGGAGCCTGGCAGGCTATAGTCCATGGCTTCGCAAAGAGTCAGGCATGACTGAGAGACTGAGCACATATTTGTAATGACTGTTGGGCTCCATATTCTTCCTTACAAGCTCTTCCCTATTTGTGTCTATGAAGAATAAATGTATTTGAAGCAGTTTTTTTGTCTGAGTAGAATTCTGAAATATAAAAATTTATTTCAAAGATCATGAAGTCCAATATTAGTGATGGCACATCTATCAGAGCTGTTCTCTGAATGGAACTTCTCTCTTCTTAAGTATTGTCCAAGTTAAAAAAAAAAAGTATAAACCCAAGTATAAACCCAAGTTAAAAAACAGTTTAATGTCCCCAAGTATAAACCCAAGTTATAAAAAAAACAGTTTAATGTCAAACTAACTTAGGGTAGAATCTTTATGTGACATGGCCTGCCTTCTATGTTTACATAAAATTAAGCAAGCAGCATAAAGATGAAAGGCCTCCTGATATGCCTCATACTCTGTGTATACTCTAGCACATGACTTTATTACTCTCTTTTCATTAATGAATCATGGCAGAAACTTCACAAGAGCAGTTAAAAGTACACAGAACTTTTCAACCCATTCAGAATTCTATTTCTTTTTATAATGACCAAAATAGAGTCTAACATAAGAATATCACTGATGTAATTGATGGCTGCAGCTAGAAACCTGAAAGAAATGTCTACTTCCTTTACTTGAAATGAGATCTCAAGATACTGGCAATAAAGATGAGTTAGCACTAAATTAAAAAAAAAAGGGGGGGGGGACAAAGTAGCAGTTAATGCAAAAAAGATTCCCTGAAATTTACAAAATGCGCCAAGCTAAATAATGTTTTCATGAGAGTGGAATACTTTTGGTAAAGAGAGAGTCAGGCTCCACTTTTTCTTCGAACTACAATTTGGTGACATTTATCTGGACGTTATCTACCCCATTCCCCTCCTTTAACCATCCTTTTAAGGTGGTAAATTGCCTCTCCTTTTCTTCTCTCTTCTATTTATGTTTAGTTTCTAAAACCAAAACTAGCAGTTGCATGTATAAAGGTCTTAGCAGGGAACTTAGCTCAGCCACTGTTAGCTTGTCATTAGTGCTTGTATGCAGAGTTGTCTTCCTGTTAACGTATGTAATACCTGATGTTTATATATAATACCTGAATGTTTATATAATACCTGAAATAGTGGATGTTTCCAAGAACTGCTGATGGAATGTTTTTATTCATTTACTCAACACCCTTTGGTTGGTGCCTAACTGTGCTAGTTGGCATTCTAGGGTCTTGATAAAACCATAAACAGGGTGAAGTCCTTGCCCTCATGGAGATCCTAGTGGGGGATATAGACCAAAAATGTAAATACATAATATAGTTTCTGGTGATGATGAGTGATATGAAAGAAAGAGGCACAGAGTAAGGGGTCAGAGGCTCATTATGGTGGTGTGAACGGGCTATTTCAGATGCAGCGGTCAGGGAGCCTGTCCGAGCAGGTGCAGTGAGGTTGGGAGCATCTGTTGGGAGCATTATTCCAGGTGTGGGGAAAGATGAACAAAGGCTGAGGGAGGGTGAGTGGGGCACGTGGATGGAACAGCAGAGAGATCCGAGCACCTGAAGTGAAGGAAGTGAGGAGAGGTGAGGTTAGGTAGCTGGGCAGAGGCCATCATGTGGCCCACCCAGCCCACACTTATTCTAAGTGTGATAAGAAGACCTTGGAGCCAAGAGTGACATGGGCCGATTTTCCTCTTAAATTAACAGTCTGGCTTCTCTGTGGAGAACAGACTCGAAAGGGGCAAACATGGGAAAAAGGAAGACCAGTTGGATGGATGTTGAGGAGTTGAGGCAGAAGTCTTGGAGATGGTAAGATGCAGTTTGGGATGTTATCTGAACATCAGATTTGTCAGTGGTGTGGGTATTCTTTTCAGGGGGTAGCCTGGAGATATACAGAAAGACAAAAACTTCTTACACTAGAAGGAAGACCTTTTCCAAGATGTTCTTGTGGCCAGTGAGAGGCCTGACAGAATAGGGAAGGGGGCGGCAGAGGACGAGATGGTTGGATGGCATCACTGACTCAATGGATGTGAATTTGAGCAAGCTCCGGGAGATACTGGAGGACAGGGAAGCCTGGTGTTCTGCAGTCCGTGGGGTCGCAGAGAGTTGTATACAACTTAGCAACTGAACAACAACAACAACAAATTCTGTAGTTGTGTTTGGATGTGGGACCACCATTTGGGTTAAGTTCTTTGATAATTGAGGCATGTAGCCCTTTCATATCCAATGCACAAAATCACTAGGAGTTAGAGATGCATGTTTAGTCAGGGAACTGATGGAAGGTCTTACTATTATGAGATCTTATGGGTTCTTACTAGAACTGTACCAAGATTAACCTACAATAGCCAGCTGAGCTCCCTAGCCATAGTGACATGAAAAAAAAGAATAGAAACAAGGGCAATGTGACATGTATTTCAGTTCCAGATCTCTACTGTGAATGGGCATCATAAAATGCAGGTGCAATACATAACTTCTAAATGTGATCATAAAATGCACATCTCAGCACTATTTTGGAGGATATGTGCTTCTGAGAGAGGGAGAGAGAGAGACAGGGAGACAGATTAGATTCCTTCTTACAGTCAAGCAAAAGGTGAGTAACTTGAATGTGAACACGATGTGTGATTTTGCTAATTTGTTGGAAAATAGACCTTGCTGTCTTTCATCATGTCCATTCAGAAGTCATTTTAGACCGTGTTTGTCAGTTTGTAATATCTGAAATTCCTATATTTCAGGGTCCATCAGGATTGAAAGGAGAGAAAGGCGATAGAGTATGTATTTCTTAAAATTTGACTTACAAGTTTATTTTGTCTGTTAAACATTGAACTCTGGAACTATGTAAATAATATGCTGATCGTACTTACTGATTTAATTCACTAGGGAGACATCGCTTCCCAGAACATGATGCGAGCAGTTGCAAGACAAGTCTGTGAACAATTGATAAGTGGTAAAATCTCTTTTCCTTTGAATATATGCATGTTTAAGTTAATTGCAGGAAAATGCAGGGTGTTTTCTAAGATATATACTTCCTAAGATAAATGTTTCTATTTCATTTTCACAACCTCTTCTTTTTATACATTGTCAGTTCTGTATCCTGTTAGATAAAGCCGATGATATTTTAATGATTGTCATCAAGATAAAACAGTAACCCAAGGTAAAATAATAGCCCATTATCCTTATATTCGGTCTGATACAAAATCACATTTTAAAAGGGCCTTTCAGTTTCAATATTAGGATTTTTTACTGGGTATCCATTGAAGCAGCAGTCATTGCATCTCTTAAGTTATGCTGTTTGAGTTTTACTAACTCTTAAGGAAGGAGGACCGTGGAGATTAATTTGATCCTGAAAAGTCCACGTTGATGGGGAACTTTCTATTGCCTCCTTTTGATTCACGGACTCTTTCTCCTTATTCCACGAAATTTATTAAGTGATAAGGCTCAGTACCTGCAAACTGAGTGTGACCTCCAACTCAAGGCCTCCCTTTACAGAAGTTTTAGGCCAGCTGCTCCCAGGGTGGTTCCGAGGAGCGCCTGCTTTAGAGTCACTGATGCTGTGTGTGAGAAATGAGTTCCTTGGTCACCCTAAATCTGGTGAATCACTCTTTGGAGATGAGACCCAGAAATTTGTAGTGTTTGAAGTATCCCACAGGTGATTCCAGTTTACACTAAAGCCTGATTATCACCTCTGTAGGCACACACACAACACACACAACAATGCTGTCATTTATTAATTTAAAAAAAGGTTCTCTTTGAGTGACATCACCGGGCAAAACCTTGGGGCTTCATATCAGAAGCACGTTAAACTTTCACAAGTCTTTTATGTTTAGAGTAATGCTGATGGCTTACTAGACAGTATTTGGTGTTCTTATCAGGGATCATTTTGTCTGGGATGACTGGAGTGTTTTATTTTAGGGTTGGGATTCTAATTAAAATGTTTGCCGGAGGGGGCAGGAATGAATGTCACTAAATACTAAGAGAAATCTGTTTCATGTTCTCATCCCTTTTAATTTTCAGGTCAGATGAACAGATTCAATCAGATGCTGAACCAGATTCCAAACGATTACCACTCTAGTCGCAACCAGCCAGGCCCTCCAGGGCCCCCAGGTCCCCCCGGCAGCGCAGGAGCCAGAGGAGAACCAGGACCTGGGGGGCGGCCCGGCTTCCCAGGCACACCAGGGATGCAGGGGCCCCCGGGGGAACGAGGTAGGCATTCTTGGCTGCTGCCTAGGCATCAAGGAAGGAACCTCTAAGTGTAGAAGCTGGGTCGAAAAGCACACGGAAGGCTGAGCTTGGCAAATGACGCTGGCCTTGTTTGGACAGCCCCAGAAGAGCCACGCATCCCTGAACCTGTTTTTCTTTCTAGGCAGCTGCAGGCTATAGAGATCCTTATCTTAGAAAACAGGAAGATTTTGTCAGGAGATCTCGGTCAAGACAATGCCGTTTTCTGATTGTTGTCGTTAGCGAGCAAAATTGTTTCTTGGCAAAGGAATCAGGCACTAAAACCTTATTAATTGTTTTGACTGGCAAGAGCTGGGCAGCAACTGAATGTAAGCTGCCTTACCATTTTAGATCCAAATTCTTCTGGTTCCTTTACTCAGGGTCTGGAACTGGTCTTATGTGTTTATTTGGCTTTAATTTCATGGTAGATAAGTGTAATTGAAGGAAAAGGAGAAAAACAAGATTATCTGATTCCAGATGTTTCAGCATGCTGGGGACTGACTTGTGAAAGTAGTGGTTAACATTCTGGGGAAAACCTAGATGCTTCTATAATTCTGATGGTTTAGATGCCATCCTCATAGGGCTACTGAAGCTAAGGTACCTTTGAGATGTCTTCAGTGGGTTCTAATTCTTTATTCAAGATTTCTGTTCTTAATTACTGTTTCTAAAATAATATATTTGACGTGTTTGTTTTCTTCAAATAATTTTTCCCCTGACTTGTAGCCAGATTTGTTTCTTGGCCATGAACCTGGAATTACACAAATGTCTAGAAAGAATTTTGGCTTAGAAAGTGGACTTCTGTGAAAAATTGGGTTCTGCTTTTACTAAGGGATGAATTACTTGAATCAAGTATTATCGGTTCCGATGAAAACTACATTTTTCCAGATAATTTTCCCTCTGTGTTTTCCCGTTCTGTCCTTGCTTAGGTTTGCCGGGAGAGAAAGGTGAAAGGGGTACTGGATCTCCAGGACCTCGAGGGCTGCCTGGCCCCCCAGGTAGGTTTTGAGAGCACACAGCCCTCCTCAGAGGCGCAAACTCATCCTGTTAGCTTCAGGCAGGCCAATCATCATGGTATATATTTGAACAAGAATTTCCTCTTGATCCTCCTCATTTTTATGGTTTTTTTGTTAAAAAAAAATTTCAGCACATTCTATTTAAGATTTACTCTAAGTTTAATATATGAGGGTCTGAGTTTTAGTGACAGAAGGATGCTGTTTTCTTTTTATGGGACTCCTTTTTTTCCCCCCCCTATTTGTTTTCTTTGGCCTCACAGCTGTTAAGGATGGCGTCATTTCCTGTTCCTTCCGCTGTTCTTCAAGATACTAATAGACTAATAGACTGAGGAAATATATCCTTGTTAGAAATCCTGACATCCCAAGATTTCATTCACAGGTTTTTTTTATTGAGGTTTTGGAAGGAAGGAATAGTTGTTCTATGCATTTTGTTTACTAGATTGAGAATGAATTGTTTTCTTCACCATAAGGTCCATAAGGTCCTTTGCAACCATAGTCAGCCCTGGAGGTTAAATCTTTATATTTGTGTTAACCATGAGTAAGTATCAGTAGATTCAGAAATAACATTGTTTCATACTGGCGATTTCTAAGGAAATATTTTCTTACCATATGCTAGAGACTCATCTGGTTTTGTAGTGGAGGTGCCAAAGTATTGTTGACTGCCTTAGGAGATGCATTTAACAAGGGGGCAATATTTGTCTTAAACCCACAATAGGTCCACAAGGAGAATCAAGAACTGGTCCACCAGGGTCCACAGGTTCCAGAGGTCCTCCAGGTCCTCCTGGTCGTCCTGGAAACTCAGGTATCCGAGGCCCCCCAGGTCCTCCTGGATACTGTGACTCATCCCAATGTGCCAGCATCCCATACAACGGCCAAGGCTATCCAGGTATGTTGTGGCCCTCATAGGGACCCAGATTCACCTGAGTTTAAAAAACCTGTATGAAAATAAAGTTCCCTAGGATTGAAGGAAAGTTGATTTGAGGATTTCTTGAAGATAGCAACTCTTTCAGTTGTGTGTTTTGATTATGTAGTAATAGTCTCTCTCAAAAGAATTAATGTTAATTTTATGACATTATTTCACTGATAGGAGTTGAATGATTATTTTCTCCTCCTTTCTATACTTCTGCATTTATCAAATTACAACATAAACTTCTATATTTCTCCTGATAGTTCAAAGAATGTTATTGATTGATTTTTTTTTTTTTTTGGCCTAAAGGTTGGGAACAGGTATTTGTTGAGTACAACTGTAGAATGCCAAGAATATATATAAAATTTGTTTTGGGAATCTAATGTGTAGGCAGACTATTTGATAACATAGTAGAGGCAATTGGAAATATTTCACTATTTTACTTTGTCCATGGAATTAGTGTTTTATAAACTCTGGGACCTAATTTTTCAAGAGTTTGTCACGAAATTCTAATATTTGACAATTTGACAATTACAGGAGGCAGAAGTCTCTTAAGCCTGAATTTGGGGAATATGGGGACACAGGCAATATGCTGATCTAGAAATTAAAAAATTAATGCTGTGGGCAGTGGTCAGCAGTGACCTTTTTCATCAATGCACCCTCAAGCATCTTGCAAGTTTTAAAAATGATACTGCTGTTTGATATGGTTGGCTACTAGCAAGTAGTGCATGAGTAGTTGAATATCTAAATATCTATATATCTATATATTTATGTGCATACTTACATATGACCAAAAATAATATGAATCTTAAATTTCTTATGCAAGCCATTCACAAAATTGCAATTTCTTTCTTTATAAAAGAAATTTGAATTACCTCTGCCTTCTGGTATGTATGAGTAACTTGAAATATATGGATATATACATATATAATTTAACCATTACATACTTAGATGAATGTGTATAGATATTTTTTTTTGCATAGTAATTCAACTTTTAAAAACTATCATCTTTGACCTGTTTCAGGTTCCGGCTAACAAATTTTCTAAGTCGCCAGTGCTGCTTACAGTTTGAATACATGAAAATCCTGTTTCTGAGATGTTTGCGCACGTGCTTATTAGAAAATGAGTCTGTATGGAAATCTCACCACAGATCTGGTTAACGAACCGGGTGGACATCATAAAGGAGGGTGGAGACTCTTTATACTAACTTGAATGAGACAAAAGCAGTGGTGGTAGTTTATAAGCCTGATGCATTTCAGTAATAATGTAGAAAAATATTATTTAAAAAAAAAAGTTCAAACACAGCTCATGAGGAGCCTCGGTTGTGAAAGAGGCGCATAATAAAACTACTAACCGCGTAGATGATGCCATTTTTGGAAAAACAATTAACCTGGTTAAAGAGAAATACCTTATGTAAATAATAAACTAATTATGGCTTGTAAATGATTTGTATGTGATACTGTCCACTAAAATCACTTAACAATTCTACAATCAGCTTCTGCCTGCCGCTTGCTCTCTGCCGGAATAACATCGAATTAGAATCTCCTCATCTCTTGCTTGTTAGCGATGTGTCTGATTACCTTATGTACATGTACTCTCATTTGGGTTTTTGTAATCGCCCTTTTCAAACCAAAAGTTCAGACTCCCTTTTTTTCTTCCTGTTTCGCTGTTGTCACTGGTGGTCCTCACCCACCAGCTGTAACTCAGGCTGTGGGCCAGACAGCCACAGAAAACGTCATGTACTGTATATTACTTGGTGATAATTGACTTTCACCTCCAGAGTTCAGTTTTAAGGAGCCAATATAACTTCCCCATCACCTCCTCATCTTTCCCAGTGGTTCTCTGAACTGAGAAATTCGAAGTCATCAAGTTACCTTGGGGATTTGCAAAAAAAAATCCTACCTAGGTTGGTTGACAGTTCTCTTTGGCCCAGTCGCTGACCCTTCCCAGGTGTTTGTGCAATGATTCCATTTACTGCTGGACCTCTGAAGGTTACAAAGTGTCATTTCAGATCACCAAATTCTCTCTGCGAATGGAAGGGATCAGAACGGTGTAATTTCTCTGCTTTTTGTAGTCATGAGACTAAGACTGGCGTGCAGTCCCCTCGGGTGATGGTTTAGCTTTTGGTGTGTGTGTATCCCTTCCATATCATGCCATAACTGTAATGTTGAATCGGACAGAGCCCTACGTGCCCGAGGGCGGGGCCTACTTGCCCGAGCGCGAGCCCTTCATCGTGCCGGTGGAGCCCGAGCGGACCGCGGACGACTATGAGGACTACGGCGCCGACGAGCCCGCAGGCGAGCACCCTCCCCACGCGCGCTGGCGGCGCGCCCTGCCCCACCGCCCCCGGCAGTGACCCTGAACCCGCGCGCTTGCGCAGCGCGGCCGGGCCGCGGGGAGGTGTTCGGATTCCCATTTACAGGTCAGACGGAGCAGTGGACGTCTTACCTGCCACGTTTCTTCCGGCGTTGCTTCATCGGAGAGTACCCTTTCTGACTGTTAGCGAACCTTGTTCCTGCAGGAAGCCTAGCTCGCTGCCCGCGCAGTCTGTAGAAATCTTTTGCCTTTGCCCTTGAAGTTGCTTGCAAGATCCTTTGTTCACAGAAGCTGCGGGGAGAGAACGTCCCTTGTGCCTTTATTAGGTAGCTCAGCAGGCAGCCTCAGTGAAACTCTTAAGCAGTAAAGTCCTGGAACCCAGAGCGACGGTGTATTTCGAGAGGGCAGTTTATCTTTTCCAATACTTAGCTGCAATTCAGTTACATCCCCATCCAAGCAGTTTCCCTCGTAAAACCAAAAAAGAGGGAAAAGTCACTCTATTCCAACTGTTTATCTTCCTCTTCTATCCTCTGTCATACATTAGGGTATAGAATGCTCTTATACATCTCTTTTAAAAAACTACCAACCTTAAGCCATGTAGCTGAAGTTATTGTATCAACTGGATACAGTTCCATATTGCCTTAAACCTCCTTGTTTTAGACACGCTAACATTTATGCCAAATTGCAGATTATTCTGCAGAAATGGAATTGCATGTTTGTGTTGTATATTTAGTATGAACTTTTTTTTTTCCAGAACATAATGTTTCTTAGTTATCAAAAGCAGTTGGAAAATGTTTGCAAGACTATGAACATAGAATTGCTGCTTTTATATTTTAACTGCAGATTGTGAATTTCACTGCCTTATATTATTTATTTCTGAAACAAAAGAGGCATTTTTCAATAAAACTACTGAAAATTTGACATGGTATGTTTTTTCTTTAATGTCCTTTGGGACTATTCAGGCCGTTGTTACAACAAACAAGTTCATGTCCTTGGATACGGTTACAAAGCTTTTTACTATTAAATTATGGTAAATAATGTTAGATTTTTAATGATATGGTGAAGTCATAGAAAGTAGTGAGAGAGCCTTTAAAGGCCCAGCAGATTCCAAAGGCTTTATTAGGATTGTAGAGGATGTGTGTGTTGGTGGAAAAACAACCAAGTATCCTAGGAGACCCCAAACAACCAAACAACGTTTAACAAGTCACATGATTTCACATGCACTTACTCATATCTCCTATACCATACTTTACCCAATAACATGTTTAACTACAAAAAGAGTAATTCCTTAGTGATACCTTCTTTTTGTACCTTTTATGAATACAATAACATCATTTTAAATACCAAAGAAAACAATGTTCATTTGAAAGAACCAACATCAATTGAAGAAAGAAGTATTGAAAGAAAATTTTCCACAGAGTAAAACTTAAGGTTTAAATACTTCCTGGAGACCAAGATCAAAAGGACTAGATGATAAATGATTGTACTGTTTGATTAGGAGGTTTCAACCAGGTCACCGAATTCATAGTATTCACCTATAATTTCTGATACATACGGTTTAAAGTTGAAGGAGACCCCTGAGACCATCCCAGTTCAAGTCTTCACTTTAAGTGGGAAGAAACACTCACCTCATCAGTATCAGATCGAACCCTGGTCTCCTATATTGCAGACAGTGTCCTGCATTGCAGGTGGATTCTTTACTGACTGAACCACCAGGGAAGCACTAAAATCCTAGTATCAGTTCAGTTCAGTCACTCAGTCGTGTCCGACTCTTTGCGACCGCATGAATTGCAGCACGCCAGGCCTCCCTGTCCATCACCAACTCCCAGAGTTTACTCAAACTCATGTACATCGAGTCAGTGATGCCATCCAGACATCTCATCCTCTGTCGTCCCCTTCTCCTCCTGCCCCCAATCCCTCCCAGCATCAGGGTCTTTTCCAATGAGTCAACTCTTCATATGAGGTGGCCAAAGTATTCGAGTTTCAGCTTCAGCATCAGTCCTTCCAATGAACACCCAGGACTGATCTCCTTCAGGATGGACTGGTTGGATCTCCTTGCAGTCCAAGGGACTCTCAAGAGGCTTCCCCAACACCACAGTTCAAAAGCATCAATTTTTCGGTGCTCAGCTTTCTTCACAGTCCAACTCTCACATCCATACATGACCACTGGAAAAACCATAACCTTGACTAGATGGACCTTTGTTGGCCAAGTAATGTCTCTGCTTTTTAATATGCTATCTAGGTTGGTCATAACTTAAGTGTCTTTTAATTTCATGGGTGCAGTCACCATCTGCAGTGATTTTGGAGCCCAGAAAAATGAAGTCTGACGCTGTTTCCACTGTCTCCCCATCTATTTCCCATGAGGTGATGGGACCAGATGCTATGATCTTAGTTTTCTGAATGTTAAGTTTTAAGCCAACTTTTTCACTCTCCTCTTTCGCTTTCATCAAGAGGCTCTTTAGTTCTTCACTTTCTGCCATAAGGGTGGTGTCATCTGCATATCTGAGGTTATTATTATTATTTTTTTACACGAAGGTAACTACTTTATTTTTTTCCCATCTATTTTTATTAGTTGGAGGCTAATTACTTTACAATATTGTAGTGGTTTTTGTCATACATTGACATGAATCAGCCATGGATTTACATGTATTCCCCATCCTGATCCCCTCTCCCACCTCCCTCTCCACCCGATTCCTCTGGGTCTTCCCAGTGCACCAGGCCCGAGCACTTGTCTCATGCATCCCACCTGGGCTGGTGATCTGTTTCACCCTAGATAATATACATGTTTCAATGCTGTTCTCTCGAAATATCCCACCCTCGCCTTCTCCCACAGAGTCCAAAAGTCTGTTCTGTACATCTGTGTCTCTTTTTCTGTTTTGCATATAGGGTTATCGTTACCATCTTTCTAAATTCCATATATATGTGTTAGTATATTGTAATGGTCTTTATCTTTCTGGCTTACTTCACTCTGTATAATGGGCTCCAGTTTCATCCATCTCATTAGAACTGATTCAAATGAATTCTTTTTAATGGCTGAGTAATATTCCATGGTGTATATGTACCACAGCTTCCTTATCCACTCATCTGCTGATGGGCATCTAGGTTGCTTCCATGTCCCGCCTATTATAAACAGTGCTGCGATGAACACTGGGTGCACGTGTCTCTTTCAGATCTGGTTTCCTCGGTGTGTATGCCCAGGAGTGGGATTGCTGGGTCATATGGCAGTTCTAATTCCAGTTTTTTAAGAAATCTCCACACTGTTCTCCATAGCGGCTGTACTAGTTTGCATTCCAACCAACAGTGTAAGAGGGTTCCCTTTTCTCCACACCCTCCTCAGCATTTATTGCTTGTAGACTTTTGGATAGCAGCCATTCTGACTGGTGTGTAATGGTACCTCAATGTGGTTTTGATTTCCATTTCTCTGATAATGAGTGATGTTGAGCACCTTTTCATGTGTTTGTTAGCCATCTGTATGTCTTCTTTGGAGAAATGTTTGTTTAGTTCTTTGGCCCATTTTTTGATTGGGTCATTTATTTTTCTGGAATTGAGTTGCAGGAGTTGCTTGTATATTTTTGAGATTAATCCTTTGTCTGTTGTTTCAGTTGCTATTATTTTCTCCCAATCTGAGGGCTGTCTTTTCACCTTGCTTATAGTTTCCTTTGTTGTACAAAAGCTTTTAAGTTTCATTAGGTCCCATTTGTTTATTTTTGCTTTTGTTTCCAATATTCTGGGATGTGGGTCATAGAGGATCCTGCTGTGATTTATGTCAGAGAGTGTTTTGCCTATGTTCTCCTCTAGGAGTTTTATAGTTTCTGGTCTTACATTTAGATCTTTAATCCATTTTGAGTTTATTTTTGTGTATGGTGTTAGAAAGTGTTCTAGTTTCATTCTTTTACAAGTGGTTGACCAGTTTCCCCAGCACCACTTGTTAAAGAGGTTGTCTTTTTTCCATTGTATATCCTTGCCTCCTTTGTCAAAGATAAGGTGTCCATAGGTTCGTGGATTTATCTCTGGGCTTTCTATTCTGTTCCATTGATCAATATTTCTGTCTTTGTGCCAGTACCATACTGTCTTGATGACTGTGGCTTTAGTAGAGCCTGAAGTCAGGCAGATTGATTCCTCCAGTTCCGTTCTTCTTTTTCAAGATTGCTTTGGCTATTTGAGGTTTTTTGTATTTCCATACAAATTGTGAAATTATTTGTTCTAGTTCTGTGAAAAATACCATTGGTAGCTTGATAGGGATTGCATTGAATCTATAGATTGCTTTGGGTAGTATAGCCATTTTCACTACATTGATTCTTCCAATCCATGAACACAGTATATTTCTCCATCTGTTTGTGTCCTCTTTGATTTCTTTCATCAGTGTTTATAGTTTTCTATGTATAGGTCTTTTGTTTCTTTAGGTAGATATACTCCTAAGTATTTTATTCTTTTTGTTGCAATGGTGAATGGTATTGTTTCCTTAATTTCTCTTTCTGTTTTCTCATTGTTACCTCAGGGGGTGTTGAAGGTCAGTAGCTGCAGCAGCATTTGTGAGTCAGTCATCGTAGAGGTAAAATAACGTGACAATTTGTAGTTGACAGGTGCAAGCTTGATGCATCAAGAGATCCGTATTCCATTGGTATGACCATTTAGCAGCTGTTTTTGTACCTTTACCTTGGCGCCCTCAGAGAAGTACACAGGCCAGTGTGATTTATCTAGAATGCAAACCTGACCTTGTCACGTCCTCTGCTCAACTCTCTTCAAGTGGTTTACTAATGCCTCCGCAAATCAGGGTGCCACCCTGGCACCTCCTGGCTTGACCCTGCAGATACCCATGAGAGAGTACACGCCTCCCAGATTTGGTGGGTGGAGACGTGTCCTCCTCACCCCTCAGCACTGTTTCCAGGCCAACAGTCCTTCCTTCTGTAAAGTTCCTTTATTCTTTGGGGCTCATACCCAGCTTCCCATAACTGTCATATAATTTCCTTGTGTTCGGTTCAGTTCAGTTCAGTCACTCAGTTGTGTCCGACTCTTTGTGACCCCATGAGCTGCAGCATG